GTCATCCAAGCTGTGTTTTTCGCGAACGGCTTCCGAACAACTGCCGTTCGGCTGCCAGCTAAGGCATAAAAATCCTTAAATTGTGATTTTTACAAAACCCCCCTTGTCTGAAAAATATTAGAAAATTCGCCCGTTTTGCAAAAATATGTACTAGTAAACGTTAGAAAAATTTGGAAATTTCAAAAATCGGAGAGGCGTATCGGACTGGCCTTTGCGAGAGCTTTCGATAGATACCTAAATCGTACAAGTCGGACACGTCTGCGTATTAATTTGATGTTACCGCTCTAATAATGTTCTGCTGTTCTGCTTGCCAGAATTCATTTTCACCATCACACATCTCTTCAACTTCAGCATCGATCCATCGCTCATCCATTGATATCTCACAAAAAAAAATATATCGGGAGAAGCCAACTTTTTGCCCAGGGATCCAATTTGTGTAGTATCCATACATCTGTTTAGTGCCGGTTTTTAAGCTTTTTTATGATTTTTTTACCGTAAAAACGTTAAAAATTTGATGAGAAACACCCAAAAACATCTTTTTCGGCCAAAAATTGCCGATTTGCGACCAAAATTTCCCAAATGTCACGTCAGCTTACGATTAAGTTACCAGGCATTTCAGGACTTTTACCCCCCCCCCCGATAGTGGAAAAGAGCCAAAACGATGAAACTAACGAGGTTGTCGAGTGGGAAACCGCGCTGCTGCAGCCATGTCATTTGAAGAATTGCCGTGCACGGGTACCTCTCCAGCACAATCGAATATTTATGTCTTTTGAGGAGGGTTAAGGATTTTATTGGGAATCTCACTCCCTGAAAATCTATTTTGGAATGTACTCTATAAACGTACCATTTCCCATCTCGTTCTGACATACAATCCCATTGCACCGGGTGTCACTTGGTGAAAGAACTTATCGAAGATGCGAAGTGCTCGCAAGTAACCGCCGTTCACAGTCCATTTGATCGGATTGCCGCGTTCCCTGTCAAATTGCCCTATTTTACAAAGTCGTATGTCTTTTTTTTATCCTAAAGGGATAGGGGCGGCATAAGTCAATCGATTACGCGCGGGAAAGAAAATGTCTGCGCCTCTCCCCTGGGCGCCCTCTCTCGCCGCGGGACCTGTTGACCCCCCCTCCCCAAGGGGGTTCAACAGATGCCGTCCTCATCTCATGTAAGCCGCCTAATAAAAGCCTTGTCTACCGATATGCAAAAGGGTACGCGGAAGGATGGGCGGAGCCAGTTTGGCTCTCTCTATATAACGCGCGACCCCTAAGGTCGTGCGGGTCCATGCTCCTCCCTTCCTTTCCCCGCCCCAGCATGTCGGCTGCCATAAGTGCGCCCACTTATTCTATTTTATGATTAATGTATGGCCCCTTAATAAAGGCCCTATTAAACTAAATATCGTCCCGGGCGGAGTATGCAGCTCAGGTTGATAAATTCACATGGACCTCAAGTTCGGATAGGCCAGGGTAAACTCTGTTGGTAGCTGGTCGTAGGAATTCAAATATAATACAGGAGGTTCACTAGCCTTTAAAGGGATACCCAACCTTTTCGGGGCTCAAAAAGCAAAAACCGTGACGCGGGCGGGGGTCGAACCCGGGACCCCCGCTTTCAAGACCTGGATGCTATCCATTAGGCCATAGTGGCAAGCCATTGGCGCAGATGGAGACGCCACATGGGGGAGGGGAGGCCGAATTCTGTGCGGCACTTGGCATCCATTACCGCACAAAATTCGCGCGTCATTTGTACTCCCCGGAATACATAACTATATATTTGCCGCCAAAACATTGGGTATCCCTTTAATAACCCAGTCAAATACCGCTACACGTTAAGAAACAGACCTCACTAGCCCTGAGAGAGACACACATAACAAGCGAAATATCATTTCGTTTACATCTCTTTAATTTGACTGTTGGGAACAACCAACAACCAACTTTTCCCTGTCGGCCCTGGTGGGGAAATTAATCAATTATTAATTAAAGGTTTTCACATTGTTTTTAGCAATATTTAAGCCCAGTTGAAGCAGAATTTTTTTTAAATTAAAAAACGCTTGAAAAAGTCGAAAATTTGGTCATTTTTGGGCCGAAAAAATTGATTTTCGACCTAAAATTAAATTTTGTAAAGTTTTTATGCTTAAAGGGATAGGGGCGGCATAAATCAATCAATTACGCGCAGGAAAGAAAATGTCTCTGCGCCTCCCCCTGGGCGCCCTCTCTCGCCGCGGGACCTGTTGAACCCCCCCCCCAGGGGGGTTCAACAGATGCCGTCCTCATCTCTTTAAGAATAGCTATAAACAGTTTAGAAACAATTCCACTATTTACCTAAAAAATCTAGGCTTGGACCGAAATGAAAATTCGGCGAAATGAACATTCGGCGAAATGAATGTAAATAGTTTTCCCCGTCTAACGGTCCAGGACCTACAGGGTGTCCCAAAAAAAATCCCCCCTCTAGCCGGCGGCAGACCTGTCCGATTTTTGCGCTTTAGGTGCCTATCGAAAGCTCTCGGAAAGGCGAGTCCAGCACATTTCTCGGATTCTCAAATTTTGGAAAGCTTTCTAACATTTACTAGCATTTTTGCGAAACGGGCGGATGTTCTGAGGTTTTTATGACTACGGTGTTTTTTTAGAAAAATCACAATTTAAGGATTTTTACGCCTTTGCTGGCAGCCGAACGGCAGTTTTTCAGAAGCCGTTTGCGAAAAACACAGCTTGGATGGCGCTTAAACCGATTAAATGCGGTTTTTCACCGAAAAAGCGTGTCATTTGTGCATGAAAAATGCTCAAAATCGAGCAAAAAATTTCGGAATCTCGCAAATCCGACAAACGTGCCGGACTCGCCTTTTCGAGAGCTTTCAATAGATATCTAAATCATAAAAATCGGACAAGGGTGAGGCCGGATAGGGGGGGAGGGGCACCCTGTACTCGCTTTTTGTCTGCTTTTTTTTTTGTTTTTGTCTTTTTAAGGTTAGAGGTTAGCAGAAGCTCTTACCTTAGCACGTTCTGTTCTTTTCGACTCAATGGGTCGACAGTAAACGTTTGATAAGTGTTATAATAGAAATGAAGGGTTGATGTTGTGTCCATCCAGTCCATCCACATGTCGTCCTCCTCTCCGTTCCATTCGATTTCCATCTCTCCGCAACGTGTCAAACAGCAAATCCTCATTTTCTGTAATTGTTCATTACTTTATTTACTATTTACAAACGTAAAAATCTGACAAATTCGTATTGAAACATTCAAAAAATGGCCGATTTTTGTCCCAAATTTCGACTTTTCGAAAAAATTTGAAGTTTATGGATAGTTTTATAGTTTCCTGGTGAAAATATGGTTTTATTTTACTAAAAAACATTCGGGAAATGCCTCGTATTAAGTTACTAGGTACCCCCCCGATGATGCGAAAGAACCTAAAATAGATAAACGTACCTTGTCGTGGGCCGTAATGAGGATATCATTAACATACTTGCTTGCCGGCCAGAAATTCCCTTGATTTACGCCCAGTTTGATCGTGGACATCTAGAAATTTTTAAGTTATATAGTATGGCTGGACGATTTCCGCTCATTTTGCCGATTTTTCATCTCGCCGATTTTTACTAGCGTTGTTTTGGGCGTAGTTGTTGAAATCTTTATAATCCTGATGCTTGTGGTATAATCCCTACGCTCAGAGGAACTTTACCAAACACATTTGTGCTATTTTGGCCCCAAACTCGGCGAAATAAACGCACACCTGGCCGGACTGCACCTTACCCCGCGCCCAGCCGGATGTTCGCAAAATTTTTCGAGAATTCCGCTTTTTATCGGGATTTTGACTACGCGATTTGATAGAGCGTCAAAAAATATACTAAGCGTTTTAATTACCGCCCAAAATAATGTAATATGAAAAAGTTCTAGCGAAAAGATCTCCGAACTTGCGGCTGGGGGTGGGTAAAGTAAAGTCTAGGCTATAATCTTTCAAAACATACCTTTTTACTGGTGGCTCTGAGATGATGTCTCTCATAAAAGCCAAGGTGTCCATAAATGGATTGTCTTAATTCAAGGGGAAATGCCAAGAATGGCAATGAGGTTTTTGGAGGAGCAGAGGAAAGATGCTGCTTCATGGCCATTCTAGCGTCTGAATTGAGGGGTTTATTTCGAGGGAAATCAATTCACGAAAGAAAACAATTATTTGCCAAAAGAATTCAGAGAGAATGTGATGGTTGTGGAAGTGAATAGAAGTCTATGCGATAAATGCAGATGGCACAGGCCATCTTGTCTTATCAAACTTATCATTTGATCATCTGCCCATCTCGGATGACCTTTACTTAATTTCTACTACTATTTCTACTCACACTAATGTCCTATTTGAGACCAGTGGAAAGAGACCGCCTCGCGGCCCATTTCCACTGGACCCTGTCTAGGAATCATGAATTCCGTTTCCTTTCATTGAAGCCTGCGCCGCAAGGGCCTCCCTCAAGGATCTTTCTTTGGCCTGCGGCGCCAGAGTCTGGGCTGAAGACCTCTTCTTTCGCCTGCGCTATAGCCTCGAAATAGCTTTTGTTGTTGGCCTGCAAAAAAAAACAAAAATTTACAAAAGCCAAGGATTCAAACCCCGGACCACGCGCTTGGTAGACCGGGCTCCAAGCCACTACACCACGGCGGGGGTTGGTGATGGGCGGCAGGAAAGGCCTCTTCTATCCTGGGGGGGCGGCGGTGATCCCGGCAGGGAGGCCTTCTGGTCACTTTACAAAATTACATTTTTGAGTCTAAATACGCCGAAAATTTGTAAAGATAATAGGATGCGCGTGATCCCCACTATCGATTGCATAAGTGGTCCAAATTTCAGCCGGCAATTTTTTGCTTGCTTTTTGCTTTTTGCTGCTTGCTTTGCGGGGGGCGACAATTTTTGCTAAAAACACAGTTAAACCTTTAGAATGACGTAATCAGGTAAAACTAGCCCCCCCCGATGATGCACCAGTTCCAATAATATTAATTCTTTTAGCAGCGGCCCTGTTGGAAGCGGGTTGGGACAAGGAGATGAACGAGCTGTGGACGGTGATTGTACCAAGGGCGGAAGCTGTTCGGAGAGTTTGTCACAGGGATAATGCCACCGCTGAGCAGGTAATTCCTCCTTTTTGTATAGATTTTAAATGATGGTTCTTTGGCATTAGCGGGGGGGGGACGAGCGAAAAACTCTAGAATTTTTTGAAACGTCGAAATTTTGCTCAAAACGGCAATTTTTTGATCGAAAATTCGGTATTTTTGGTTTTTCATCAAAATTTATCAATTTGGCCGTTAACAAGAAAAATTAGATCAGAAAAAACTTTAAAAATTCTTCTTTTTCTATTCAAAAACTTAAAAAATTCTCCAAACCGTCGGAATTTCAAAAAACGACAATTTTTTGGTCGAAAAATCGGTATTTTTTGGATTTTTCAATCGAAATTTGCCACGTTTTTATCTTTAAAAATCGTCAGGAAGAGCTTAAAAATCCTTTCGAAACTTATATTTAAAAATTAGATCCCTAGAGAAAGTGCCTCCCCCCGCTAATGCAAAAGAACCCTAGATGTCTCGTTTTTTTCAGGCGGAATCGCGTCTAAATGCCCAAATCGACAACAAGAGCCGTGTGGATGCCTCGAATGTTGTCTTTTGTTCGTTATGGGCTTATGAGGAGACGCGTCGTCAAGTCGAACGGGCTCTCAACCAATTGCCTCTTCGTCTCAAACAATAATTATTTATTCGTGTATTCTGGATGTATTTTATAGTTCTAGAATATCGTTGTATTAATCTAAACTTATCTCGGCTTCTTTTCTTGCCTTATTTGTTGTTCTAGTGCAAGGTGGTGCTAGTTCTTTTTCTATTTTCGTGATTTGACGGCGCGATTGTGTGATGATAAATAGATATATTCCTTTATCGAATCATTCCACCAACAAGACCCATCTTTAATCCAGTGGGAAAGATACGAGGTGTATTGCTATTATTATTATAGGGAAAGTATAGAGGGGCTTTGTATGAGAGACATAGAGTGAAATGCCATTCGAAATGACGTCTTTCAACCACAGATACTCCAATCGACATTTCTGGTAGAGAAGGTGCCGGCAGACGACGAACAACATGTTCATTGAATTCTTCCTTTTCCTGCAATCATTTTCATTTTAACCTTAGTTTTCCAGGCGCTTATGCATTATCAGGGGGGGGCACTTTTTCTGCGGAACAAGTTCCGCGGCTTTCTTTTGCTTCAAAAATGCGGAAAATCGAGTAAAAAATTGAGGCATTTCGAAATTCGCCGAAAAGATATCCCGACGCTTTGACGAGGGCCCGCCATTGATGCGAAAATGCGACTCTTCTACGGACCGAAATGGAGGTTTTTTGGGACCCTGTATATTTTACACGGAGGCGTTTCTCCTGACAACTGTTCTAACCAGGACTTTCGCGCTAATTTCGAAGCTCTGTTCAGAATCTGCCGAAAGGCCACACGAATCAAACATTTCTGAAGCTCCAAAGCGCTAAAATCCGCTAAAACGGCCCGTTTTCTCGCCGTTTTTCGACTTTTTGCAGCTAAAAGCTTGATAGCTTCTTGAATATCGTCGTTTCACAGATTATGAAACGACCAGCGCCCAAAACCCGCTTCGCGGGCCTTGGGCGCTGGAATGCGGCCTTTGCATAAGAAATTTGACTTTCCGATAGCTCGGGTCCTTCGGACCCCCACATGCGCGCGTGCAAGTTGCAAGAATGAAGACATTTCTATTTTTCACATTATGCAAATTACCCCCAAAAATGAATAAAACCGGCTTTAACTTTGTAAACTTGTATTTTATCAAAATTCTGAAAGCGCCATTGGAAACAGAAGGGTTGATTTCCCCAAGTGACGGAGAATTAGAGCATTTTATGCACGGAAAGGCCCTCAAATCGGGCCTCGAAAGTGACATCCACACACACACACACACACAGTTACACACCAAAATTATATAAGGTAGGATATTCGGAATTTGCACAAAATTCTGCACAAAAAAAAACTCTGTAAAAATGAGAAATCGATATGGAATTTGCTAGATAAAAGATAAATGAGCACAAATAGACAGGATACCGTTTTGTTGAGTTGTGTGGTGAATGTGACGAGGATTGTTCGACTTCTCATTTGATGGCCGGGAGACTGAATGGAAGAATTGAAGTCAATATATTCAATTGGGCATATGAATGGATAGATAAATTGAATAATAATGATTACCTTACACATCCATTTCTCAATCTTTTCAAACATAGATAATGCATGTGAATAGCCAAGATAGCCATCATATTGGAAAAGCATCATTGATGGCTTGGATATTTCCATCTGAAAATGTGTCGTATTGATTGAAATGTTGTGTATTAATTTGGTGTTACCGTATCAATTATCCACTCCAATCCTTCTTCCCAGTGCCGACGACATTTGATCGGTTCATGTAGAAGTGGGTTAGCGTCGATCGATACCTAACAAAAAATTATGGAAATTTTCGAGGATTCTATCAATTGGGGGTACCAGTGCCCTGTAGGGTACCCATCAACAGGTACCCGTATTAGAAGAAAAATACATACCCCCCCCGGGAAAACTTGATTTCGCCTATTTGCATCTCGCCTACTGCTATTTCGCCTCCTCTTATTTCGCCTACATCCCATTCCGCCTACATCTTATTTCGCCAAAAACGGTTTTTTGGATTTTTCGAAATTCCTTAATTTAACGATTTTACAAGCGAAAATGTAAAAATCCTTAACAAATTGCGTTACGAGCCGCGTTGTACAGGTGATAACTCAAAGCCCCGGTGGAATTTCGGTCTGAAATTTGGAACACTTATGTAATCGATAGTGGGGATCACGCGCATCTGATTTTCATTACAAATTTTCAGCGGATTGAGACTCAAAAATGGAATTTTGTAAAGTGGCCAGAAGGCCTCCCGCCCGGGGCCCGCCCCTCTGTTTGCCTCTGGCCCCTCCCCAGGAGGAAAGAGGCCTTCCCGCCGCCGCCCCATCTGCCTCGTGGTGTAGTGGGTTAGCTCCCGGTCTACCAGGCTCTGGGACGTGGGTTCGGATCCTGGCCGAGTGTGCCTTTTTGCTTTTTGGTAGTTTATCAACAAAATATCTTTCTAGGCTCTCGGTGTGCGAGGTTTAGGGCTGACCCTCGCTCTAGCGCCGCAGACCGAAGAAAAGGTCCTTGGCCAAGGCTCTCGCGCCGCAGGCCTAAGAGGGTCCTTGATCTAGGCTCTTGCGCCGCAGGCCACATCCGGGAGAACAACCAGTAACTAGCGCCGCAGGCAAAAAGTTCCTAGCGCGAGGTTTAGGCCTGGCTCTCGCTCTAGCGCCGCAGGCCAAAGAAAGGGTCCTTGGTCCAGGCTCTCACGCCGCAGGCCCAATAATGGCTTCTTGACCAAGGTACATGCCCCGCAGGCTAAAAAAAGAAGATTTTCAGATTCATGGTTCATGGACAGGGTCCAGTGGAAAAGGGCCGCGAAGCGGTCTTTTTCCACTGGTACCATATACTTGAGGCATACTAAAGCTTGTTGCGCATAAAAAGGTAATATGCAAAATAGGCGAAATGAAAGGTAGGCGAAATAAGACGTAGGCGAAATAAGAGGAGGCGAAATAGCAGTAGGCGAGATGCAAATAGGCGGGATCAAATGAAATCCCCCGATAATGGAAAAGAGCCCAAACGATGAAACTAACGAGATTGTCGAGTGGGTAACCGCGACGATGGAACCATAGAAGTTGTGAGAATCCGGCATCCATGCATGCCCTCAGCACAATCGAATATTTATGTCTTTTGAGGAGGGTTAAGGATTCTATTGGGAATCTCACTCCCTGAAAGTCTCTTTTGGAATGATGATTAGAAACATACGGTATCAGTCGTGCCCGGTGATACATACAATGCCATTGCACCGGGTGTCACTCCGGAAAACAACTTTTCGAAGGTCATATATGCTCGCCAGTAATCGCATCCATTCCGAGTCCATTTCATCGGATTCCCGCGGTGCCTGTCAAATTCCCCCTTTTTTTTGAAAGCAGCATTTCTTGTTTCTGTTCTTTTGTATTATCGTGGGATCACGCATTTTCCAAGGATCAAAATTTGAAAGTATAAGTAGGGCACGTTATGTTGAAGCTTTTTCTAGAATTTCTAACCGTAAATTTTGAACCATGGTTTCCATTTTGCAACCTCCCTTATTCGGGAATGGTCTCCGCTCGGCCTCGAATTCCGGGTTAAAAGTTAGCTCATCTTGTAGAGCTCGACGAGACGAATCGATTGATGTAACTTTTAGCTGCGGATACTGTAATACAACAAAGTTACTGCCCTTTAAAGTTTTTACCCGACCTTCATAAGCCCTCCCCACGCCCCCTCAATCGTGGTCCGGTGGCCTAGTGGTGTAGCAGTGGGCGTGTGGGGAATCTAACGCGGGTTCGGACCCGCTAACGATTTTTCTTTTTTGCTTTTTGGTCCGAAGCCTCCTTTTTACGTTCTGAAGGCCGTGAAGAAGTTTTTATTCATCATTTCTGCTCTAGGAAGCGGTCCGGCCAAAAATACAGCCCCTAAAAATTGTGGAAAATTTTGACGATTAGCCAGCATGCCATTGGTGGGTCAATTCAAGGCCAATAAAAATCAAAAATTTTTCATCGAATCTGGGGCACGATAGCGATTTTTAACGATGATTGTCCACCTGTTGAAATTTTATCTAAAATTTTGGAGGCAAGAGCACCAGCCACTGGGGTCAAAAAAGTTGTTTTTTGCCGAAGCCTCATTTTTGTTGAGAGCACTTCCTAGTGCAGAAATGATGAATAAAAACTCCTTCACGGCCTTCAGAACGCAAAAAGGAGGCTTCGGACCAAAAAGCAAAAAAGAAAAATCGTGAGCGGGTCCGAACCCTCGGTTGATTCCCCAGACGCCGACTACTACACCACTAGGCCACCAGACCACGGTGGAGGGGGCGTGGGGAGGGCTTATGAAGGTCGGGTAAAAACTTTAAAGGGCAGTAACTTTGTTGTATTACAGTATCCGCAGCTAAAAGTTACATCAATCGATTCGTCTCGTCGAGCTCTACAAGATGAGCTAACTTTCAACCCGGAATTCGAGGCCGAGCGGAGACCATTTCCATTGTTTTCCATTGGGATTGAGTTCTATTTTACAAAAAACACTATCAAAATACTTACGATTAAGTTAATAGATATTTCTAAGCTAATAGAAAACATTTGCCTCCCCCGATAATGCAAAAGAACCTTTTTCCCTTTTTTAATTTGAACACACCTAGCAGTTCCGACCCGTTCCGACGTGACTTTGGTAGTGGACACGCTAGCGGGGGCAGATTTTACCCAGTAATCCAATACGGCCCCGTAACGACATCTATACCATTTTTATTGCATTTTATAAAGTCTTACCTATAAAAAAACATCAAAAAATTTGAAATTTTTGTATTTATTGTTCGTAAATGATCGAAAATGACCAAAAAGGTCCACTATTTTAAAGTTATATTTTATAAAATTCCAGCAATCAAAAACCCCTGAAAATATTATGATAATGCACAATTTATGATTAACAGGTGCAGGGGCGTAGCCAGAAAAAAATTTCGGGGGCGGGCCCAGGGGGCCCACCTTACTCTACGTCCCTGAACAGGTGCGGTAGACGTAAAAACCAATGCCTCCCCCCCGCTAACAGTCCAGTACCAACAATAGCCCTTTTGAGACAAGACTAGAGGCTAGAATAAGCTCTTACCTTAACTTTTTCTGTTCTTTTCGACTCAATGGGTCGACAGTAAACGTTTGATAAGTGTTATAATAGAAATGAACGGTTGATGTTGTGTCCTTCCATTCGATTTCCATCTCTCCGCAACGTGTCAAACAACAAACCCTCATTTTCTGTAATTGTTCGTTTACTAAATTTTATTTACGATTTACAAACGTAAAAAATCTTCACAAATTCGTATTAAAAATATTCGAAAAAATGTCCGATTTTTGTCCCAAATTTCGACTTTTCGAAAAAACTTTGAAAGTCTAAGGATAGTTTTCTAGCGAAAATAGATGGATTTTTATTGCACTAAAAATATTCGGAAAATACCTCCTATTAAGTTATTAGCCATTTCTAGATTAATACAAATAATTGCAGCGCCCCCCTGATAATGGGAAAGAACCTAAAATAGATAAAAGTACCTTTTCTTTGGCCGTAATGAGGATATCATCCACATAATCACTTGCCGGCCACAAATTCCATGCCTTTTGACGCAATTTGATGGCGGACATCTGGAAATGGTAGATGATTGGGGGTTAACCCTTACATACCCCCCCTTCCCCCAAGCATGAAATTCCGGACATTTTTCGAGATTTCCGCCGTTTTGTGGGGATTTTGCGAGTGCCATTCGATAGAGCAACAAAAAATATCCTAAGCGTTTTCATTACAGCCCAAAATAATGCAATATAAAAAAGTTCTAGCGAAAAATTCTTAAGAAGTTGCGGCTGGGGGTGGGTAAAGTAAAGTCTAGGCTATAATCTTTCAAAACATACCTTTTTACTGGTGGCTCTGAGATGATGTCTCTCATAAAAGCCAAGATGTCCATAAATGGATTGTCTTAATTCAAGGGGAAATTCCAAGAATGGCAATGAGGTTTTTGGAGGAGCAGAGGAAAGATGCTGCTTCATGGCCATTCTAGCGTCTGAATTGAGGGGTTTATTTCGAGGGAAATCAATTCACGAAAGAAAACAATTATTTGCCAAAAGAATTCAGAGAGAATGTGATGGTTGTAGAAGTGAATAGAAGTCTATGCGAAAAATGCAGATGCCACAGGCCATCTTGTCCTCTCAATCTTATCATTTGATCATCTGCCCATCTCGGATGACCTTTACTTAATTTCCAGCTACTCACACTAATGTTTTCTTGGAGATGTAAACCCTCTTCTAAACGATGCCCTAAGGCTATCTTTATTCTATATGCACTTGGCTGTTAGCGGGGGGGAGCTAATTTTCCTTTTTTTTTGCCGGTGCATACCGACTACGCATTCAATGGTTGTAATCGCGTTTTTATTTTGGCGTAAAAAAGTTTGGCGTTGAGGCACGTATCCAGGAAGATGTCGGAAATGACTCGCACAGTTCGACGTCTCGAACGACCCAGTAGATCACCATCGAGTTCAGCCAGGAAACAGCCCGATCTGCAAAAACACACCACGGCAAAGTAGGCTTCTCCTCTGGAAGAACGGAACTGGAATAGATTTGTAGATAGAAAATAAATAAATAGAACCAATTTTTTTTCCTGGTTTTCCCGGTTGACCTAGTAATCAATTATAAAGTGTTTTCACATTGTTTTTAGTAAAATTTAACTATATTTAAAGTAGAAAAACCTTTCAAAAAAGTTAGAAAAATGTTTGAAAAAATCGAAAATTTAGTCATTTTGGGTCTTCCCCCCCGCTGATCCTAAAGGTTCTATAGGATTTTTCGACCTAAAATTAAATTTTTTAATTAAAATGTGGGTAGTTTTTATGCTTAGGAATAGTTAAAAACCATTTAGAAACGCATGCGCTATTAAAAAAATTTAGGCTTGGGCCGAAAAAATTGGTTTCCCCGGAAATCCTAAAGAACCCAGAGTAGAATTTTACGGATCGCATGATACCAAAGACGGCACGTTACTACTCCGAAATACAACTTTTCACAACGCCACCAACCTAAACGACCTTCGTTAGGATACTTTCTCACTCAGTTTTGTTAGTGCTTAGTATCATTAAAATCGCCGTGTTCCATTCTACAACCTTTGCATTCGGGTTTTTTTAAAGATAGGCCTTATCTTTCAAGATATAAGCCTCCAAAGTTTTGGCCCCGTAAATTTTCTTAACGAACGGAGTGCTTCGTTGCCTAGCCCTTCCACCGCCAAGATTTCAGAGGGTGCTCAGCAGACCCCTAGCGAGGCGCGGCTATAGGAGCCCTTCGGTCGCTTAGGCCATGTATTTCGGGCAAATCATCGTTCTGGCAAGAGGAACCTGCTAGAATCAATATATAATACTAAGAGAATATTCTTTCCTATAAGAAGAAGGAATATAAGAAGACAAGGAAAGTCTTTTAACATCCTTACAAAAACTTATTTTTTTTATTAAGTAGCCAGATTCGCCAACTTTCAGAAAAAAAAGCCAAAAAAAATTAGGTCCTATCTCTCACCGAAAGGGACCCCCGGCGTGAAAGTGACTTATTCTTATTTTTGGGCTGGAGAGACCGAGCTTAAAAGCAGTTCTTTCTGCTCGGACCTCTTGCTTATTCCTCATTTGCATATCATTTCTCGTTTTCTCGGCCCGATTCTGTCCATTTTATCGATTTGATTTTGGCCAAACTTCTGATTTCTAGATGGAAATGATGGATGAGGATACGCCCGTCTATTTCTGGGATGCCGCCCGCTTCGTGGCCATCAACAAGGAGCTCTACACGTCGAAAAGCGAGGTATTGCATTTGATTTTGACTTTAATTCTCTTTTTTCCAGGCTCGAGCCGCCGAGGTGCTGGCCCACGTCGCCAACGTGGACATCGAGACCGTCGACCCGTAAGTTTTTCACTTTTCTCGCTTTCAATTCCATTTTAGGGAGGCGATCATCGACGCGAAGGACCTGATCCTGCTGGCCATGCGGACGATCGGCGCCGAAGGGCTGCTCGTGCGTCATCAGGTATGATTTTGATTGTTCTTGGTTCTTTTCTTGGAGATTTATACCTGTTTGATTTTTTTGTAAAACCATTGATGACCTTTTTAAGGGTTTCGAAGTATACTAAAGCTTTTTTTTGCTTCAGTAGGCTATGTCTAAGTTCAAAAAAACTATAAGAATAAGGAAAACCTAGAAGAACAAATTTTAAATTTTTGTAGAAAAAAACATGTTTTTATCTAGTTCTCCGGTTTTTAAGCAGAAATTGTAGATCTTAAACGTTTTTGTCTATCTATTTATTTCCCTTTTTAGATGGAACTGCTGAGCGTGTTGAACAAGTTGCCGGCGCCGTTCGTCGACGTGATGGCCGCCTTCTTCGTCAACGCGCATGCGGCCCGCCAGATGATCCAGCTCGGCGCGCTGGCCGTCGCCATCGCCTTCGCGCGCCGCGTCCAGGAGGAGGAGTGCGCCGAGAAGGTACTTTTTGTTGAGTTTTTTTTTTAATCTCTTTTTCTTTTAGATCGCGGAGTTGCTGGGGCCGATCGCGCAAGTGCCCGAGCTCCACCACGAAATGATGCACCAGCTCGGCAACACGCGCAACGCCGAGCGCCGCTTCCGGGTTTATGAGGTATTTTCTAATTTATAAAGTTAATTCTACCTTTTTCAGGTGCAACTCGCTGCCTGCCGTGCCTCCAACGTCTACCCAGCCATGGCCGAATACATGCAGCACATAATAAAGGTATTTTAAACTTCATTTTCATCTTAATTTCACTTATAGGAACTCGAAGGCGACGACGTGCTCACGCAGCTCACCACCATGGACTTCCTCACCTCAATCGCCAGTACGTTTCCGCTTTTAAAACTTGAATCTCCTCTTTTTGTAGTGACTGGGCCGCTGGGAGGCCGGCTCTTGAAGGAGTCCGACGCGTCGACCGTCTTCTACAAGCTGCTGCTCGCCTCCAAGGAGTCACCCGACGGCGGCTTTGTGTATCCAGGTATTTTTATTTACCTTTTCCTTACTTTATTTGATTTTTAGGTTGCGTGCAGTACTTCGGGCAGCTGGGGCGCATCTCCCCCGAAGAGTTGGGCGAGTACCCGGTGTTCCTCGACACCGTCGTGGATATGGTAACTTTTTATTGGGTTTTTATTACTTTATTTGCTTTTTAGGTAGCGCATTTTGATCGTCTCGACCCGTCGCTACGCGCCGCCGCCTTCGACACGTTCGCCAACATCGCCTTCAGCGACAAGGGGAAGGCCGTTCTCGAGAAGCACACCGGTAAGCATTTCATTTTTTTCGAGTTATTGGTTTTTTTAGGCGCCCCCAAATGCCAACGCCTCATCGAGCACTTTGCGGTGGCGGTCAGCAACGGGCCCGTGGATCTGCGTGTGCGCCACCTCGAGGCGTGGGCCCTTCTCTTTGTGCAACACCCACCAAAAGTTACATTTGAACATTTCTGGCTTTTTTAATCTGTTCATTTTAGCCGACGAAGCCGTGGCGAAGCGCTGGTTTGAATGGCTTGGCCAGCCATTCGCTCGGCTTTTCTTTGGATACCTTCAGGTATATTTTTCTTGTTTTTCGCTTTCATTCCCTCATTTTAGCAACCGTTCGAGAACATGAGACGTGCCGCGTTCACGGCCCTCCACGCCCTCATGGGCTTCGAGTTTGGCAAGGAGGCGATGTTTGAAGTGAATGGGTACGTTTTTGGTTTTTACCTTTAACTTTTTTGCCTTTTACTTTTTTTAAATTTTCCTTTTTCAGGTTCATCGACTGGCTGTGCAACCCGGGCACGGAGACGGTGTGGGAAATCTGCCAAGAGAAGGACGACCTCGTGCGCGCCCTCATCCAATCGCCATCGCCCGCCGTCACCCCGGAGCTGCGCCAAAAGCTTACTGTAAGATTTTAGCTATTTTCTCTTTTAATTCCTTCTTTTTAGCGGTACTTCGTGAAGGAGAAGGCCGATCCGCAAGTGGCCATGGCGAACATCTGAAGAACAAGCCGGAAAAGAAGCCGAAGGACCGCCCCCCAACATCCACGAATTCGGGTATTCGTCTCCATTTGTATCAATATCTATCTATTCCCCAGTTTGTTTTCCATTTATGCCCTCTAGCTTATCAATCTTTTCGAGCCTCATCCATTTCGTTTTCATCAGTGCCGCCCCTGGTTGATACGAATAAATTACCTTTGAAATGTATTGAAAGCTTTGAAAAGCGAAAGCTCATAAAAACTTTTTTAAAAATGTGGGAAAGTTTGATTTTTTAGTCCAAGTGTCCGAAAAAACATCAAAATGGTCAACAGATTTAAATATTTTTTGACGGCTTGCTTTTCATCAAAAGCCTTCGAAAATAAACGAATATTTATCATCACAGAATCTCCCGCTCGATCACAAAAATAGAAAATGAATTAGCACCCTGCACTACAGGGCGGGTCAAAATGATAGGTCCACTGAGTTGTCCTCCCTTGTCTCGGCGGAGAAAGATTTTCTGAAGAACCCAAATAGTGGGTCTTGTAGCCCACGAAAGGACGATTTTTTTTGATGTACTCAAAATGATTTGATGATGCTATCATGATAAAAAGTGGCAAATTATGCATAATACTAAGATGATCTCGGAAAAGCCAGCCGGAAATTGACTTTCATCATTAGAATATAATTAGCAGTTAATATTCATACCCATTGTTGATTGTAACCATATGTAAAGTGTGGAGCGATTATTTTGACACATCGGTTTATCGCAGGATTTGATGGTTTGCTTTCTAGATCGACGTACCGCTATTGTAGAGACATTTCGAGTACATCAAAAAAATTCGTCTTTTCGTGGGCTACAAGACCCACGATTTGGGTTCTTCAGAAAACCTTTCGCCGCCGAGAAAACGGAGGACAACTCAGTGGACCTATCATTTTGACCCGGACTGTAGCGTTAAACGGAGGCAAGAAAAGAAGCCGAGGTAAGTGTGGATTAATACAGCGATATTTTAGAACTATAAAATACATCCGGAATACACGAATAAATAATTATTGTTTGTGTTGCGGAGCGCCTTCGAGCGCCCCCGCCTTTCCCCTTCGCTCCCCGGCCCCTCGCCTATCCAGTGCCCTTTCCACCGTAACGGGGTCTCTCTCCCCACTGGGCCAGCGATGGCATTTATTTCCCCGGTTCCGATTGAGTTTCAATTCTACTCCTAATTCCTTCTTGCCGCCATATTGCTCACCGAATAAACAGTTGTTCGAAAACTGTTCGTTCCGCTGCGCACCACACTTTGGCAAGACACAACAACTGGCGAGCAGGATTCCGAGCTCACGCAAACATCAAGGAAGATCCCAAGCCAACAAGCAGCCACTCGAGCCGCCGCCGCCCAGTCAAGGAAAAGTTGGTCAAGCAGATGTGGATCAAGCGCAAGGACAAGAAGCTCTACATGGCAAGAAGCGGCGTCATCCCATGGCGGATTCGAAAAAACGGGAAGTATTTTTACCCCTATCTGGCCTTCGCACTTTTTATGTGCCCGGATCGCGCGGCCATGCCCGTCGACAAGAAGGACCAAGTCGAAGCGCGCCGTCTTCGCCCTCAAGCGCAAGAAGGAAGGAAGGATGTCTCCAGCCAAGGACGACAAGAAATGCAGAGAAGGCCACGACGAATGGGTCAACTACGCGGCATCCGGCTGCCGCTCGCCCACTGGAACTCCGTCAAGGCCGGCCGCGACTTCTTCAAGGAAAGAAGAAAAAGACCGCGGTGTCTTTTCACGTTGGAAAAGCCCGCGGCAACGCCCGGCCGTTTATAGCCGTTGAAAGACCGGGATGCAGGTTTTTTTTTGAAAAGTCCCCGGCAACGCCCGGCCGTTGATAGCCGAGGAAGACCGGCGCGCCACTATCGCGAGCCGCCGGCCGATGGTACACCTCTATGGAAGAGGCCCGTCGTGAAGGAAGACCGGGAGGTCGACTTTTTGAAAGTCCCCCCGGCAACGTCCGGCCGTTTATAGCCGAGAGAAAGACCGGTGCGCCACTACCGAGAGCGGCCGGCAGATGGTACACCTCTATGGAAGAGGCCCGTCTTGGAAAGACCGGAAAGCCGACTTTTTTGAAAAGTCGCCGGCGACGTTACGGCCGTCTGTAGCCTGAAAAGACCGGGACCCAGGCTTTTCTGAAAAGCCCCCGGCAACCTCCGACGGTTTGTAGTCGAGAAGACCGGCGCGCCACTACAGCGAGCCGCCGGCCGATGGATTTCACCTCTACGGAAGAGGCCCATCGCGAAGACCGAGTCTGATGCAGCAGCTCGGCGGACGGTGCCCCAGCGAGCCCGTCGACACGGAGCGGCAAGATCAAGCTCATCATTCCTGCATGAGGGAAGGAGGCGTGCCCGCAGTGCCGTCTACCTTGGTGAAGCATCGTCGAACGTTGAAGGAAGGAAGGAAGGATGACCGTCGCCCACGCGCACGCCATTAATAAAGGAAAAGCAAATAAGTTTGACTTATTATACGCTGTGATTTGATCCATCGTTGCTGTACGCAGTTGTACATTTTCCGTTGGTGTCTCCTCTCCTATTCACATTTCCTTTCTTTTTCGTTTTGTACAGGGGGAGGTGTTGCGGAGCGCCTTCGAGCGCCCCCGCCTTTCCCCTTCGCTCCCCGGCCCCTCGCCTATCCAGTGCCCTTTCCACCGTAACGGGGTCTCTCTCCCCACTGGGCCAGCGATGGCATTTATTTCCCCGGTTCCGATTGAGTTTCAATTCTACTCCTAATTCCTTCTTGCCGCCATATTGCTCACCGAATAAACAGTTGTTCGAAAACTGTTCGTCCCGCTGCGCACCACACTTTGGCAAGACACAACAGTTTGAGACGAAGAGGCAATTGGTTGAGAGCCCGTTCGACTTGACGACGCGTCTCCTCATAAGCCCATAACGAACAAAAGATTATGAAATATAACTGAAAAAATGTTGGAGACAGGCATCAGAACAGTACCTCAAATATTTATCTGATATGGAATTGATGAGAAATGGACTTCCGCCTTGCAACAACCTTCGGAGCAGTTTTTCTAAAGGTCTTGTGAATTTTGCGACGACTTCCCAAGAATCGCTGCTCGACTCCATTTTTCATTTTTTTTTCCCGGGGTTACTTGGTGAATTGCTGTAGCTCTTCTTCGGGGTGGGCAATGAAAAAAGAGCTGAAATCAAGCTCGATGCCTTTTCGTCTTGCCAACCTGTCTTTCCTATAAAGTCTCTCTAGCAGCCCTCGGTCCAATTGGCATCGCTGCAAGTCTGCCCTTTCCCCAAGAATCCCAGCTAAATTGCCTTAACAAACGTACCTATGTAAATGCTGCACCATTGTGTACTTGTTTTTGTGTGAGTACTGATTAGTAACGCGAGAAAATTCCATCTTTATATAAGCAACATCTAGCCAAAGGCTACAAGCCGCAGAATCACATATGGATACGTACAATACAGTACACGCTACAAGGTACACCCCCTATACGCAGCTCCCATTCGTCATCGGGTGTATAATATCGTAGGGGCATTTGCAGCATTTGACCCAGGTGGCAAATCGGCTGGTTTTCCGTCGATCGATATTTCATCGATTTTTTTTTGTGTGTAATTTTGATTAATGACCAACATATTCCACACACCCAGATTTACTACCAGACATACCAGATTTTATCCAAATCGCGGGCAGAGAATAAAGATTTTAGAGCACTTTAAAGGGGCTCAGACGTCAAAATTCGCGCGTGCGGGGATTGAACCTACTGGTCAAAAAACGAAAAAGTCACTGGCGAGGAGTACAAAAAAACTGTTTTCGTTGCGAAAAAACGTCAAATATTTGAGTAAAACCGAAATGTTCTCGGGGCGAAAACGAGTTTTTGAGTGCGCGGTGATTCCATGTCGTAATGCGTTGTAAGGCCGCCAATCTCTCGATCTCGGTGATTCTCTGTCCAATTTTCATAATTTAAAAGTCTGCAATGATCAAAATTCGTTGAGGATTCCAAAAATAGTATCAGAATTTTTAAATTCAAGAGTTTTCGCGTCCAAACAGGGGCAAAAGACCATGCGGCGCGGTCGCGTTGCGGCCGCATCTGGCAATTTGCCAGGAATCACAGCAGGGGGCCGTCGACCAGATTTCGGAGCCCCTTTAAGGGCAGGCCTAAGCCTAAGCGTGACAGCTGGTGGTGAAAATCGTTCAGAAGGCGATAAAAAGAGAGAGAGAGACAGAGAGAGAGAGAGAGATATATAGAGAGAGAGAGAGAGAGGGAGAGAGAGAGAGAGAGAGAGAGAGAGAGAGAGAGAGAGAGAGAGAGAGGGAGAGAGACCCGGCCGGCTGGGCGGGGGGGAGGGTATCTGAGCCCGGTTCCATTTTCATCCACTTTAACTCGCCAGCGGATCCAAATTGCGCGATGCAGAAAAAGCCATTTATTCCTGAACACACCAAATGACGGTACACCACCATTTTGCGAATATAGGCTTTTACACAAGAAACACGATCGAACCACATTTTAATGTGTAGTTGAAAGTCCGAACCACTTGATCAATTCTGAGGTATTTTTTACAAATTGATTTTAATAGCAATACATCAAATACTCATACCAGTCGACGGAATCATTTTGGGGGGCGCAAGCGGGTGAATCAATGGACCAGCTGGTCGGCGCTAATGGGCTATTCGCATTTTGGATGAGCGGATAATAGGCTATTTTCCGTTCGCCGACGCTTCGCACGGAGAGGTTGACCGTGTCGTTGACGACGTCTGGTGGTAGAGCACAGGCCTTTTCGAGCAGCTCCTGGCCTTCGGCAGGATCCTGGATAAAAGGTTGCGTTTCGTTGACTGGTAAGGGCTGCTAGCCGAGATTCTTTAGGAAAGGGCTGCTAGCAGAGATTCTTTAGGAAAGGGCAGGCTAGCAGAGTCTTTGGAAGGGCTGGCTAGCAGAGATTCTTTAGGAAAGGGCTGGCTAGCAGAGATTCTTTAGGAAAGGGCTACAGAGATTCATAAAACTCTGCTTCTATGAAAAAAATCAATGTTGGCCTACCGTCCCTGGCGGAACCTGGAATTGGACTTCGATGATTCGCCGCACGCCGTCTGGTGGTCGATTCTGAAGCACCGAATTCATTGTTGATCTTGGTTGCCAGTTTTTCTGCGAATCCGTTGCCTACCTGGCAGGCTTTTTCCAGCCAATAAATCGTATATTCAACGTGCGAAGCGAGGCCCTTGATGCAGAAGTGGAAGGAAAAGACGAAATGTCGGGTGGACGGCATCTGAAAAATGCGCAATTTAGAGAAGAAGGGATCCACCTCCCAAAGAACCTCTGCTAGCCTGCCCTTTCCTAAAAGAATCTTTTCCAAACAACTTACTGCCTGCAGCACTTGATGAAGGTATTGTTCATGCATCATTGTGTTGATCAGCATCACCTATAATCGGAGAACCCTATGCAAACCCTGGGTGTTTTACATACAGCCGTCTTTGCCTCGAGTCCACTCCACTGGAGCCATTCGATCTTTTCCTCCAGACCATCTGGAAAACGGAACGAGCCGAAAGCGAAGGGCCGCTTCAAAAGGTCCAACGCGGCGACCGGCCACTAAAATCCATTTAGATGCCGAGCCACCAATGTTGCTTGATATGAAGCCTAAGCATAAGTTTAGGTTAGAGTGCAGTTTACCCCCCCCCCCCAGCCGACCCCCACCTTCCGTATATCGGCTCCCTGTTCATCTACAGGTGTGTAAAGTATACGAAAATACTCGTCAGAGCAAGGCGAACATTTTGGTACACTTTACTCACCTGTAGATGAACAGGGAGCCGAGATACGGTAGGCGGGGGTCGGCTGCGGGGGGGGGGGTAAACTGCACCTAAGCCTAAGTTTACGCCTATGTCTAATCCTGAGTCCGAGCCTAAGGCTTACTTAAAGTGGCTCCGGAGTGAAAATTCGTGCGTGCGAAGATTGAACCTACGGGTCAAAAAACGACAGGGTCACTGCCGAAAAGTGCCAGAAAAGTGATTTGATTGCGAAAAAACATAAAATATTTGAGAAAAACCGAATTCTTTTTTGGGGGAAAACAACATATTTTAACGACACTTAAAAGTGCGCGGTGATTCCATGTCGTAATGCGTTGTAAGGCCGCCAATCTCTCGATCTCGGTGATTCTCTGGCCAATTTTCATAATTTAAAAGTCTGCAATGATCAAAATTCGTTGAGGATTCCAAAAATAGTATCAGAATTTTGAAATTCAAGCGTTTTCGCGTCGAAATAGAGGCAAAAGATGGTGCGGCGCGGTCACGTTGCGGTCTCATCTGGCTATTTGCCAGGAATCACAGCAGGGGGCCGTCGACCAGATTTCGGAGCCCCTTTAAGCCTATACCTAAGCCGAAGCCGAAGCCTAGTACAAAGCCACAGCCAACATCTAAACCTAAGCCTAAGCTGAAGCCGAAGTCCAAGTCTAAGCCCAAGTCTGAAGCTAACCCCCTAAGCCTAACCTTAGCCTTCGCCTAAGCTTGAAATACGCTCGAGCCACAGCCGACAGACAGAGAGCGGAAATTGGTTGAAATTACGAGGATGCTAGAGATCGAGAGAGGGGGAGAGTGAGAGAGAGAGAGAGAAATTTGCGGAATGTCTACCTGCACTAACTGGCGCCAATTCTTGGACTCGTACCCCTCTTCCTCAAAGGGATATTCCGTTATTTTGACGGTGAAAGCCTGTGGCCGAGCAGCAGCGAATAGATTGTTCAGTAGCCGGAGTCCATCATTCACTGGCAGCTCGATCTTGCAACTCTTCACGCATACCTTCCGTATTTCGCTGCAACAAGTTTTCTTTTTTCGACGAAAACTGCCCATTACGGGAGTGACCATAGTATTGAAACGTACCTTAATCCCATCAATAGATCACCAGCAATGACTATCCCGAAGGTGAGTACCATGACGTCACAGCCGGGCTCGCAGTGCCAATCGATGTCAATGTACTCTCTGGTGCTGTAGCACTCAAGACGAGGGGACATACCCTGAAAATACGGCCCCTTCCTAAAGAATCTCTGCCAGCCTGCCCTTTCCTAAAGAATCTCTGCTAGCCTGCCCTTTCCTAAAAAATCTCTGCTAGCCTGCCCTTTCCTAAAGAATCTCTGCTAGCCTGCCCTTTCCTAAAGAATCTCTGCTAGGCCGCCATTTCTGAGAATCTTCCAATACCCACCATCACATCCATCGCGAGGTAGATATGGCGAATTTTTCGATTAGTTGGAAGCACGGTTGCCTTGCAGATCATTGATCGCTTCTATAAAGTCTACATTTGAGAAATGTTCTGGAATATTTCAAATATAATTCTTATAAAATTCACCTACACAAGGCTGAGCCGAAAACAATTGGCTTTTCGTCGTAAAAATTTTATGCAAGACACTATTCTTCCATTCTAGCTTTTTTTTGTTTTTGTTGCGATTCTGGTTATTATTATTCTTGTCTTTCTTCCCTCGGACTCGCGCCACAGCATTCAGAATACTAAGAAAAAGGTTCGTCGGGCGGGAACAGGATGGGAGAGGCGAGAGAGTGGGTGGGGGGTGGAGAGCCCAGAGATCCTCTCTGTTCTCTGCGTCTCTGCCCGGCGGCCTCCAGCCTATTTTGGCCGCCGGTCGCCGCCTAAAGCGTGCCCCAACCACCGTTGGCCGCCCCCAGGGTGTCTGTCTGCCCTTGTGTCTGCGCTCCGCATGGTGTACCCAAGCTTGGGGCCCCCCTTTTCTGAACCATGTGGCACGGCAAAAAAAGCCTTTTCTCCGCGTGTCAAATACCTGACGTAAGCGGTTTTTTGGCCGCCTAAACATCGATGCCGCTGAATTTCAGACCAATTTCGCCTCCTTTCAAAAACTAAATTGGGACAAAAATTGCTAAAAATACCCAAAAATGCACGTGGGTAGTTTCAAAATTGCATCTTTTTTACTTCCAAAACTAGGAAAGCGGCTTTGCGCGACAAATCTGGCTCGCCAGAAGAGCTGCGTTGGGGCCCGCACCAGCGGATGCGGGCTTCGTTCGAATCGTTGCCACCCGCTAGGTCAACAGATACGCCTTCTCAGCCCCTTTAACTTACAATTAGCTTCATTTCCATAACGGCCGGAAAAAAAATCAGTCATTTGGGGGAAAAAATTCTATAATTTTAGCTTGGGTATAACTACCGCGTGTCCCAAAAAAAAACGACCCATCTGGCACGCCGTGTTACATCCAATCGGCCCCAAATTTGGACCAGAGGTGTATCAGACCCTAAATAACAACAATCCTGAGTTATAGCGCAGTAGCTACGGCCTTTCTTGAGTTATAGCAAAAACAAACTTTATTTTTCATTTTTCATAGGGTTTCCGTGGAATTAGACCCTCTAAGCATTAAGTGAAAATGATCCGCTAGGCCTTCTTTACCTTCAGAATTTTTTTCCAGATCAAAATTAATCAAATCAGCTCCGATTTAAGCGATTTTTACAACCCAAAATTACCCAAGATCTTAAGCGAAATTTGGGATTCGCAGCCGGAAGTCGACGCAAATCGAAGCAAAGTCCAAAAAGATAGTCGAAAAAACTGTTCAGATTTGCGGGAAAAAAACCAGTATTTTAGCTATAACTTCAGAACAACTGTAGCTATGGGGCTAAAAGTCAGGATTGTGATTATTTAGGGTCTGATACACCTCTGGTCAAAATTTGCGACCGATTGGATGTAGCACGACGAAATGCCAGATGGTTCTTTTTTTTGGGACACCCTGTAGACTCCGACTTAGTTTAACTAAAAAGACCGAAATAAGCAAACCGTGGTTGCACTTAGAAGCCGTGCTTTTTCGATGAAGCCCAAATGGCCGTGGGTGGCTTGTTGCAGGTGCGTCGAGAGCTGGAAGAAAGGAAAGGGCATTCTGCAGTAGTGCCAGCTCTTGCTCAGCAATCAATTCCACGCTGAAAATGTGTACTCACACCGCTTGAAAGTGAATAAACCATCGACTCATCTGAATGCGGGAAAGGGAATTACATCAGACATCATGGCAACTCAAGCAATGGTTTGGGCCGCAACGATAAATGGGGAATTTGCACGGGGAATGGGGCTACGCGGCGCCCCAATACACCCCGTTTTGAACAAAACTCTAGTCTAAAACCGGAACCTTCAAAGTCTTGGTCCAATTCATTTTTGAATTCGGTTTTCTTCCGCTTTAGTCACATTTGAAAGAGCGCATTCTCTTCTACAACTCTGGAAATCTCCCTTTTTGAAGTTAGAATCTAAATAAAAAGTTATAAGCCATCAAAGATTTTCCCCTTAGTATTTTTGCCCGAAAAGAGCCCGGAATTACATGTCGTAATTGCGGCCCCTGAGATGCCGTGGACATTGCCCAGCCGATATCGCCACTATGTTGTCAGCAAGATGTGACGATGTCTTAATATACAGTTAACGTCTTAGACTGGAGAGAGAGAGAGAGAGAGAGCGAGCGAGCGAGATAGAGAGAGAAAAAATGGGATAGAGCGCGAGAGAAAGATAGAGAGACAGACACAGAGAGAGAGTATGTGTGTATGGTAATAAATGGTTAAGTAAAAGTGTAAGGAAAAAGTAGTGAAATGAAATAATATATTATGGACCTCGACCCCCGACCATCTGCCGTACGGACAGGCAGATGTCGCTCCCGCGTGTTCTTCTTCCAAATTGAGCGTTAAAGTTGAAGGTATCGATTTCCACAAATTTCCACCGCTAGATTGCCGCGTTTCGAAAAGTACAGAGTGGTCCAAAAAAAGTGAAGTTTGCATAAACCAATTTTTATCATCACAGAATCTCTCGATCGATCACGAAAACAGAAACTGACACCACCTTGCAATAGCACATAAATTATGAGCATAAATAAGGCAAGAAAAGAAGCCGAGGTAAGTTCAGATTAATACAACGATATTTTAGGACTATAAACTACATCCAGAATACACGAATAAATAATTATTGTTTGAGACGAAGACGCAATTGGTTGAGAGCCCGTTCGACTTGACGACGCGTCTCCTCATAAGCCCATAACGAACAAAAGACAACATTCGAGGCATCAACACGGCTCTTGTTGTCGATTTGGGCATTTAGACGCGCTTCGGCCTGAAAAAAACGACGCATCTAGGTCCTTTTGCATTAGCGGGGGGGCACTTCGATTGAAAAATCAAAAAAATACCGATTTTTCGACCAAAAAATTGTCGTTTTTTTGAAATCTCGATTGTTTGAGAATTTTTGAAGTTTTGAAATAGTTCTTCTCTGATCTAATTTTTCTTGTTAACGGCCAAATTGATAAATTTTGATGAAAAACCAAAAATACCGATTTTTCGACCAAAAAAATGCCGTTTTGAGCAAAATTTCGACGTTTCAAAAAAATTCTAGAGTTTTTCGCCCGCCCCCCCCGCTAATGCCAAAGAACCAGCATTTAAAATCTATACAAAAAAGGGTAAATACCTGTTCAGCGGTGGCATTATCCCTGTGACAAACTCTCCGAACAGCTTCCGCCCTTGGTACAATCACCGTCCACAGCTCGTTCATCTCCTTGTCCCAACCCGCTTCCACCAGGGCCGCTGCTAAAAGAACTAAGTTTTTTGGAGCTAGTGCATTATCGGGGGAGGGGACGGGGTAATTTTTTTGTATGAATCTAGAAATTTACAGTAATTCAATAACAACCGTTTTAAGATTTCTTAGTAAAATTTCACGGTTTTCAAGTGGAAAACTATAAAAATAGCTATAAAAATTTTCTAAAATACGAAATTTTGGCTGAAAAATCGATTTTTTTTTGTAAAGTTTTAATATAATTCAGTTAGGTTCGTAAGGATAAAGCGACCCCCCGATAATGCACAAGTTCCAAATTGCCAAAAAACTGACCCTCAACGACGACAAACTGGCGATCAGTGGCGTCGATTTGTGCTTGAACGAGTTGCATCAATGCCGGCCAGACAATTCCATTCAGCTCCAGTCTTCGCTCCTCAAATTACCATCATTTTTATAGATAACTCGATTTCTATCAAAAATTATATAGAAAATCACCATTTTCCGAAAAAAACTAGATTTTTCAAAAATTTTCTAAACTTTTTCAATAGTGTTTTTGAACCTTATTTAGCTGATTTTTACGAAAAAGAAAGAAAAAGGCTTATAATGAAAAATTTTGCCATAGAAAAATTAACCCCCCCCCCGGTAACGCAAAAGTACCGTTTCCGTAATAATAAAAATTGGTTCTTGCGCATTATCGGGGGGGGGGGGCAGCTTCGTTCTTGAAGTCTAGAATACCCCAAACTTAAGTAGTTTAATAGCGTTTTTGAGTCAAATCTACCATATTTTAGGCGGAAAACCGATCAAAAAAACCCAGGAAAATTTCTTCAGATGAAATTTTGATCGAAAATCAGCCAGTTTTGGACCCCCGATAACGCCAAAGTACCCCAAAAATTGTACCGGATTCTGAAAGACGATAGCGCCGAGTTTTTTCCTGTCGACGAGCCCCGTAGAATCGACGACACCATCAAATGCTTCTCGAATTCGTTGACTGAGAATACTTCCCGGTGAATAGGCATCATGCGCCAAACCATCACAGTCGATCACCTAAAAAGACGTGGCAATTTATTTGAATTAAAACTAATAAAAACACGGTTAGAGTAAAAAAAACTGCCCCCCCCCCGCTAACAGTCAAGAACCCGAATTTCCGCAAAAAATCTCTGGTGAGGGTGCAATTTACCCCCCTTCCAGTCGGTAACCAACTTTTGTATCTCGGCTCCCTGTTCATCTACAGGTGTGTAAAGTATACCAAAATGTTCGCCAGAGCAAGACGAAAATTTTGGTATACTTTACACACCTGTAGATGAACAGGAGCCGAGATACGGTAGGTGGGCGTCGGCTGGGGAACTGCACCTAAGCCTAAAAACACATCAAATACAAATATTCCCAAACGGTCTCTGCTAGCCTCCCCAAGGAAGCCAAAAAAAAACGAACCAAAAAATCGGGCTGTTCGGCGAGATACTTGGCAATGTTGCTCTTCCCCGAGGCGATCCCTCCCGTCAATCCAATCACATATGGACGGCCTGGGGTTGGCGGCCTGAAATTCGCCTTTAAAAGCGTTCTTTTCCATTATCGGGGGGGGGGGTCCCTTAGGATTCTACACGATTTGTAAAGGTAAAATGCAAATTTTTAGAAATAAAACACAAAAATAGCGATTTTCGATCAGAAAGTCCAAATTTTCGACAATTTTTAGGGTTTCTAATTGTTTTTCGACGAGAAACTCGGATAAATTGACGTAAAAGACAATTAAAATATTTTATAATGCGTTACTGCGTATAGCTGGAGATTTAGCAATCTCCCCCCCCGATGATGCAAAAGCACCGAAAAGGCAAGTACCTAGTGGGTGGACGAAGGAGAGAACCGAGTGCTTCTCGTCGTCTCGTCGAAGAGCTGATCTTCACTTCATTCAACACCTCATCCTCCGCATCAAGCAGCTCGATCTTGTCAATATCCACCGGCGAGAGACCGTTCTCCTAAACATCAAAACTAGGTACTTTACTCTTTCCGGGGGTGTCTCAATTTTTCCTGGAAGTGTTTCGTCTTTTTAGTCAACATTCGCCGTAATCCAGGCAAAAAACAACCACTTGAAAACGACGAAAAATCTTTAAAATCCGAGATTTTGGCCTAAAATCCATATTTTTAAATTTAGGATCGAAATTTTCGAAGTTTTTAGGTTTAGATAGTAAAAACCATCCTACAAAATGAAGGTAATTTGGGTAAAAACTATTTCAAAACTCAGAAAATCAGTGAAATTTCAGATTTTGGCCCAAAATCTACATATTTTGTCTCCAGGATCGAATTTTGTACAATTTTCACGATTAGAAATAGCAAAAAAAAACTTGTAAAAACGCTTTTTCTGTCTTAAAGCGGAAAATGCACATTTTTACCTTTCTCTTTGTGTTGACAGCTTCTCCTCCCTTGACCGTCTCTGCACTCACAATAATTGCCTGTAGAGAAGGAACCGTGATTGATTTCCCGAATGGATCGTCCAGGGGGAAAAGGTCGCATCTGAAATCCGGGATTCTTATGCATTATCGGGGGGGCGGATTTTTCTATAAGTCTAGTAATGCCTAGAGACTTCATAGGAAGCATTTTTGCCGTGATTTTGGTAAAATATGGCTAGATTTGAGCCCGAAAACCTAAGTAAAACCTACAAAAATGTTTGAAAAAGCCGCAATTTTGCTCAAAAATCTCTATTTCAGTCGAAAAATCGATATTTTTACATTTTTTAAAAATTTTTGTAAAGTTTTTAGGTCTAGAAATAGCTTAGGAACACTTGCACTATTCATTTAGGCAAACTGGATCCCTAGAAAAGGTTAAAAACGCCCCAAAACCCACTTCATATTATCGGAGACGTCGTCGACAAACTGTTGCACATCTTCAATTCTCTCTTCGACAGGCGCAATCAGCTCCCACAGACTTTTCTCTAAAAAAATACTCTTTTTAGGGCTAAAAGCTGTACTTTGAATCATAGCCACATCCGTCACCCCACAATACAGAGTGCCACTGCCGAGAAGGATCGCCCGCGAGAGAAGCGTCTGGAAAACATCCGGGTTTACAAGTTTTTTGAGGTTTAAAAACTCTAAAACAGGTTTATTTACAATTAATTTGTATTAGTTTTTCTTTATCTTATGAAATTTGGGGGGAAGGCCCTCAACCACGGAAATACCCCCGATTTTCCTCGGGTTTTAGGTATAAAAAAGCGTTAGACTGCTAGGAGATAAGATTTTTCGCTCAATTTCAACGCCGGCCCCTCAGGATCGCTTCTGCCAGACGATTGGACGCTGCGAATCGATTACTTCCGGCCCGACGATGGCCTGCTCAAGAAATCGACCTTTTACGGCCCTTTTCCAGAATTGAAATCGCGTAATTTGGGTGCCGAATTAATTCTTTCTGATTCATCAACGAGCTGCCGGGAAAGACTTTCCGGCGAGCTCCATCTACATCGCAACAAGCAGATTCCAGTCATTTAGAGCCCCAGAATCTTATGCTCGTCCTGCTCGTGCTCCTCTTTTCAGCAAATCGATCGAGATCCTGGTGCTCGCTCTCGACTCGGCCAGATTGCAATCTTTGCTCGGGAAACGTCGGGCTGTCGGGTTAGCGGGCGTAGCCCGCTAACCCCTTTTGGTTTGAGGTACCCCCCCATACGACTCTTTTGGGGTCCTTTTCCGGATTTAAAAAAGAACCAAGCATCGGATCGCGAAACTGAATACACCATCGGAACCGGCGACACTTTTTGCATACTATAAGCTTTTAAAAATTGAAAAAAGAGTGAAATTTCGAATTTTAACAGCCGATTTAAATTGCGTTTCGAGGGGGGGGGTCTGCGTTTGTATGTGTGTGCGTAGGCAAAACCTTTGTAGTCGTCAAAAAGTGCCTTCCCATCATCCGTTTGGGCTGAAATTTTTTACGGTTATTGGGTCAATGATAATCTCGGACTGCAAGAAGAGTTTTTTTTTCAAAATAGGCTTTAAAAAAATTTATATTTAATTTTTAAGTTTAAAAGCTAAATCGCGGTCAAAACAAGGGTTAGTGATGTCCGTTTGTGCTGAAATTTTGCTCAAATATGCATTAGACCATGCCGGAATAAGTAAAGAAGAAATTGCAACGAAAGAATGCTTCTTCTCTGAGATATTATAACTTGAAACCTTCGCCATACGGGGCGCCACCCTCCCCTTTGGTGGCCCCGGTCCCGAGTCAGGGCGGGCGGGTCTAGCTTCCCCAAGATAGGCCTCCGGTCTCCCCGTTGGCCTAGTGGTTAGCACGCTGTACTGGGAAGACTTGGCTCCCGAGTTCGAATCCTTCCCGACATGGTTTTTGCCGATTGGCCCCCGTGCATCCTTATGGTTCTAGTGCCGTCACAAAGCGCCGCAGGCAAATTTTTTTGAAGTTTTGCGTACAAGGGTTCATCTGAATAAGTATTCCTTGGCTTATTTTACGATCTTAACAATAAGGTTGAGGCAAAAAGGGCTAAATTCTCTCTAAGGCTAAAAAGAGTCTTTTTAAAAAAGGGCTTTTGGTTTTCGCAAAAAGAGACGAATTCTCTTGGCAACAAAAAGAGCTAAATTCCTTTCAAACTCTTAAAAATGCCACAGAATGTGGGATCAACCAAAAGTTGCTGGCATCTTATTGAAATGGACAGATCCAGTTTCTAGCGGTTTCGGCTTGCAAATAATTTCTGTATTATGATCTATTTGCCCTTTCTTGAAATTAAGCTGTGGACCTGACCTGTGATCTGGGATGGAACCGAGTTTATTAAGATTTTAAATAGCCAGCAACTTTTTGATGTTCCCGCATTCTGTGGCATTTTTAAGAGTTTGAAAGGAATTTAGCTCTTTTTGTTGGTTGGCAGTCGTCTGATCGAAAAACACCTGATCGAAAATCGCCTGATCGAAAATCGCCTGATCGAAAAATCGCCTGATAGAAAATGGCCTGATCGAAAATCGTCTGATCGAAAAGTCGCCTGATCGAAAAATCGCCTGATCGAAAATCGTCTGATCGAAAATCGCCTGATCGAAAAATCGCCTGATCGAAAATCGTCTGATCGAAAATCGCCTGATCGAAACTTATCGGGGCTGAAGGACCAAGCCAGGTGAAATAAAATTTTTCTTGCCCCAGCACCTGGAAGTAATTTGTCATACCATGCTTCGTGGTTAGGCTTAGACTTAGGCTTAGGCTTAGGCACCAACAACGCACTCAACCAACACTTTGGCTGCAAGCACCCGTCCATGTGGAAATTCCTCAACTACCTTCAGAAGTTCGAGCTCAAAACCCGGGTCAAACTGAGACAGCTCCGAGAATACGCGCATGCCCCGAAGAAACGCGACCGGACGACGCTCGACGAGCAGCAGAAAATATGCTACAACTTTGATAAGGATTTGCTTTGCTTTGCGATTTTCGATCAGTTGACTTTTCGATCAGGCGACTTTTCGATCAGGCGATTTTTCGATCAGGAGATTTTCGATCAGACGACTTTTCGATCAGACGATTTTCGATCAGGCGATTTTCGATCAGGCGATTTTTCGATCAGGTGACTGGGAATCCTTTTTGTTGCCACGAGAATTCGTCTCTTTTTGCGAAAACCAAAAGCCCTTTTTTAAAAAGACTCTTTTTAGCCTTAGATTTCCTTCTAATACGGGTACCTGTTGATGGGTACCCTACAGGGCACTGGTACCCCCGATTGATAGAATCCTCGAAAATTTCCATAATTTTTTGTTAGGTATCGATCGACGCTAACCCACTTCTACTTGAACCGATCAAATGTCGTCGGCACTGGGAAGAAGGATTGGAGTGGATAATTGATACGGTAACACCAAATTAATACACACCATTTCGATCAATACAACACATTTTCAGCTGGAAATATACAAGCCATCAATGATGCTTTTCCAATATGATGGCTATCTTGGCTATTCACATGCTTTATCTATGTTTGAAAAGATTGAGAAATGGATGTGTAAGGTAATCATTATTATTCAATTTATCTATCCATTCATATACCCATTTGAATATATTGACTTCAATGCTTCCATTCAGTCTCCCGGCCATCAAATGAGAAGACGAACAATGCTCGTCACATTCACCACACAACTCAACAAAACGGTATCCTGTCTATTTGTGCTCATTTCCCTTTTATCTAGCAAGTTCCATATCGATGTTTCATTTTTACAGAGATTTTTGTGTGCAGAATTTTGTGCAGATTCCGAATTTCGTTTCATAATCTGTGAAACGACGATATTCAACAAGCTATCAAGCTTTTAGCCGCAAAAAGGCGGAAATTTCGAGAAAACGGGCCGTTTTAGCGGATTTTAGCGCTTTGAAGCTTCAGAAATGTTTGATTCGTGTGGTCTTTTGGCAGATTCTGAACAGAGCTTCGAAATTAGCGCGAAAATCCTGGTTAGAACAGTTGTCACGAGAAACGCCTCCGTGTAAGATATATAGGGACCCAAAGAAACCTCCATTTCGGTCCATAGGAGAGTCGCATTTTCGCATCGATTGCAGGCCCTCGTCAAGGTGTCGGGATATCTTTTTGACGAATTTCGAAATGCCTCAATTTTTTACTCGATTTTCCGCATTTTTGAAGCAAAAGAAAGCCCCGGAACTTGTTCCGTAGAAAAAAGTGCCCCCCTGATAATGCATAAGCGCCTGGAAAACTAAGGTTAAAATGAAAATGATTGCAGGAAAAGGAAGAATTACATGAACATGTTGTTCGTCATCTGCCGGCACCTTCTCTACCAGAAATGTCGATTGGAGTATCTGTGGTTGAAAGACGTCATTTCGAATGGCATTTCACTCTATGTCTCTCATACAAAGCCCCTCTATTCTTTCCCTATAATAATAATAATAATACACCTCGTATCTTTCCCACTGGATTAAAGATGGGTCTTGTTGGTGGAATGATTCGATAAACGAATATATTTATTTTCCATCACACAATCGCGCCGTCAAATCACGAAAATAGAAAAAGAACTAGCACCACCTTGCACTAGAACAACAAATAAGGCAAGAAAATAAGCAGAGGTAAGTTTAGATTAATACAGCCATATTTTAGAACTATAAAATACATCCAGAATACACGAATAAATAATTATTGTTTGAGACGAAGAGGCAATTGGTTGAGAGCCCGTTCGACTTGACGACGCGTCTCCTCATAAGCCCATAACGAACAAAAGACAACATTCGACGCATCCACACGGCTCTTGTTGTCGATTTGGGCATTCAGACGCGCTTCGGCCTGAAAAAAAAACGAGACATCTAGGTTCTTTTGCATTAGCGGGGGGCACTTTCTCTAGGGATCCAATTTTTAAATATAAGTATCGAGAGGGTTTCTCAAATGTTTTTGACGATTTCTAACGGTAAAAACGTTGCAAATTTCGATTGAAAAATCCAAAAAAAATTTCGACCCAAAAAATTGCGGGTTTGAGCAAAATTGCGACATTTCAAAAAATTCTAGAGTTTTTCGCCAGCCCCCCCCCCGCTAATACCAAAGAACCAGCATTTAAAATCTATACAAAAAAGGGTAAATACCTGTTCAGCGGTGGCATTATCCCTGTGACAAACTCTCCGAACAGCTTCCGCCCTTGGTACAATCACCGTCCACAGCTCGTTCATCTCCTTGTCCCAACCAGCTTCCACCAGGGCCGCTGCTAAAAGAACTAAGTTTTTTGGAGCTAGTGCATTATCGGGGGAGGGAACCAGGTTTTTATGAATCTAGAAATTCCTAGTGAGACAATCGCACGTTTTAATAATTTTTTTAGTAAAATTTAACGGTTTCAACTGGAAAACCAAAAAATAACGATAAAAATTGCTGAAAACACGAAATTTTGGCCGGAAAAACGATTTTTTAAAAATTTATAATAAACAGGGTTAGTAAGGAAAAAGCTCGCCCCCCCCCCGTTAATGCACAAGCTCCAAATTGGCAAAAAACTGACCCTCAACGACGACAATCGGGCGATCAGTGGCGTCGATTTTTGCTTGAACGAGTTGCATCAATGCCGGCCACACAATTCCATTCAGCTCCAGTCTTCGCTCCTCAAATTACCATCATTTTATAGATAACTCGGTTTCTATAAAAAAAATACATAGAAAATGACCATTTTTCGAAAAAAACTAGATTTTTCAAAAATTTTCTAAACTTTTTCAATAGTGTTTTTGAACCTTATTTAGCTGAATTTCACTAAAAAGAAAGAAAAAGGCTTATAATGAAAAATTTTGCCTATAGAAAAATTAGCCCCCCCCCCGGTAACGCAAAAGTACCGTAAAAACCGTAAAAATAAAAATTGGTTCTTGCGCATTATCGGGGGGGGGGGCAGCTTCGTCCTTGAAGTCTAGAATGCCTAATAACCTAAAATTAATGATAGCGTTAATAGCATTTCTGAGTAAAATTTACTCTATTTAGGCGGAAAACCGATCAAAAAATACCTAGAAAAATTTTTCAGATGAAATTTTGATCGAAAATCGGCCAGTTTTGAACCCCCCGATAACGCAAAAGTACCCCAAAAAATTGTACCGGATTCTGAAAGACGATAGCGCCGAGTTTTTTCCTGTCGACGAGCCCCGTAGAATCGACGACACCATCAAATGCTTCTCGAATTCGTTGACTGAGAATACTTCCCGGTGAATAGGCATCATGCGCCAAACCATCACAGTCGATCACCTAAAAAAACACATGGCCATGTATTTGAATTAAAAATAATAAAAACACGGTTAGAGTAAAAAAGACTGCCCCCCGCTAACAGTCAAGAACCCGAATTTCCGCAAAAAATCTCTGGTGAGGGTGCAGTTTACCCCCCCTCCAGTCGGTAACCAACTGTTGTATCTCGGCTCCCTGTTCATCTACAGGTGTGTAATGTATACCAAAATGTTCGTCTTGCTCTGGCGAGTATTTTGGTATACTTTACACACCTGTAGATGAACAGGGAGCCGAGATACGGTAGGTGGGCGTCGGCTGGGGAACTGCACATGCCTAAAAACACACCAAATACAAACATTCCCAAACGGTCTCTGCTAGCCTCCCCCAGGAAGCCCAAAAAACGAACCAAAAAATCGGGCTGATCGGCGAGATACTTGGCAATGTTGCTCTTCCCCGAGGCGATCCCTCCCGTCAATCCAATCACATATGGACGGCCCGCGGTTGGCGGCCTGAAATTCGCCTTTAAAAGCGTTCTTTTCCATTATCAGGGGGGTCCCCTAGGATTCTACATGATTTATAAAAGTAAAAAACTATGCAAATTTTTAGAAATAAAACACAAAAATATCGATTTTTCGATCAGAAAGTCCAAATTTTCGACAATTTTTAGGGTTTCTAATTGTTTTTCGACGAGAAACTCGGATAAATTCACGTAAAAGACAATTAAAATATTTTATAATGCGTTACTGCGTATAGCTGGAGATTTAGCAATCTCCGCCCCCCCGATGATGCAAAAGCACCGAAAAGGCAAGATACCTAGTGGGTGGACGAAGGAGAGAACCGAGTGCTTCTCGTCTTCTCGTCGAAGAGCTGATCTTCACTTCATTCAACACCTCATCCTCCGCATCAAGCAGCTCGATCTTGTCAATATCCACCGGCGAGAGGCCGTTCTCCTAAAAATCAACTCTTTAGGTACTTTACTCTTTCCGGGGGGGGGGTGTCCCAATTTTTCCTGGAAGTTTTTCGTTTATTTGGTCGAAATTCACCGTAATCCAGGCAGAAAAACAACCACTTCAAAACCAAGAAAAACCTTTAAAATTCGAGTTTTTGGCCTAAAATCCATATTTTTCAATTAGGATCGAAATTTTCGAAGTTTTTAGGTTTAGATAAAGTAAAAACCATCCTACAAAATGAAGGTAATTTGGGTAAAAACTATTTCAAAACTCAGAAAATCAGTGAAATTTCAGATTTTGGCCCAAAATCTACATATTTTGTCTCCAGGATCGAATTTTGTACAATTTTCACGATTAGAAATAGCAAAAAAAAACTTGTAAAAACGCTTTTTCTGTCTTAAAAATGCACATTTTTACCTTTCTCTTTGTGTTGACAGCTTCTCCTCCCTTGACCGTCTCTGCACTCACAATAATTGCCTGTAGAGAAGGAGCCGTGATTGATTTCCCGAATGGATCGTCCAGGGGGAAAAGGTCGCATCTGAAATCCGGGATTCTTATGCATTATCGGGGGGGATTTTCTATAAGTCTAGTAATGCCTAGAAACTTCATAGGAAGCATTTTTGCAGTGATTTTGGTAAAATATCACTATATTTGAGCCCGAAAAACTAAGTACAAACTACAAAAATGTTTGAAAAAGCCGAAATTTTTCTAAAAAACCTACTATTTCATCGAAAAATCGATATTTTTACATTTTTTAAAAATTTTTGTAAAGTTTTTAGGTCTAGAAATAGCTTAGGAACACTTGCACTATTCATTTAGGCAAACTGGATCCCTAGAAAAAGTGGATTCCTCAAAAAGACGCCCCAAAACTCACTTCATATTATCAGAGACGTCGTCGACAAACTGTTGCACATCTTCAATTCTCTCTTCGACAGGCGCAATCAGCTCCCACAGACTTTTCTCTAAAAAATTACTCTTTTTAGGGCTAAAAGCTGTACTTTGAATCATAGCCACATCCGTCACCCCACAATACAGAGTGCCACTGCCGAGAAGGATCGCCCGCGAGAGAAGCGTCTGGAAAACATCCGGGTTTACAAGTTTTTTGAGGTTTAAAAACTCTAAAACAGGTTTATTTACAATTAATTTGTATTAGTTTTTCTTTATCTTATGAAATTTGGGGGGGAAGGCCCTCAACCACGGAAATACCCCCGATTTTCCTCGGGTTTTAGGTATAAAAAAGCGTTAGACTGCTAGGAGATAAGATTTTTCGCTCAATTTCAACGCCGGCCCCTCAGGATCGCTTCTGCCAGACGATTGGACGCTGCGAATCGATTACTTCCGGCCCGACGATGGCCTGCTCAAGAAATCGACCTTTTACGGCCCTTTTCCAGAATTGAAATCGCGTAATTTGGGTGCCGAATTAATTCTTTCTGATTCATCAACGAGCTGCCGGGAAAGACTTTCCGGCGAGCTCCATCTACATCGCAACAAGCAGATTCCAGTCATTTAGAGCCCCAGAATCTTATGCTCGTCCTGCTCGTGCTCCTCTTTTCAGCAAATCGATCGAGATCCTGGTGCTCGCTCTCGACTCGGCCAGATTGCAATCTTTGCTCGGGAAACGTCGGGCTATCCTACTATCCTATTATATATAAAAAAATAGTGTCTGTGTGTGTGTGTGTGTGTGTGTGTGTATATTTGCATGCACTTCCGTTTGGATGTTCCGCTCCTACAGCCTCGGGGAAGGGTTTTTTGGATAGGGAAGAAACGACAATAGGTTTAGAATGGTCCGGAATCGACTGCACACACATAAAAATTTTGAAAAATTGCGGTTTTCGCTATTAAAAATAGGTTTTTGTAAAACCCTGTTTGTTAGGGGAAATTAGCATACGCCGGAAGTAGGAAGAGCCTATATAAAGGGACAGAGGAGCCGTTTTTCACTTTTTTTCTTGCTAGAATTCAGAAAGAAACATGCAAATTAAGGACTTTCACAGGTCCTGGACGGGGCCAGGGTTGAAAAGCCGCGAAGCGGTTTTTCAACCCTGGTTGAAGACTAATTCGCCATTATTTAGACTCTTGGATGGTTTGAAACGTGACAGTCTAATTTAGGAAACAAAAACCAAAAAATCTACAAGATTTCGGTTCGAAATTCCCGAATATGGGGCCTGAGGAGACATATTACCAATTCCTTCTAAATCTATAAAATCCGTAAACTTCCCGAAAAGACCCAAAAAAACCATGAGGAAAATGCCAAACCTTGTGCCCATTATGCATCCGATCGAAAGTACCGCCGAGGACGACATCATGATACGGCTTGGCGGGAATCACCATCTTCCCCGGTCGATCGTCGCCTGGAAATACCTTTTTTAGAAAATGAGAACCTGCTAACCGATAAACTTTTGATGTTCCGGTATCCGATCGGCCAACATGACACGAACATCAAGATTCGGGCAGAATAGAGAGGATTGCATGTAGAGCTGAGGGACCAGAGAGGCCAACTCCTCGTGCTCGATTCGAACATATCTGAAAATAATACGTTTTTATGAGTTTAGCTTAGCTTTCTTCTCTATTTCTAACTCTTTCCCCGATAAATTACTCTCAAAAAACGCACAACTTCTTGTGGACTTGTTTCGAGGCGAGCACCAGCAGATCCTTCAGTTTGCCGAGGGATTGGCGGGAGATGACGAGCAGCGCCGTCTCGTTCATCTGAAAATGAGATCTAGATGAGGCTAAAACAGGGCTTAGAAAGGGAGGCGAAGCTCTAGAATGAAAATGGCGCACAAATTGGGCGAATTTGAGGGATTTGAATGAATTTTAGAGTTTTGCATGAGCTAATTTGAGACCTCACAGCGGCCAGTTATCTTTTTTTATTTATCCCACGCCTAAAATCTGCCTGAAAATGGATTTGCCAAGGTTTGCCGAGCGTTTTAACGGATTTGAAACCTTTAAAACGCGGTTTTTGAAGGTTTTTGTGTTTTTTTTGGGTGCAGATGAACACTAAGCGCCCTAATCATAGTCCCTCGTCCAGATTGTCCTTTTTAGTTTAAAAAACCGATTAAAAAGCAGGTTTTAACAAGTTTAATCCGTTCTGAAGATTTTTTCAGATGTTAAAACTTTAAAATCAGCTTTTTCAAGGGTTTTTGGGTTGAACTGGCCATCCAAAAGCTCTAAAATTGCAGGCGTTATAGTCTGCCGTCTAGATTGTACTTTTGAGCTTAAAAAACCCGTTAAAAAGCCCATTTAACAAGTTAAATGACCTACCTTGTCGTTGGTGTCCATTTGTCTAGGCGGGGGGCAGTGTCTGTGCCCTCTCATTTCTCGTGCTCACTCCCCCATCCCCGTCCCTCCACGTACCGCTTCGATAGGACCACCCCGTATAAGGCTTCCACCTGCCCGCTACACGCTCTATTGGCTGCCTGAATATTATATATTAATTATAAACATTACAACGAATAGGTTACCCCCAAATTCCACGTGTTATTTGACTAAAACGCGGCCGAATGTGGGTGGCCCCGCCTCGCTTTCTTTCTTTTTTCGCCTCTTGCATGCTTTCATTGATTCCGACACTGGTTTTATGCCATTTTTAGATGGTTGTAAGCTTTTTAGTATTCAGCTTTTTGGCTAGAAATTGGGGCTAAGGGGCATCGACTTTAGAAAACCCTAGAAAATGGACGGCTTTTCTTGCTTGAGACGAGAAAGACGTGTTTTAGCTACAAAATCGGCTTTTACATTGCTGCCACGTTTCTTTGAGGCTGAAACTAGATTTTAGTAGCTTTTTTTAGTCAGTTTTTACGTTAAAAATGATCAATAACGGGCGAGGCTTCCTGAAAACCTAGAAACCTTACTTTTTAGCTTACTTGAAAGCCAAAAAAGAAGTTTTTAGCTTGAAAACACCGGCTTTTACATTGCTTACACGTTTCTTTGCGCCTAAAACACCTAATTTTCATACGTTGACTTTTCTGATCTCAATTTCCCCGGCTAAACATCCGCTTTTACTAGCCCAATTTCCACCCGATTGCTAGTCGCCTTTTTTGCAAGATCTCCAGCTTTTTAATACTAAATTTCCAGGGCTCACAACCAATCGGGCATCGTCAAAATGGCGACCGCCGTCGAGATGGCCATCGAGAAGATCGACGAGGTGAAGAGTCGGCTCGGAAGGTAAGGCTTTTACGGCGTTTTTCAAAGCTTTTCAAACCCGGTTTCTTTCGTTCTATATTTTACGATGCTTTATTGCAATTAAAGCGGTACTGGATTGTTAGCGGGGTAGCACCAAGTTTTTTCCAAATTCCGCACGAAATATAAACGATTTTTATAGGCAAGGAGATGAAAAAATGGCGAAAACAGCCTAAAGGTCCGAATTTTCAAGATTTTTTGTAATTTTCTAGCGATCAAACACAGCTAAAAACACTTTAAAACCAATATATATTATGGAAAGGTAGAGGAGGAAACGCAAAAATTTCGTCCACCCCCGCTAACAGTCCAGTACCATTATAGCTGCTTTGTCGAACGTTTCAAACGATACTTTATCGCAATATTCCCATTCAGAACGCTCGGCACGCCGATGCGCCTCCGCGATCTGATCCGCCAGGTGCGCGGCGCGAGGACGGCCGCCGATGAGCGAGCCGTGGTCGACAGGGAGAGCGCCAACATTCGCGAAAGCTTCAGGTAGAGCAAAAAAGTTGTATTCGGCTTTTTTGCCGGTCGAAAAAACTACAAGTATCATTTCCACGTCATTTTTGCGCTTTTCAGAGACGACGAATCCCCTTGGAAATGCCGAAATATCGCCAAGCTGCTCTACATCCACATGCTCGGCTATCCGGCCCATTTTGGACAGGTATTTCGGATTGTTTTAGCGGAAAATGGCCCTATTTCTTCAGATGGAATGCATGAAGCTGGTGGCGCAGCCTCGATTCACCGACAAACGCATCGGATATCTGGGGGCAATGCTGTTGCTGGATGAGAGGGCCGAAGTCCATCTCCTCGTCACCAATTCCCTCAAAAAGTGCGCGCGGGAAAAGCCTATTTGTCGCGTTTTTGTAGTTTTTGGGCTAAATTGGCTGTACAATTATGAAACGGCGTGTTTTCAAAAAGTATTTGTCGTTTTAGCGTTATTTTTCGTGATTCTAGGTAGTTTTTAAGCTGAATTGGCGTTGAAATTATGAAAAAGCATCTTTTCAAAAGCGTTTATCAGTTTTTAGAGTTTATTTTGGGGATTCATTTCTGTCTTTTGCAGCCGAATTCGAAATACAGGGATGAAAAAGCGCGTTTTTCAGTTTTTAGAGTTCATTTTGGGTTTTTTTTGGCTTGTAGGCTAAAATTTGCGTTGTAGTTATGAAAAAAGCGTATTTTCGATAGTGTTTTTTCTGTTTTCTGTAGTTTATACTCTAACATTGACTTTTTAATTGAGAAAACCAACATTTCCGATTTCTCGCGTTGTTTTTCGTAGTCTGTAGGCTAAATTAAGCTTTGTATTGTCTAAATTTAAGCCAAAAACCCGCCCACTTTTTCAGCGACCTGAACTCTCAGACGCAATTCGTGACGGGTCTCGCCCTCTGCACCCTCGGCTCGATCTGCTCGGCGGAAATGTGCCGTGATTTGGCGAGTGAGGTATCATCTCCATTTTTGTGGCTTCTAAAATGTGCTCAATTTCTAGGTTGAACGCCTCGTCCGCAGCAGCAACACGTACATCAAGAAGAAGGCCGCCCTCTGCGCATTTCGCATCGTCAGGAAGGTGCCCGAGCTGATGGAGGTGAGCTGACCGAGATGGCCATCTAGAAAATGACAAAATTTGGCGCTTTGCTAATATCGGGGGGGTGGGGTAGAATTTTTTCTTTTTCCTACAATTCGAGAATACAAACTATTTTAATTGTGTTTTACTAAAATTAGCCCATTTCTAAGGTGAAAAACTAGCTTAAAAAATAGAAAATTTGCGAAAAAAGATGAAATTTTTCACTAAAAAAATCGATATTATGTGCATGTTTTTTGAAAAATTGGTGTTTTTTACGTCTAGAGGTAACAGACAAACCCTCTTTAGAAACATCTCCGCGATTTATATAAGAAAATATATAGAAGAACGGGTCCCACGGGGAAAAAAAGTTTGCAAAAAAAGACGATTTTATGACATTTTCCAGGTGTTCATCACGTGCACTCGATCGTTGTTGGGTGAGAAGAACCATGGGGTGTTGATGGGTGCCACGACTCTTGTGACGGAGATGTGCGAACGGAGCCCCGATGTCCTCGATCACTTCAAGAGGGTCAGCAGCTACAGTCGATTTTTATCGCCGGAATGCCGACAAGTCAAAATCCCGACAAAACGACAGTCGAAAGATTAGAAAAAAGGAACTTTACAATGTCTAGTTTTCGTCTTGTCGGCCTTTTGTCTTGTAGAAAATTCACCTTGTCGGCAAATTTTGCCTTCACGTTTATTTTTTCAGCATTTTGGCTTGTCGGCATTTCCGGCATTTTGTCTGTTTCCTAGGCGATATCTTGATTTCTAAAGCCCGAAATTTTTGAAAATAGAAAATTAATAATTTTGAAAAATTAATTAAACAAATTGAAAATCAAAATAGAAAAGAATTTGCGAAATTTTGAAGCCGATTTTAAAAATTAACATCAATTAATTGAACATTTGCAGATCGTGCCGAGCCTGGTGCGTATCCTGAAGAATCTGCTGATGAGCGGCTACAGCCCGGAGCACGACGTGACGGGGATCAGTGACCCGTTCCTCCAAGTGAAACTGTTGCGTCTGTTGCGTGTCCTCGGCAAAGATGATCCCCGGGCCACCGAGGAGATGAACGACATTCTCGCACAGGTCAGTCAATGGTCGTTCGAGTCGCAATTTTTGAGGCTTCAGCAAACGATTACGGCATGAAATTCCGGTTTCTACGGTTTTACGGCTAAAATTCGGGGTTTTCATAAAAGTTCACGACATTAAAATCTATTTTCTATCGTTTTGCGGGAAAATTAAGCTATTTTTAAACGATTACGACATGAAAGTTCATTTTTATTTTGATTTTACGGTTTTTTTGTAGTTTTTAGCGAGATTAAGGTATCAAAATATGAAATTCATCGTTTTAAAAAGATTACGACATGAAAATGCGTCTCTAAGAACTATAAAAACGTTATTTTTAGGTGGCGACGAACACGGAGACGGCAAAGAATGTGGGCAACGCCATTCTGTACGAGACGGTGCTCACAATTATGGAGATCAAGAGCGAGCCGGGTCTCCGCGTGTTGGCTGTGAATATTCTCGGACGATTCCTGCTCAATCCCGACAAGAATATCCGCTATGTCGCCCTCAATACGCTGCTCAAGACCGTCTCTGTCGACTATCAGGTACAAAATTTCCAAAAAAACTACGGTATTTGTGATTTTTTGGTTTTTTTCGCTAAGAAAACGCCTTTTTTCTATTTATTTAAATTAAATTTTTATTTTTTCGTTAAAATTTGGTACTGTGCTGTTAGCGGGTGGGATACAGTAATCCCGTACGGCCCTATAAATCAATACAAATTTTTTATGGCGTTTTACGCTGTTTTTCCGGTTTTAAAAGTTTGTAAAAAAAAGAAAAATTCAAAAATGTATGAAAAATGACCAAAAACTGCCAGTTTTAAAATTTTTAAGACTTTCTAGCATTCAAAAACTACTAGAAATACTAAAACCACAGCATCTATTATTAAACAGGTTAAAAAATAAAATATTGTTGAAATTTGGCGGAGAATCAAATTATCCCCCCCGTTAATCGACAAGAACCAAACTTTTCAGTTTGAAAAATTCCCGATTAACCCGATTTTTTTTGCAGGCCGTGCAGCGTCACCGGACGACGGTTGTGGACTGCCTGAAGGATCCGGATGTGTCGATTCGAAAGTGAGCACCATCTTTTCTTCTCTATTTCTATCTATCTGTTTTTCAGACGTGCAATGGAGCTGTGCTTTGCCCTGATCAACCGTTCCAATATCACCCAAATGACGACCGAAGTGCTCAGCTTCCTCGACACGGCCGACCCTGAATTCAAGGGTGCGTTTTTGGGATTTTGGCGCCTCTATTTTGCAATTTTTTTGGTTCTTTCGCGTTATCGGGGGGGATTTTTCTAGGAACCGATTTTTCTTATATAGCTATCGAAAGTGTTTCTAAGATTTTTAGGATTTATAGGATTTTTACTCTTCAGAAACGTGAAAATTTTACGAAATTCTGTTAAAAATCGCAAGAAATACATGGAATTTTCCACCAGGAATGGCCCTTTTTGACGTATTTCAATTTTTGTAAAGTTTTTAGACAGTTTTTATGGTTGAAATCGAGTTTTTTTACTAAAAACACTCCCCCCCCCGATAATGCCAAAGCACCCAATGAATGATTAATTATCGATTTTCAGCGGAATGCGCATCGAAAATGTACGTGGCCACCGAGCGGTTCTCCCCCTCAAAGGAATGGCATTTGGATACGATGGTTCGAGTCCTCGAGCTCGTACGTTTTATCGAAACCTCGCGCGGATCTTTCGCATTATCGGGGGGGGAGGGGAGGAGGGGGTTTAATTTTGGTCGAAAATAGATAATTTTGTATTCTTCATGAAAATTTGTAAGGTTTTTACTCTTAGCATAATCAAAAAAAAATATTCAGTATTTTCAGATCGGCAGTCTAGCAGAGAATTTTTAGGAAATTTTCAATCTAGTTTTTTGGATTGGTCACGCTTTCTGCGACCCATTACGCCATCAAATTCCGGTTTCTTTCGATGGGCACGCTAGCAGAGACCACTTGGGAATTCGCGAAAAGTATTTTAGTTTAGGTTCTGGGTCTATAGCAGGAGAGTCCTTGGGGCCCTTTTGCGTGTCCCCCCCCCCCGCTAATGAACCAGAACCAGATTTGATTAGATTGCTTGTTTGCAGGCGGGAAACCACGTGCCGGACGAGGTGGTGTCGTGTATGATCCAGCTGATCTCGTCGAATCCCTCAATTCAACACTACGCGGCAGTCCGTCTATTCCGTGCCACGCAGACGACTGATGTCACAAATGCACAACCACTCCTTCAAGTCGCCTTCTGGAGTATCGGCGAATTTGGCGATCTGCTGCTGCAACCCGGTGATGATGATGGGGCTAGGGTACGTTTGTATGTTTGCGGGACTGGGGTCTTATCGGGGGGCAGATTTTCCTGTGATCCCGTACGGCGCTGTAGCAAAATCTCTCCATTTTATAGGGTTTTTAGAGGTGAAAAACTCATGAAAAAATACAAACTTTTCGAAAATTTGATTTTTGCTGAAAAAGTTTGAAAAAGTTAAAATTTTTGATTTTTTTGAACTTTGCGATTAAAAAATTACTGGGAACAGCCTGATACAGTATGATAATCAACAGGCTTTATAAGCGGAAAAAGTCGTATTAGTTCGACCCTCCCCCGCTAAAGGATCAGTACCTCAGAAATGACGATGCGGGTATCGAAACGCGATAAATCTGCCATTTCCAGCCTCGAAAAAATTGCTCAAAAACTTTAGCGAATCTGCTGGATTTTTAGAAGAATTTTGTCTAATTTTAATTACCGGAAAATGAATATTTTCGCATTTTAAAACATGCTTTGTACTGATGAATTTCCGCTTTTTTTCAGATTGAAGAAGACGAGGTGTTGGCCCTGTTCGAGCAAGTGCTCCCCTCCAATTTCACCTCCCTCGTCACCAAATGCTACGGGGTCACCGCGCTCGCCAAGCTGGGTCAGTTTTTCTTTTTATCATTTTTTTTATGTAATTTCTTCATTTATTGTATTTTTTAAGGTAAGACTCCAGAACCCCCCCCGGCCGACCCCCACCTACCGTATCTCGGCTCCCGGTTCATCTATATGTGTGTAAAGTATACCAAAATACTCGCCAGAGCAACACGAACATTTTGGTATACTTTACACACCTGTAGATGAACAGGAGCCGAGATACGGTAGGTGGGGGGGGTCGGCTGAAGAGGGGGTTATCTCGAGGGCAGCCTTATTTTTATATATTTCTTGTATTTTTCAGCGACTCGTTTCACTTCGACGGAGCCGCGTATCCGAGCCCTCGTCAAGGCCAATCAAGCGCATCTTCATCTCGAGCTACAGCAACGATCCATCGAATTCACGCGAATTCTCGACGATCAGGGCGACACCAAGTACTTTACCACCTCACCACCAGATGATACCTCTTTCAGATTCGGCCTTCTCGAGCGTATGCCAATCATCCTCCAGAATTCCCTCAACGCCGCCGCCGCCCCAATCCATGGTACGCATTTACGTGGCGTAATCGAATCTATCTAGCTATTTTTCATTTAATTTGTTTTTAATTTAATTACTATAAATTCTCATTTAAATCGATTAATTTAAAATAAATCGGTTTTAATTTAATGGATATCATCTATTTTAGATGAGGCAGATATGGTGGATACGGTAGCCGCCACAGCCCCCTCGGCCAATACAAAACCATCTGCCAATGATGATCTGCTCGGCGATTTGGGTGGATTGGATCTGGGAGGAGGAGGAGCTGGAGCTGGAGCTGCTGCTCACCACAATACGGTAATTGGCCTGTTTTTCCTTTTTACTTCGGATTTTAGGCTGGGAATCAGCTGTTCGATTTGATGGGCGGAGGGATGGACAACACCCCGAATAACAATACTGCTGCTGGAGGAGGAGCAGGAGGAGGGCTGCATGATCTCCTTGGAGATGGTCAGTTTACGGCGAAATTTGCGGCATTTTCATGGCGTAATCGGTTCGAAATTCCGCAAAGAATCTCTGCTAGCCCGCCCATAAACGATCTTTTCCCTGATTTAAATAGAGAAGATTTTTTAAAGGATTTTTTTTTACTATTCTAAAACGTAAACATTTTTTAATTTTCAGTAATAATACGAAAAAATTTACGATTTTTGACCGAAATGGCCGACCAAATGCGTTTTTTTCAGCCCTTGGCGGTCTGTCGGTTTCGAACCCCCTGCCCTCATCTACAGCCCCCTCCAATGGCGGCGGCGCCTTCGACTTTTTCGGCGACTTTGCCGCACCTGCTAAACCGTACGTTTTTCATTTTTGGGATTTTTTAAAGCGGAAAACTTCGTTTTTTCGATTTATTTTTCCTTTCCCTTTAAAACAACCTCCTTTTTTGCAGGGCTGCAGCCCCGAAGAAGGTGGGCACGATGGCGTTGAACAGCGACGGCATCGAGGTGCAGCTCTACGTCGAGCGGGACTTTGGCAATGGTCGGTGGAATTTTATTTTGTTTTTAGGGCTTAAAGGGCACGTTCAGGGACGTTTTTTTGGAAAAAAAGCAAAGATTTTTGCCGCGGCCGGGGGTCGAACCCGGGCCCCCCGCTCGGGAGGCGCGGATGGATACCAGTCAGCCACAGCTACAACCTGGCGAGGGGGCGAGGGGCGCCCCACCCCGGAAAGGAGGGGAATGGCCTGTCCCAGCACGGGCAGGCAGTGCGCGCGGTCCCTACGTCCATAGGGTGTACACGTTGGGACGAGTACACGGCCCCTCCCTGAACGTGCGCTTTAAAGACCGTTGGAAAGATGGCCGGGCGTCCCCAGGGGTGAGGGACCGACGGGGCGATACCATGCACGCTTTCCATCGCGTAAGGGGCCCCAAAACCCCCAACTGGATTTGCAGAAAACTGGTTTATAGCCATAACTTTTTTGATTGACTATATTTTTGGCTGGAAACTTCCATAAAAATAGTTTATAGCCATCCCCATCGATGGTAAAAATTTGAGGCTGATTGGAACGATGGCTGCCATGTTCTGAGCGAAAAGAGGTTTTTGGGGCGTTCTTTACTTGAAAAATCGTCGGAAAGGGCATAAAACACTTCAGGAAATTCAGGGAAGACGCTCCTTGCCCTTGGCAAGCTTTTCTGTAGGATTTTTCGTTATTATTATCTATAAATAGCTTTATTTTAAATTGTCGCCCAGTGACGTGCACGAGATGGACCCTAGGGTACTTGGGGCCCCTCCGCCGCCCTCCCCCACTCGACACCTTTGGTGTGGGGGTAACGCGTTGGACTGCGGGGCGGACCATCCCTGGTTCGACCCCCGGCCGGTGCACATCGTCTTGCTTTTTGACCAATCCTATCTTTCCAGAGGCCTTTAAAAAACGGCTAATTTGGCTTTTTTTGTGCAAAATTCAGTACTTTCAGGGCCTGTAAAGGGGCGCGAAATTTTCTGTATTTTTTGAAGGTTTTTTTGCTAAAGTTGGAGTTTTGGCGCTTGAAATTGGCACTTTCAGGGTCGAAAAATGGCTGAATTTTTGTGGTCTTCGGTTTTTTAAAGTTTTGACTAGTTGATCGATTTTTTGGCAGGACAAAAAAAAGCGAAATTTTTCGTTTAATTTTTAATAGTGTTTTTTTTGCTAAAATTGGAGTTTTGGCACCCGAAATTCGCAGTTTCGGCCTTCAAAAATGGCGGAATTTTTGTGGTCGTCGATTTTTATGTTGTGACTATTTTAATTTGATTTTTTGCAGGCCAAACAGCCGAACTGTGCATCGTGGCCACCAACAACAACCCGGCCCCCATCGCCGATTTCGAATTCCAGGCCGCCGTCACCAAGGTTTGTGCCCGTTTTTTGGTACTGTACTGTTTTCGGGGGGGAGAATTAACAGCCGCAAGCTAATTTTTTTTTTCCACCGATGCCTACCTGTTAATAATATAAAATGTATTTTTATAGCATTTTTTTGTGTTTTTTTGAATGCCAGAAGCACAAAGTGTTTTGAAAAATGTAGAAAATTCAAAAAACTCGCATTTTTTGGAGCGTTTTTGGCCAGAAAAATCCATAAAACAATGCCTTGCCGGCACCTTTAAAATGTGTATTAAATAAGGAATAAAATCCTATTTTAAATTAAAATCTAAAATCGTGATTAAAAGGTTTAAAATCTGTTTTTTTTTCGCAGGCGTACAAAGTGGACATCCGGCCGGCCAGCGGCTCTTCCCTCTCGCCGAATGGATCGTCGCAAATCACGCAAACGCTGCTCGTCACCCGTCTCGACAATGGAACGGTGAGCAGCAACTTTTGGCTATTTTCTGCTCAAAATCTAAGCCACGCATCCGATTACGCGATCAAATTCGATCCGCCTATTCGATTACGCTAGGAAATTCCATCGATTTGATTTATTAGCGCCGTTTTTTTCGGGTTTTCCTTTGAATTTAGCACTGGCGTATCCGATTACGCGATGGAATTTCAAATTTCAAATTAAAGTTGAAAAATTAAATATTTAAATATTTTGTAATTTTTATGATTTATTAATTTTTTACCAGGGTTGAAAAGCCGCTTCGCGACTTTTCAACCCTGGCCCCATCTGACCCCCTCTTTATCCTTCACTTTGCATAATTGTCCTAAATTGGGATGACAAAAAAAAATGAAAAACGCCCTCTTCGGCCCCTTTATATAGTCGACTCCCCACTTCCGGTCTATGCTAATTATTCCTAACAAAGAAGTGTTCACAAAAACTTAAATTTAATGTCGAAAACAGCTAATTTTGTAAAATCTGATATGTGTGCAGTCATCTCAAGACCGTTGCGCACCTAATGACGTATCACACATAGCTTAAAATTCATCCCCCATCGAGATATCCTCCGGACAGCCAGACGGAAGTGGATGCAAAGTGGCACACACACACACACACACACACAAACACTATTTTTTTATATATAGTAGGATAATTAATAGATTTATATATTTCATTTTTATTCCCCTTTTTTCAGCTGAAAATGATGATTGAATTTTTCTTGTCAAAATCTAAGCCACGCATCCGATTACGCAATCCTTTTATGCGGGTTTTCCTTTGAATTTAGCACTGGCGCATTCGATTACGCGATGGAATTTTCGAATTTAAATTAAAGTTGAAAAATTAAAAGTTTGTAATTTTTATGATTTATTAAATCACTTATATTTGATAAATTTTATATATTTCATTTTTATCCCCGTTTTTTTCAGCTGAAAATGATGGCCCGGGCGTCGTTCAAACTGAACGGCCAGGAGAAGTCGATCCAGGGCGTCGTCACCAATTTCCCCGGACTCTCCTGAGAGCATCTACAACACCTCTTTTCATGCCGTAAACGGTTGTCTATGTCCCTCTCTTTCTCCCTTTCCCTCTCTTTGATGTGTGCCCTATTCTCGGCCCGACCTGCTCGAAGTCGTGCCGGCGTGGCCGAGCCGTTCACCCTGTTCATCTCCCAGAATCCACCCGCCAACTACTATTACTACTACTAGAAATACCAAAAATTCGCCACTCCTGTTCTTATTTATATGGCGTATAGTTTTTGTACCCTCTCTCGTTTTTCGCGCTCTCTCGCGTCGATTAAAATACGTAAACTTTAACCCGGGTACTGGTCTCTTAGCGGGGGGGGAGCGGCAATTTTGATCGAATTTTACCTTTTTTGGATGTAGAAGTGTCGTAAAAAATGTACATTTTCCGATTTTTTTGGACAAAAACCCATGAAAAAATGACGGAAAAGGGCAAAATTTTCAATTAAAAATTGGAAAAACGTTTTTTTTTATAATTTTCTGGCCATCGAAAACTTCTAGAAATACTGTAAAATGGCTAAAAAGGCAAAATTTGAAGTTGTAAAATTCTTAAAAATATTTTTGTAATTTTCTGGCTACTAAAAAACGATGAAAAATATTGTAAAAATTAATTATTTGGTGAAGAAAATTAAAAAAATTACCCCCCCCGCTAAGAGAACAGTACCCCGTAATCGATAACTAATAATTGTTGGGCTTTTCGTTGTGATATTCTCCCCCCTCCCCCGTAGTCGATCTATTCGATCGATAAATGTGGTTGTTTTGACTGATATATCGAGTGTTTATTGTCGGCCTCTTTCTCTGGCTCAACTCCCCCCTCCAAAAAATGGTACCCTAACAAAAATATGTGTCGCTCTGTCTTTTCCCCCTCCGTTTTTTTTTGTGTGCTTTGAATAAATCCATTTTTCGGTCGCTTTTTGGCTTTTATTTTGTGAAAATTGCAACGTAATATACTCACAAATGATGATTATCATGTCGTAATTGACTCGTGGATCTGGCTGCCTCAAAGAATCTCTGCTAGCCTGCCTAGATTTCTGCTAAAAATTTGTCTAAAAAGTGGGGTTTTATCGATTTTCTGGTGAATTAAATTTTTCCCGAATGATCTGTGCTAGTCGAGCCTATTTTTATGGCTTAATCGGTTGCGCGATTCCCTGGTGCTCTCTGCTCGCTTCCAGTTGGCCTAGCTGCGAGCCAGCGAAGCGCTTTTCATTTCCTAAATAATCTCCGCTAGATTGCCCATTTTTCAAATCACCTGATTCGGGTTTCATGGCCTAATCGGTTGCGCAATTCCCGAAAAACCTCTGCTAGCTTGCGGTTAGTTTGGCTGCCAGCCAGAAAAGCACTTTTCATTTCCTAAATGCTCTCTGCTAGTCTGCCCTCAGCGGAATTCCAGCTGTAGCGAGGTGTGTTTTGTACATTGTATGGTGCCGTAGTGAGTATTTGTTTTCTGGGTAGAATCGAGCGTTCAGGGAGGTGAGAATTCTCTGTCTGTCCGTCCGTCTCTCTCTCACACTCTCTCTCTCTCTCTATCTCTCTCTGTGTGTGTCAATAGACAGTCTCTGCTTGCCCACAATCTGTGAATATTTGCCCGTCCATTTCTAGTCAGCCGGTCATTCCATTGATCCCTATTCTGCTTTCTGCCTTATCTCTTCTTCTTCTTCCAGCTTTTCCCTCCCCTCGAATCGTTTCGATTCCTCCGAAATTCGCCTCCCCCGCTCACCGGGATTGCATTGCGTAATCGGTTGTAAAAATGTCTAATTTTCGGAGGATTTAGACTCATTTTTTCGATTTTCTATCAATTTTTAGGACTAGATTCGATAGTCAACGTGTTCCCCGCATTTTTAGGACCATTTTGGTAAACGAGAAACATTTTTGGCATATTGGTTCCCCCCAGAAAATCGATATCATCGAGCGTTTGACACAAAAAAGTAATATGCCCCATTTTTCGTCTGAACGAACCGCTTTTTCTTGTCGTATTTTGGCCTAAAACATCCCCACCCAGTCAATTGCACTCTTGTTGTCTCGTCTCCGCCCCGCGCTTTGTTTGGAAATCAAGATTTTGGCCTGGAATTTCGATAATTCAACCGGTTTTTACGTCTGATTCCGTGAATTTCCGATTTTGCTGCAAGGTTCCTAATTCCGGAGCCCGATTTGAACTCAAAGAAGTCTTAAAAATCTTCAGAATTCTTTTTTTTGAGATTCTTGAATCTATTTTTATTCTCTTTCAATCGGCCTGTTTGAAATTTGAAACAATTTTCGTGGGTTCCCCCCTCGATATTTTATTGTTTTAAGGCGTTGTTGAAATGACTGAAAAAGCCATGGCAAAAACGTCTTCTTCCGGCGATTTTTCGAGCTAAATTTATAGTTTAAAATACAAAAAAAATCATTTTCTAAATTTAACTTCAAATTTATATAAAAATTTATAAATGAAATTTTAATCAGTTTTTTATCGCAGTTTTTTTGGCGGTTTTTGGGCAATTTTAAACGGTTTTCCGCGCTAAATTGCTAGTTTAAGTACACTCTAAAACCTAAAAAATATTAAATCCATTCGAGAAATGTTGAAATGAGAATTTTTAGCGTTGTTCTTGTTGGACTTTTCGACTGGGTCGGGGCAGCTGTAGGAGATGTGGATGACGATAGAGTGAAGGGAGGCGAGAGAGAGGGTATTTTTGGAGAGAGCAGGCAGAGGGAAGGAGAGAGAGGGGGTGAGAGGGAGAGAGAGCAGAGAGACATCCTCCTCCTCCTCCTCTCCTTTCTCCTTTCTACACGTCGTATCGGCTCCTCCTCCTCTTTTGCCCGTCTCCTCCTTCGGCCCCACCCCGCCAGCCTCCCCAATTTCCCTCCAAATATTCTGAATTTCACGCTAATCCTCGGATTTTTTTGGGGTTTTGGGCAAACTGTCTGGCAGCGAGCAGGAATATACCTTTACTTTTGAAATATCAGCCGGATTTATCGAAATTTTACGGAATTTACACTTTTCGGGATGGGGTTTTCGAGGTTTTCGGATCTTCTGGGCTAAAATTTGAGTTTTTTTTGTGCTGTTTTTATGCGAGCTGTCTGACAGCGCGCTTGAATACACCTTTACTTTTGAAATGGCAGCCGGATCTATCCAAATTTTACGGAATTTTTACCGTTTTTGACTAGCTTCTTCCGGATTTTCGGCTCTTTTCGTCTAAAATTTAACCCTTTGCAACGATTTTCATGCAAACTGTCTGACAGCGAGCACGAATATACATTTATTTTTGCGATATTAGCCGTTTTAATCGAGATTTAGCGGATTTTTGCGTTTTTTTTTTACCTGGTCATCAACCCATTTTAATTTTGCTGCGCACAAAAAACACCACGTTTTCCACGTTTTTAGGCTAACCACCGGGCAGTTAGCCGGAATCGACGGTTAGTTTTCAAATATAATGGAATTTATGCTACGCTACCTTCGAAAATTCGCCAATAATCCCTTCATCCTCGATTTTTCCATTCAAGCTATTGTTCCAACACCGTTTTTTTTGCGAGGCTGACATTTTGCGGATTATCCCTTCAGGCATTTTTCCGTTCTCTGTCTGTCTGTCTTTCTCTCTCTCTCTCTCTCTCTCTCCTGTCTCTCTTTCAGCCCAAATGCTTTGTCTCGACCGTCAATTTTCTAATATTTTTATTTTCCCTCCCCCGGCCCTTCCATTTTCTCAGCATTCCTTCACGCTTCTTCTTCGATTCCTTCGTTTTCAGGCATTTTTCTTATCCTGAAAACACCCGAAAAAATTTGGGGGAATCCGGTTTTTGTCAATATTTTTTTTGCATTTCTAATTTTGGGCGTTTTATTGATAGTTTTTATATTGTTCTTTTTTCGCCGTCTAAAGCTCCCAAATTTTCCTACAAATTGAGGAAATATTTTTCGATGAAATTCCTTAAATTTTGGTTTTGAGAAACGTAGATAATTAAAGTTGTTGGTCCTTTTCCTTTTCATAATTTTTAAAGACCCAATGTTCTGCAAAAAAACATGCATTTTCAGCGGGCTCCACCTCGAAATCTCGATCGATTGACTGGCGGATCGATCGATTGTAATGTGTCGAGCCGTCGTCGGGGATGCCGCCAAAAAGAAGAACAACGCTTCTACGGTAAGTTTTTTGGTCATTTTCCCAAAAGATCTCGGCTAGCTGACCGCCAATTGATCGTTTGGCATCAAGAAAATTCCTGAAAAACCTTGGCACTTGAAAAAGTCGATTTTTAGGCGTCTCGACCGGCTGATGGGGAAAATGAAGAGCTAGAGGGCCATGGATGGAAAGCGAGAGGAGATCGAGAACCTCAGGAGAGAAGAGTTCCTTTTAATAGGCCCACGCCCCGACAGGTACTGTAGTCGTTTCGAGATTTTAAATGGACAGCTTATGGCTATTTTTATCGTTTTTAAAGTAATTTTTGCAGGTATTCGACGCGCTGCCGTTCGTGCGTCGTTATTTCCTGTATTGGATGCGTCATGTGCATAAGAAAGAGAAACTCTTCATCAACACTTTTGAACCACTACAACATAAGCCATATTACGGTGTGTTTTTTCGATATTTTGTATTGTTTTCGCTCGTCCTTTCCAGGTGTCCCGTGTGGAGGCATTGGTTGTGGCTCGATCGGTCGTGATTTCCGTGGTGGATTCTGCAAATTTGGCCTTCGCCCGGCCCTCATCGAACATAAAGTCGATGTGATTCCGGTGAGTTTTCGACTTCTTTGCGGATTCCCCAAATGGTCTATGCTAGCTTGCCCTGTTGCAAATTCGTCGACTGACGGCCAATCTGCCAATTGGAACTCTTTTTCAGATCCAAATTCCCCAAATGATGTGTGCTAGCTGGCCCTAGCCAACCTAATTTATCGAACTGCCATCCAGTAGAGCCATTCCGCAAATGAGATCTGCGATTTGACCTTTTTGGAAATTGTTTAAGCCCGAAATGCGTCGATCTCAGCCGTTTCCCACTCGAAAATTCCGCAATGGTTTCTTTCCCGGCTTGCCGTCTGTAGTTTTGATCAAAAACACCCCAAATCGTGTGTGCTAGCCGGCCCTGAACGGCCTAATTTAAACTGCTGTCCAGTCGACGCATTCCACAAAGGATCTCTGCTAACTGGCCCTTTTAAAATTTTTTTCGGCTAAAGACCCGCTGATTTTGGCAGATTTTTTGAGTCAAAAATTCCACCATGCCTTCTGCTAGCCTGCCTCTTCGATTTTTATATTATCTACCATCCAGTTGAGCGATTCCACAAATGTTCTCTGCTAGTTGACCCTGGTAGAAACTTTTTCAGCTAAAAACCCGCTGATTTCCGCAGTTTATAGTCAAAAATTCCTCAAATGCCTTCTGCTAGCCTGCCTATTGGACTTTTTTTATCTGCCAGCCAGTTGAGCGATTCCGCAAATTTTTTCTGCTAGTCTGCCCAGCGTCCATTTTCGTCAATTTTCAGCTGTCACTCCCCCTTTAAATGCGAAAGATCGGGAATGGAGCTATTTATTGACAGCAAAAAAACCGTAGAAAAACACCACTCGGTACGGTAAAACCGGAAACAAGCGGAAAACCGGAAACCAAAAAAAAACCGGAACAAGCGGAATAACGGGGGGTTTTGTGGTGAGATACCGGGAAATAACGGGGGGAAGTGGATAGCGGACAAACCGATCGATAACAATCACATTTCGGGGGCTAACCGCAATAAAAACGGGGCAAACTACAGTACACTACAAAAACACGGCAAAAAATGGCAAAATCGGAGTTTTAAAGGGCCCGGCAAGGTATGAGGGCGGTGGGTTTGGGAGCGACACGCAACGCGCACGCGACGCAAGTAGCTGTAGAAAAAATGTCGTAATCGATTACGCGATGGAACGCGATGGGAATTTCCGCTTGAATCGCGCCGCGACACGCAACGCGCAGGCGCCGCTTGCCCCGAAAAACGTGGCGTAATCGATTACGCAATGAAATTCGAATCTCCGGTTTCGTGTCGCGTCGCGGCATGGAAAAATCCGTAGATCCACGCCTTGCCGGTCCCTTTAAAAATCACGGTCATGTAGAGGCTCCCCAGCTGTCACGTTCCCTTAAAAAGGGGCGTGGCCAGGGAGGGGGATACGGTAAGTAGAGCGGGGAGATTGGGTGATTACGGTAATTTCAACGCAAAACCAGCAAAATTGGGTTTTTTTGCTGGGTGTCCAGCTCCCTTTAAAAGGGGCGTGGCCAGGGAGGGGATACTGTAAGTAGGACGTTTTAGAGGGGCAGTCACTCGGAAATCCCATTTGTATATGGATTTATAGCTGTCACGGTCCCTTTAAAATGGGCTTTTGAGCCCGGGGCAAGCCAGCAAAGATCATTGTGGAATGGGGCGGGGCCAGGGGTAAAATTGGAGTTTTACGGCTTGTTTTTCAGGCCGATCAATTCATCGTGTCGCTGCGGCAGCCTGGAGCTGGACAGCCGATATATCAAAAGGTGAGAGAGAGAGAGAGAGAGAGAGAGAGACAGAGAGAGAGAGAGTGGAAACAATGAAGATCACACAAATTATTCCATAGAAAATGCCTGGGGCACAGTTTAGCGGGGGTTGCCAATTTTTGGCCGGAAAAAGCGGGACTAAAAATGGGGCTACAAACTACAAAATTCAAAAATTGCGGTAATTTTGCATAAAAAAGATTTTTCGAACATTCGAAAAAATTTTGTTGAGAAGGGAATACGGTATAAAACGGGAAATTCGTCGTAAAAACGAAATTATGATTTTTTTTGGCAAATATCGAGATTTCAAAAATTTTTCAAAAATTTAAAATCGCCTTAAAAATTCGATTTTTTGGGGATACTGTAGAAAAATTTTCCTATTTTTAGGTACTCTGCGCGGCGCCGGTCGATCGAAGCGGAGGGCAATTGGCCGCTTGGGATTTCGGGTTCCCCCGAAAACATCTACAGTACAGGTGAGGAAATTTCAAAAATTCTAAAAATGATTTTTGTTTTACTTGATACGGGGAAAATTTTCTACAGTACCCAGAAGGGTTTTACAATTTTACCAGAATTTACAATTTTTCGAAAAGTACGAAAAATGGACGAATTTTTGACGATTTTGAGGGTGTCACGGCCCCTTTAAAAGGTGTGCTGAACTCGCTGAACTCGTTGCGCGGCTCGCATCTCATTCTCCCGGGCCTGTCGTGCGAACCGCACCGCCCACTGGCGATCATTCATCAGCCGAGCGCGTTTGATTCGCTGGAATTGGGTGGTTTTCATGGCGTAACCGAATCCCCGAGCTGCAAATTCTCTCTGCTAGCCTGCCATTGGCTAATCTGGCAGCCAGAAAAGTAATTTTCATTTCCCAAACGCTCTCTGCCAGCTTACCAATTGAAAAATCTGCCAAAACCACGCCGCAATTCATGGTGATTTTGATGGCGTAATCGAATGCAAAAAAAATCCCTAGTAGTTTCGGCTAGCCTGCCATTGGCCTATCTGGCAGCCAGAAAAGCGATTCCTACTTCCTAAGGTGTCTCTGCTAGCTTGCCCTTTTCGGTAGTTGCAGAAACGTTCAAAATCTTGCTCATTAATTTCATGGCGTAATCCGATTTTCCCCGATTCCCAAATGGTGTGTGCCACGTACCTTTTGCTCGTTGACAATGGCCATGAAGGGCTTCATCACATCCTCTTCCTCCCCTTTCCGATCTCTCTTCCTCTTCCTCTGCCCCTTCCCCCAATTGATGGCTATTTCTTCTCCATCCACTTCATTCTCTTCTTCTTCTATCCAAATGCCCTCATCTTTTCCGAAAAGGATGTCTTTTTCTGAAAAATGATTGGTTAATTTGGGTGCCAGTGTCCCTTTAAAACCGGGTTTTAGCTCGAGTTTTGCCTTCCCGGGCCCTTTAATGGCTAGTAACTGGGTTTTCTGTCGATTTCTAGGTGTCTCTGCCCCTTTAAAATCGGTTTTAACTCGATTTTGCCTTCTCGGGCCCTTTTTCTGGTTTTTTTTTAGATTTTGAGGTGTCTATGCCCCTTTAAAATCGGGTTTTAACTAGATTTTTGGCTTCCAAGTCCCTTTAAAATAGATTTTTAGGATTTTTTTTTTGCGATTTGCGATTTCTATGTCTGTGCCCCTTTAAAAGCCCTCTTAAATTGACGTACTTATTCTGTATCCCTTATGTTGTTGATATGCCAATTGATATTCATCCAAATAGACTGGCCGTGTACTCGACATTTCTGGGTCCAAATCGTAGATCTTCTCGTCACGGGCCTGAAAATACTCCAGTTTTTGCGAATATTTTCATAATTGTGCGTGCTGGCTTGTCCTAATTTCGCTCAATTTCCAAACTGCCACCCAGTGGATAGATTCCGCAACTGATCTCTGCTAGCCTGCCTTCCGGAAATTTTTGGCGGCGAAAATCCGCATTTTTATTCGGTTTTTAGAGCTAAAATTTCGCAAATAACCTCTGCTATTTTTCCTTTCTAGATTTTCATTTTTCTGGCATGCAGCGCGTCGATTCCGCAAAGAATCTTTGCTAGCCTGCCTTCTTTGGAAAGTTTTTAACGAAAATTCCGCATTTTTAGCTGTTTGGGGGCGGGGCGCAGATTCCTCAATGGCCTCTGCTAGCCTGTCTCGGTACATTTTTGCTTAATCTGTCATCCAGTCAGGCGATTCCGCAAATGACCTCTGTTAGCTGGCCTCTCTCTCTCACCTGACACGCTCCATCGGCCACTTCCCGGAGAATCTGGCAAGCGAGAAAATCGAGCAGTTCAAGCACTCCATCTCCAATCGGCGGCTCACCCAACCATCTGTGGAACGCCAAGTGATTTGAGCTGGAAACGGGGCTTATTAGATTGGCAAAGAATCACTGCTATTAAATCAGCATTTTTTCAACTTTTTTCGAATTCCGCAAAGAATCTCTGCCCGCTAACCCCTTTAAAGGGCCATTGACTGCAAAAATCTGCCCTAACCCACCGATGTTGACATTTGATCATTGTCGCGTTGTGTGCCAGCAGAAGTCGTTCCCGTTTCTTTGGCCCTGTCTTGTAGAGCCGAGTACGGTGGGCCCCGTTACGGTAGCCGCGCAGTTGGGATTGGAGGCTGAAATTGCCTTGCTTTTCAAAAAATCCCTTTGTCTACCTCAACCCATTTTCTGTACATAGCAGCAGCATTTGTTCATCTACACGTTGCAACGCCTCGTAGACGTCGGGGCGTCTGAAAATAATCGATTACGCGATGAAATTGGCACAATTATCGATTTTTTGGCCAGCTAATCGATTACGACATGAAATATAGGGCTTAACGTACAGTTGCTGTAGTCGCTGAATCCGTCGATATGTGGGTAGATGAACTCTCTCAACGCTGCGCATCAATTCACTGTCCGGCGCAACCAAATTACGGTGAACGGCTCGCTGACCGTCGCCCGGCTGGAATCAGTATCTTTCAAATGCATTCTGCTAGTTTTTTATGCTAATTTTAAGGTTTTTCCACGCGAATTTGAGCTTTTTTATTGTTTTTAGGCTAATTTAAGGCTATTTTTAACCGTTTTTAGCCGTTTTTTGCGATTTTGAGAAGTTTTCAGCATTTTTCCGGCTTCCCGGTGCCTTTAAAGGACTACTGCAGCTACCGTACCCCTTCCCCTGTTGCCTACCGTATCGATAATACATCGTAGAAATGTCCACGTATGCCATCTATTATTCCTCATCAATTCCATTACGTCACATAATTCGATGACCACATCCGGGGCTACAGTACCCTTCGGCCCGCTGGCTACCGTATCCAGCATTCTTCTGAAAATTGAGGATTTTCTCGTTTTTAGTTACAAAAATTAAAAATCGAAAAACCGAATTTCTATTGATTTTTGTATTTCTGTATTTTTTAATGGGATTCAATGAATTTATTTTATCAATTTTAATATTTATACCACTTTTAAAAAATCAATTTAGCTCTGATTTTTTACGGTTTTTTAAAGTTAAAATGTCATTTTTATTTTTGCATTTCCTACCGTAACCCGGGTCCGAAAATTAGCTCCTTGGCAACGGGCCAATTCCCTCTAAAAAGCCGATAATTTTGGATTTTTCCCGATTTTTCGATCCCCCTGGGAGCTACCGTACACCCACTGACTACACGTGACACCAAATTACACCCCCTCTCCTGGGGTTTCCATGCGGAATTTCACGCCTATCATTAGCCCCCGAAATTTCTTTTTTTGCTTCCCCTGGGAGTTTTGAAGCGGAGCTACCGTAACCCACCGAAATTTGGAAATATTGGCATTTTAAAGGGAGCGTGACAGCTGGAAAAAACCGGATTTTTAGGCGATTTTTGGGGGTATTTCCCGGAAATTTCGGGGTTTTTTACGGTAATTTTTAGAAGTTTTGACTTGCCTGCCCCTTTAGGTGCTTGTGCATTATCGGGGGGGATGTAAGCTGTTTTTAAGTCTAAAAACTATCCAAAAATTTGAATTTTTGTCGAAAATCGACTTTTTTAAAAAAAAAATCGATATTTTAGGTGTATTTTTAAGTGTTTTAATAAAATAAAAATGCGAACCTTTTCTTGGCATTTTGCCATGCCCTTTTCAGCAACATATTCATCTGTCTTCCCCCAACATAATGCCCATAAATAATCGATTCGGGCAGGGGGTCCTCGACATCTCCTCTCGCAAATAATATCGATTGAACGGAGAGGTCGAGGCGGAGACAACTTTCTTCGGGTGTAACTGAAAATACAAAAATATGCCTGAAAATTCTTTAAAAATTTTTTGATCCCGATTTTTTGGTGTCTCTACCCCTTTAAAATGTGTCTACTTTCCTAAATGGGATCTGTAAGCCTGCTAGCTAGCTAAACTGCCACTCATTAGAGCTATCGAAATTTCCTAAATGGCATTTGCTAGCCTGCCTCTCGTCAAAAGCCGGTGTAAAAAGAGAATTTTCGATTGTTATTGCGTAAATGGCTCCCAAGTCTCAAATTGTCTCTGCTGGCCTGCCACTGGCTAATATGCCATCCAATAGAGCTATTGAAATCTCCTAAATGGTATTTGCTAGCCCGCTTTTTCGCTATTTAAGGTAAAAATTCGGGATTTCGAGTTTTAATGTCGTAATCGACTTGGATATCCCAAATGACCTCTGCTAGCCTGCCACTGCCACATCTGGCATCCGTCAGAGTGACCCTCGTTTCCTAAAGGGTCTCTGCTACCCTGCCCCTCGTGAAAATTCGGGGCAAAATGAGAAATTCTCGATTTTTATGGCGTAATCGGTTACCAAGTCTCAAATGACCTCGGCTAGCCTTCCATTAGCTAAACTGGCATCCAGTAACCCGATTCCCACCTCCTGAATTCCAAAAATCATTTGTGCTGACCCACCGTATTCGTAATTCTCCCCCGGCATCCTCCATCTCCCCCTCCTTCCGATCTGCCACGGGAATAATTCGTCCATAGTGTCGTCTCGGTGTGTCCATCGCATTGTCTCTGGTGTCGCTTGGCTAAACAGAAAAATTATATGTTAAGAATCGATCGATCAATTCCGCAAATTGTCTCTGCTAGCCTGCCTTTCCGGCGATTTTCCGGCTTTTGAGACAGATTTTGGGGATTTTGTCCCAAATTGTTTGTGCTAGCTTGCCCTAGATGGGCTATTTTTTCGAACTGCCAGACAATCAATCGATTCCGCTAATTGTTTCTGCTAGCTGACATTTTTTTGAAAATTTAGAAGCTTGAAATCCTCAAAAATATGATTGTTTTGTGGTTTTTGAGCCCGAAATTCCTCAAATTGTCTCTGCTAGCAGGCCTTTATAGATTTTTGCTAAATCTACCATCCAGTTGAACGATTCCGCAAATGCTCTCTGCTGCCTCCCCCTCTTACCGTAAAAAATTCCTGGTATAATACTGTTGATAGAGATGTTGTTGTTCTTCTGCCCGCCCTTCCTCTTGTATTTGGGCCAATGGACGGGGGCCCTCAAGACGGACACCCATCTGAAAAAGCGAGAGATAATGGAGAGAGACACAGCGAGAGAGAGAGAGTGAGAGCGAGAGAAAGCAACGAAAATCCATGGCCGATTTTGCCTTCTATGCTCCTTTAACGGAGCTAACGTGCAAAGATTCTTTGCGGAATCGATCAACTGCATGCCAGATAGGAGATAAATCATGGAAGGCAGGCTAGCAGAGAGCATTTTGGAAATTTCTGATCGCAAAAATACCAAAAATGACGAATTTTAGGCTATAAAAATTCCAAGACTGTCAACTGGCGGAGATTTTTTGCGGAATAGATCCGATGGATGCCAAGTTGAATATTGCCGCGCCGAAGAGGCAAGCTAGCACACGCGAAATTGGCGGATTTTCTACTAAATTTCCGGGTAGTTTTGCAGAGATCTTTTGCGGAATTTTGGGCTATCGAGGCATGCTAGCAAAGTTCCTTGAGGAGCTTCCCATTTTTTGCCAGGCAAGCTAGCAGTGGCAATTTCGGGAATCGGAATTTTTACTTCCAAAGATAGAGTGGCCAGCCATTGGCCGAATTGCAAAAAGGGGGGCGTGGCCTCGCGAAATCAAGGTGTCGAATCGAAGGCGAAATTAGCCTTCCCCTGCCCTTATATGGCCTCAGGGAAATTGAGAACGACGGAGAGAGATTGGGGAAAAGCGGAAACGCAGAGATTAGGCAAAAAAATCTTCCCACTACCGTAACCCGCTCAAATTAGGCGCGATTCGCCTGAAAATTGGGGGCAACGGCTAACTGGACTACATACCAGAAATCGGCCAATTCTTAGCCCGAAATTCGCTAAAATCAAAAAGTTACCTCAAGATTCCGTTTTTTTTTGTTGTTTTTTTTGGCGTTTTGTTGTATACGGGCAAACTGATAGAGACCATTGGGGAAATTGATAGATTGGCAGCCAGTTAGTATTTTCTAGCATTAAAATCGACACTCCGGGCAAGCTAGCAGAGACCATTTGAGGAAAAATTTGTTAGGACCCGGGGCAGCCCAGCAAATAATATTTGCGAAACCGAGGGGCAAACTGGCAGTGATTATTGGGGAAATCAATGGACTGGCAGGCAGTTGAGACAATAAATCGTTCAATAGATCCCTGGAGGGCAATCTATCATTTGCGCATTTTCATATCATATCATTTGCGGAAATATGGGCTAGAAGGCCGGGGCGGGCTAGCAAAGAACATTTTGGACCAAATTCATAGCAGGGATTTTTTGGGAAAATTGGCAAGCTAGCAGAGGCTATTTGCGGAAATATTTGCTGAAAGGGGCAGGCTAGCCGAGGAAATTGGGGAATCTGGTGTGGCAAGCTAGCAAAGCCTGGTAGGCAAATTTGTGGCTGGCAACCGATTTTTTATGTTTTTACGATTTTGATGAAATGACCTCCCTATTTTGCCCCCCACCGTATCCGGAGGCCATTTCTAAAGGCCGTTTTCTATGGAAATTAAAGCAAAAAGAGGGAAGGGGAGATTGATGGAAATTTTGATTAAAAATGCGCCCTCCTTTATCGGCTGCAGAGCAATCTAGCAGTGGTTATTGGCGGAAATGGATGAACTGGCAGCCAGTTGAAGGATTGCAGGTATTTATAGGGTTGTTGGGGCAGGCTCGCCGAGATTTTTGTGGAAATCCGGAACTGACAGCCAGCCGATCGATTAAAGGGCCTAGAAAGCTATCCTGGGCTAGCTAGCAGAAACCATTTGCCGAAATGGATCAGCTGGCTGCCAGTTGACAATTTGGGGCGACAGATACGGTAATTCGGGCAAGCTGGCAGAGATCATTTGCCAAAATCGGAAATTCTGCCGGCTGGCTATCTAGCAGTGATTATTTGGGATCCAAGAGCCACAACTAGCAGAGACGATTGTGGAAATTCGTCTGTCAAGCCAGCTAGCAAAGGCGATTTGCGGAAAATCTTGGAATTCTCAGGTATGCTAGCAGAGATCAATTGCGGAAATTCGACTCGCCAGCCAGCAGAGACAATTTGTGGAAATTCGACTTTCGAGCCAGCTAGCAGAGATTTTTTGATCATTTGCGAAAAATCGACTCGCCAGCCAGCTAGCAGAGAGAATTTGCGCGAGGCGATTTTGCAGTGATCCTAGGGGAATCACGAGATTTCTGAGAGGCCAAGATCTGGCAGTGGAAGAATGGCGAATGGAGATGGCCGTCGAATCGATCGGAAATGGAGGGAGGAGAGAGATATAGGGAAAGAGAGAGAACCGAGAGAAAAGGAACGGGGCTGTAGGTAATAGCCACACACGGGGAACGATCGAAGGGAAGAAGAAGAGCGGAAGAGAGGGGAAGGAGGGAAGGAACGAGGGGACGCCTCCCACCAATCGACCCCCACCCCACAACACAAAGGCAAATGGCCTCTGCTAGCCCCCCACACCCATCCAATATCGATCGCATTTTCAGGGCTTGTTAACTGGATGCCGAGCAACAGAATTCCACAGAAAAATTGGATTTTGTGCTTTCCTAAAAGATCCCTGCTAGCTTGCCGGGCCCGCAAAATCGATCGATATTGCCCTTTTCCACTCAAACTTTCAGAAAATCCTAACTGACAACCAGGCTACAGAATACCGCTGGAAATTTGCATTTGATCATTTCCTAAAAAATCCCTGCTAGCTTGCCCCTTTCGCAAAATCGATCGATATTGGCCGTTTGAAGGGGTCCACATGATCTTCGGTTAGCCAATCAAAAGATCTCTGCTAGTCTGCCCCGCCACACAATCGATCGACATTTTCCTGATTGAATTCTGCTAGCCAGTTTCCCGAATTTCTTCAAAAAAATTGGGTTTTGCCGATTTTCTAGAAGATCTCTGCAAGCATGCCCTCGATTACTAGCATAATGTCTTTGTGGAAATGGATAGGCTGGCAGTCAGTTTCTATACGGAATCGACCGATACGGTACTTTGGGCAGGCTGGCAGTTGCGGAAAATCTTGACGAAGGTCCAAACCCTTCTAATGCTTCTGGCGAGCTAGCAGAGGTTTTTTGGGAAGCGGAGGGCGGATGGGCGGCTAGAAATGGTGATTGAGGAACATTGACAGCGTCCGGGGCAACCTAGCATCGACCATTTCAGATTTTTTCTGAAGTTCGGCAAGCTAGCAGCGTTTATTTGCGGAAAACCGGCCCGGTGGATGGCAGCTAGCAGAGAGAATTCGAGAAATTCTGTTCTCTTCCCTTCCTTTGCCTATATCTGTCTCATCTTTGATTGCGTGTTGGGTGGTCGATGACCCACCACGGATGCAACACTGAAAGGGGCGGGGCTTAGTGATCTCTTTCACCTCCACCAATCGATCGATATATACCCCGAGGGGCCTGTCGTCACTATTTTGCCGTCTCCTCGTTTTAAAGGGGGCGGCAAGCCAAAAATTCATGGAAAAACAATTGGAAAAGCTAAAATTTGAAAAAATTCATTTTTTGTGTAAAAATTGACTTTTTCAAGGGTTCGGCAAAGAAAAAATCTACTAATTGAGGAAATTGCAACGGGCTTGTCCGCTTTAAGGGCCCCGGCAAGCAAAAAAAATCCATAGAAAATCGAAACGGTTGGAAAATCAAAAAATTTTTCAAATTTCTAAAGAGAGGAGAAGGATCAAAATGGCGATTATGGCATTGAAATAACATTGCTAAAGGGAAAAATATGCGGAAAATCAAATAATATTTGGTGTTGTTTTTCAGAGGCCTGTACCCCCGTTCGTGGACGAAATACCGTATCCCGGAATACGGTGTCTCAATCACCATCCGACAGACAAGCCCCGTATTCCCCAACAATTATCAGGTATGAATTTTCGTGCGGGGGTACGGTAGCGTACTATACGGTACTTCAGCGTATCGAGGGGCCCCTCGGACTTGGCGATTTTTAGTCATATTTCTCTAAAATTTTCCGGAAACCTAAACTGACAGCCAAATAGCCCAAATTGAGAGTTGTAGCTAAAACGCTTCACGAATAGAATATTTATAGGAAAAAAACTTTAAAAAATCAGATTTTTCTACGGTTTTTCGTAATTTTTTGATTTTTGTGGGCCACGAATTTAAAGAAAAGACTTATAAAATAGTGGTTTTGAATATTATAGGTTTAAATCGTTAAATTAAAGCTAAATAAAAATTATTTAAATTTACCTAAAAATTAAGTTTTTTAAACCACCGTATTTTTTTGATAATTCCGCGAGAATCCTTCGAAACGGTTTGAAATTTGAAGTCTCCGCTAATTGGATGGCAATTCACATTTCCGGCAATTTTCGAGCAAATCGGCCCCCTGGTGGCTAAAATTCCGGGGGCTCCATTGGACACTCGGGTGTACTGTAGTAGCATACCGTAGCCTTTATTTTTCAGGAAACCTCGTACCCCGTCACTTCCTTCTCCTTTGATGTCGACAATGATTCGGGTGTCGAGTACGAGGTAATACCCCTCTTTCCTAGCCGATTTACATGGCGTAATCGGTTGGAAAGTCGGGATCTAGAGATCGCGATTTCCGCAACAATCTCTGCTAGCCTGCTTCTTGCCAGAGTTGTCAAACTTCTGTTTGTCTGCCAGTTAGTCGATTTACGCAGAAAAACTCGAATTTCCCGGTATTTCCCGAAACTAATTAGACGTCGTAATCGATTGGCAAGTTTGATCAAAAATTCGAATTTGTAAAATGGGCTTAAAACATGGATTTTGCAGCCATTTTTCTTAGCATTTGACAGTGTACCGATTGCTTAAAAAATGCCTGATTTAAATGGCGTAATTGGTTGGGAAATCGACGGGGTAAAAAAGGTGATAAAACGCGTGAAAATTGGCAATAAATAATCGAGGGATGAAAAACGATGAAGCGGAAAGGAGCGGGATTTCTCAATTGTCATCCAAACGAACGACCCGAACCGTTTTATCAGCCCCCTCTTCAAAAAAAACCCTAACCGCCGCCCAGCAAAAGGTGCGAAAAAAGTAGACAAAAATGGGGTCGAGATGATTGATGGAAATGGCAGGGAAATTAATAGAGAGAAGGAAAATGAACAAAAAACACAGAAAAATCGGATCCCCCCTCCAAGCAACAAACATTTCGATATGCGGGTTTTGCAGTGAAAAAAGAGAGGGCAGATCGGACTTTTGGGGCTTGGCGGCAACATGTAGCCCCTCGGAATTCCGACGCGCTTGGGCGGATCAGCCCGAATTTTGGTGAAATTGTTAATTGCCTGTCAGTTAGCATGTATTCGAAATTTTAGGCCGTTCGGAGGAATCCCCGCGGAATCATGACGATTCTACTGTAGTTTTTTTGGGTTTTTAACACTTATCTAAACTCGACCCTCCGAAATGCGTCAACTAGCAGAGATTATTTCGGGGAGTGGATAGACAGACTGGCAGCTTAAATGAAACCGAGAAAGGCATGCTAGCAAAGGCCATTTGCGGAATTATACCATCGTGACTACACTTGATTTTTTACGCTTTCACCGGCTGCAGCCTTTCAAAGTTCGATCCTCAAAAAGGCCAGCTCGCAAAGATAACTTGGGAAATTGTCATACGATCTGCCAGCTAGCCGGAATCCGCGGCGGGCAGGCTAGCAGAGGCCATTTGCGGCTATCAAAAATTCAAAAAATCTGAATCCTGTCTAATATCCCGGCTAAATCCTCATTTTTTTTCAGATCTCGCTGGCATTCGTATTCCGAAATGGTACGGGACGACGGAAGGTCGATCCGACGGCAAACTGTCACAGTGAACTCTTCCAGAATGATGGTAAGAAAATGGCCATTCTCAAAGGATGTTTGCTAGCTTGCCCCTAAAAAATTTTGAGCTTGAAATTGGCGGGTTTTAGCGTTTTTGAGTCCGAAATTCCTCAGATGATTTTTGCTAGCTGGTCTTTGTAGATTTTCTATTAAACTGCCATCTAGGCGATTGGTTCCACAAATTTTCTCTGCTAGCCTGCCCCTAATTTCTGGTATTTTCAGAGATCCACGGTGTCTCCCTCCACCATACAATCCAGGGAATGCCCTGTGTCTATGCATTGGCCGCCAAAGCAAAGGTATCTTTTGATCTCTCCTCTTTACCTACCGTAATCGATCGATTTAGCCCTCAACCGTAATCTCGCGTTGTCGTTCGTTCGATCCGTGTGGAAATGGTCTCTTTCTCTGGCAATCTCTCGCCGAGACTGGCGATCTGCCGGATGAAGGTTTATTTTTGGAAATTTCCCCAGATTGTCTCTGCTAGCTACTATCTAGTGCTTTTAAAGGGACTATGAAGTCAAAATTTTCATGGTTAAATTCCTCAAAAATCACTGCTTGCTCGCGGCCATACTTTTTCAAGAAATGCCAAAGCCACCAGAATCTTTTCTGTCAGCCAGTTAGTAGATTCCCCAAAAAGCAAAAAGTTTCGCACCGGCCGGGAGTCGAACCCGGGTCGTGTGGGTGACAGTGTAGCACACTACCAATTGGCCGCCAGCAATTTTTCCGAAAGTCTTTGCTAGCTTGCCGAGTGGTCAAAAATTGCGCTATTTTTATTGCTATGTTTCAGCCGACCTGCCCCACCCGCATCATCAAGCCGTTGGTGTGTGCCATCGTTCTGTGCTCCCCCCGAATTCCTCCTCTCCCTCGCTCTCTCAAATGTCTCTCGCCTGGGATATGCCAACCGTCAGATTCGGCAACGCTGCACGCCAGTATAAACGGTATGTTAATTTTTAAGGCGATTTCTTGCGTTTTAAAGGTACCTGGAAGGCTACTGAAAACTCGAAATTCATAGAAAATCGTATTTTTAGGGTTAAACTCGAATTTTTCGGTTTAGCCACCCAGCCCATTTTGTAAAGCTCAAAATTCTGAATCGATATTGACTTTGAAAAAAATGGAAAATGATTACGGTAGCCGAGAAAAAATTATTAAACAACCTGAAAAACCCATTTTTTGAAAAATTATTTTTGGATTAACTATAATTGTTTTAATTTTTAAAGCTGTAATCTATCCTACTATATAGAAAAAATAGTGTCTGTGTGTGTGTGTGTGTGCCACTTTGCATCCACTTCCGTCTGTCTGTCCGGAGGATATCTCAATAAGGGACGGGTATTAGGCTACGTTCGATACGTCATTATGTGCGTAATGGTCTAGGGATGACTGCCCACATATCAGATTTATAAAAATCAGCCATTTTCGATATTAAATTTAAGTTTTTGTAAAACCCTCTTCGCTAGGAAAAATTAGCATGGACCGGAAGTATGCAGTCGCCTATATAAAGGGTCAGAAGCGAATCGTTTTCATTTTTTTGGTCATCTGAATTCAGCGCAATTATTCAAAGCGTAGAACAGCATGCGGTCCAAGACGGGGCCAGGGTTGAAAAGTCGCGAAGCGGCTTTTCAACCCTGGTTTTTATTAAATTTGTATTTTTTTAATTTGTATTTCCAGACGCTACACGCGATTCCTCGGCTCCGCCTGCGAGGCCTATATCGAACTATGCTCCCAGGCGATCAATAATGCCGAAAAATGGGAACGGACCATCGACGAGTGGCAATCCCCTGTCATCAACCACAAGTACGCAAATTTCCGCAATTGCACTAATTTGTCTTGAAAGTTGGGCCAGATGTAGCTTGGCTGCCAGTTTAAAGTATCACAACATTTTGGGCCAATCGCTACCGTACTTTCCTATTTACACTCAAAAACTGCTAAAAAAATATCGAAAAATTGGGTTTTTTGGAAATTTCTTGAAAACTACCGTAGCGATCGGCCTGAAAATTCCGGATACCGTAATCTGGCATCTGGTCGGACAGCTGAATCTGTTTATATGACGTCATCGATTATCGATTCTCGATTTTTCTCGTTTTCAGGACCCTCCCGGCGTGGTATAAATCGGCGCTATTTAACGAGTTGTATTATATGACGGATGGAGGGACACTGTGGTTTGAATATGATGACCAATGGGCTAGACAGGTATGACATTTACGAGGCAGGCTAGCAGAGGCAATTTACGGAATTTTCGGCAAAAAAATGTTCTGAGCACGAGAAAAAATGCCTGCGGTCAACTAGCAGAAATCATTTGTGGAATCACATGACTGGATGGCAGATAAACCAAAAAATTTTTAGGACAGGCTAGCAGAGAATGTTTGAGGAAATTTTGACCCAAAAACTGCCAAAAATCCCGGAATTTCAGCAATAAAAAGTTTTGTCAAGGCCTGCTGGCAAAGGCCATGTGCGGAATCGCTCAACTAGGTGACAGATAAAATCCAAAAGATAAGGGCATGCTAGCAGAGACCATTTGAGGAATTTTTGGTTCGGAAACTCCTGAAAATCGTGGATTTTCCCTCCAAAAAATTCCAAAAGCATCAGCTAGCAGTGACAATTTGCGGAATCGTACCACTGCATCGCAGTTTGCATAAAAATTCGCGGAGGCAAACTAGCAGAGAGCATTTGCGGATTTTTGTGACCGGAAATCGGTTTAATTTTGAGCGCTACAAAATCAAAACGTGGTCAGCTAGCCGAGACCATTTGGGTCCGATCGTTTTTACGGCTCTATTTTTCAGGAGCCTCATCTCTCCGCCTACACGCGCCAATTAATGGGCGAATACGGTCGTTTTGGTTATTTGGAATCATGGGAATACCGTATGATCACCACTTATGATGTCCATTTCTACGCATCATTTGCCATCGCTTCTCTATGGCCACAAGTCGAATTGGTCATTCAGGCTGAATTTTGTATGTTCTATCTATGGTCTACTGGGATTACTGTATTTTTTTGCAGGCGACCAAGTGGAGCATAGTATCGAGACGGAAACCCGTTTTCATATGGAAGGAGATAGAGGACCATTGAAGACAAGGGATCGAATACCGCACGATTTGGGAAATCCTGGTAATGTATCATTAAAGAATTAGGAACTACTAGTTTCTCTAAATTGTCGAGAAAATGGTGCACTGGCTAGCAGAGGCCATTTGAGGAAAAAATTGGAGCGATAATCGCTAGACTGGCTGCAAAATCGCTGCTTTTTTAAGGGGCAGGTTAGCAGAGGTCCCTCATCGCTAATGCAAAAGAACCAATGCTGCTTATAAAGAAATTTAAAAGTTGCAAAGCTTTTTAGGGAGCTTTTTTCTTTCTTTCCATCTTATCGATTCCCTTCTTTTCAGCAGCGGACCCGTGGCTGTCAACAAATGCATATGTAATGCACGATACGGGAAAATGGAAGGATTTGAATCTGAAATTCGTATTGTTATCGTGGAGAGATTGGATTGTATTGGCTGAAAAGGAAAAGGAATTCCTTCGACATGTCTATCCCGCTGTTAAGGTATCCTTTTATACCTATAAAATGTAGATTGAGGCGCAGTTTAGCGTTTGGCAACTAGCAGAGCCCATTTGGGCACTGTTTGGGCATTTGGGCTACCCATGTTTTTCAGCGAATCATCAACGATGCGCTGGAGATGTGGGATCAAGATGGCGATGGAATGATCGAGAATTTCGGAAAAGCCGACCAAACATATGATGCATGGCAAATGGAGGGCGTTAGGTACTGTATTTTTTAAGGTTTTGTTTTTTCTGAACAGTTTAACTTTAAAAACTTCAAAATTCAATTTTTTTAGTGCATACTGTGGATCTCTTTGGCTGGGTGCCCTTCGTGTGGCTGAGGAAATGGCGGCAGAGATTGAAGATGAAGAAATGAGGATACGGTATCACGAGACGCTTGCAAAAGCCAAGGAGGTATCCCTTTTCGAAATTATTCTACGTATTTTGGTCCTTTTGCATTATCGGGGGAGGTGGCTTTTTTCCTTAGCTTTCGCGTTTTCGAATACAAGGAAGTGCTCTTAAACGGTTTTTATTAATTTTAAGCTGGCCGAAAACTGGCCAAAAATCACCAAAAAAATGCGAAAAATCAAGATGTTTCGAAAAAATTTCGAATTTTCAACATTTGATTAGCTATTTTACGGTTTAAATGTATTTAGATTTTACCAAAAACAAAATTAAAGTAGTTACTACGTTATTAGACATTTCTCGATTTTTAGACCCCCCGCTAACGCCAATGAACCGCCAGCTACGATTCTATCCGATTACGCCAAGTTAATCGTTGATTTTGAGGTGTTCATCTCGAAGCTGTGGACGGGGGAATATTTCCGTTTTTGTGAGAGATCTCGGAGTCGAGAATCGATAATGGCCGATCAATTGTGTGGAATATGGTTCTTGATGAGTTGCTCACCGGATATGGCTGCTGAGGTACCAGATTTTGACGAAATCCATCGCAATTTGGCTGCAATGGTCCTTTAAAAGGCATTTGTAGCCTAGCAGAGGCCATTTAAAATCCAAATTTAGCCTTTAAGGGCCCTTTAAAAGCGGGGTGGGCTAGCGGAGGTAATTTGGGAGGATTACAGACCTCAGAAATCATAGCGATTTGGCTTCAATGGTCCTTTAAAGTTGTAGGCAGGTTAGCAGAGATTTTTTAGGAATGGGATAGGCTAGCGGAGGGCATTTGGGATCCCTTTAAAAGCTGGGCGGGCTAGCAGAAACCATTTTGGAACATTATACCGCCCGTCAGAATCCATGAAATTTGCCTTCAACGGCCCTTTAAAACCAAGGCAAACTAGCAGGGATCATTGGGGAAAGCCCCTTTAGGCGGACTGGCTAGCAGAGACCATTTAGGAAGGATTTCCACCCTAAAAACCCTATTTTTTTCAGTTGATCCCCCCATCGAAGGTCCGCTCCTCCCTGTCGAAGATCTATTCGCATAACGTCGTTCTATTTGGTGGTGGTCGTATGGGTGCTGTAAATGGAATGAGACCCGATGGATCGCTGGACAGATCCTATATTCAGGTATGGCGTTTCGAGTTTTTTGTGGTCTGTAGTCTGTCATTTTGGCTTTTGTAGTCTGTAGCTTCCATATCCCCCTTTCCAGGCGGATGAAATGTGGACGGGTGTCACTTATGCTGTCGCTGCCTTCATGATACAGCACGTACGTTTGTGGAGCTTGTAGTTTGTAGCTTGTAGGATATTGTCTGTAGTATAGTCTCTTTTGTAGTTTGTAGCCTGTAGTCTGAGGAATTTAGCCCGTTTTTTTGTATTTTTTTCACTTGTACTCTGTAGTCCCGGCTCAAAAAATGTAGTCTTCACGGATTTGTAGTTTGTAGCCTGGATTTTCCTGCGAATTTTGTAGTCTTAATTTTACAGCGCTCAATTTCGTAGTTTGTATTCTGTAGCGCATTTTTTCCTCGATTTTTGTAGTCTGGAGTTCGCTGAGCTGTGGATTTTGCAGTTTGTTTTGTCGTGTTTCTGGTTAGGATTTGTAGTCTGTAGCCTCTAGATATCCCTCATTTCAGGGTGATGTCGAGCGAGGTCTGGCGACGGCTTTCGGTTGTTACGATACTTGCTATGAACGTTTCGGGCTACAGTTCCAGACCCCGGAGGCCATCTACGAGAAACGGTAACGCTTTTTCATTTTAAGCGTTTTTGAGATTTAGATGTCGGTCTATTCTCTGTTCTGTCTGCCATTTAGCCCATTTTCGTTTTTTAAAGGGACCGAGACCCTGAAAACAATCCAAAATTCTGAAATAATCAAATTTTTTAAAAATCACGTTTTTGAGTTTTTCGAAAATTCACGATTTTATGTGCTTTATGCAAGCTTTTTTAGCTAATCTGTATGCCAGTTAGCCTATTTAAGCTTTTTAAAGGGATCGATAACCCTGGCATCCCGGAAAAAAATCGAAAATAAAAATTCCCTTTAATTTTTCAAAATTACTGTAACATTTGGATTTTTGTAAATTTTCCGTTTTCAGTTTCTACCGTGCAATCGGCTATATGCGTCCGCTGTCAATCTGGTCGATGCAATGGGCAATGGAAAGACATTTGGGAATGGAACACCCAAATATTATGGCCCTCAAGGAGGAAGGAGATGGAGCAGCCGATGTACCGAGGTAACATCCTTACCCTTAAAATAGACATAACACGATAGCAGAGGTTTTTGAGGAAAAAAATTGGGCTGGCTAGCAAATGCCATTTGTGAAATACGGGACGGCAGGCTTGCAGCTACTCTTTAGGAAAATGCGGGGCTGCCCGGGCAAACTGGCAGCGATCATTTGGGAAGCATTTTTTGAGGAATGCGCTTTTTACTGGGCCGGGGCAAGCTAGCGGGAAGCATTTAGGAGACACAGCATGGCAGGCTAGCAGCGTTTTTTTAGGAATAGCCATTTTATGGTACCAGGCAAGCTAGCAGAAACCATTTGAGAAATCGGGCCTGGCATGCTAGCAGATTCTTTAGGAACCACTCAACTTTCTAGAAAAATCTAAGCAATCTAGCAGCGATTTTTCAAAGGCAATCTATCAGTAATTCTTTAGGAACTACCCGGATTTCTGGAAAAATTCGGGCAATCTAGCGGCGATTATTTGGGAACAATTTGCCCATTTTCAGCCCGTCTCCCTCTTCAAAAAGTGTGCGTGACAGTTCATCGGAGGGATATTTCAGCGAGGAAAAGGACGAGAAAACCGCCAAAATCGCCAAACACGCATCCGTCTAAATAGACCTATCCTGTATTTTGTAGTCTGTACTCGATTCGTTTTGCTGTGATTTGTAGTACTGTATTCTATTCTCTAGCTCCTATTTTCTACCCCGGGGGGGCGGGGGGGGGGGCCCCTCCCCCGGCGGGACACTTTCCCCCCCTTTCTCCCCCCCCCCCCCCCCCTTCCAACCACCTTTTTGCCTATACTCGATTTTGTAGTCTGTAGCCTGCTGTGAATTAAATATCGTGTACGATTGTGTGTTTTGTAGTCTGTAGTCTATTCCCGAATTTCATTGCGTGTACGATTCGCTGGTTTTTGTAGTTTACAGTCGCCATTTTTTCGTTGTAGTTTGTAGTCTGTACTCGCCAATCGATTACGCCATGTTGTTCGGACAGAAATTTCGTGTCGTAATCGATTTTCTGACGCCAGAAATTTGATGACGTAATTGGTTTTCTAGCGCTAAGAATAAGAAAATCGTAAAAAACGTAATCAATTGTTTTTCGCCACCTGCATAGATTTCTGCAATTTCCTTGTTTTCCTAGTGCAATTAATTCGTCACCCCCGGTCATACCGTAATATTGGTGCTGCTCACTTTGCATTTTGGTGTCTTTTAAAGGGGTTCGGAAGGCCAAAAAATTTGGCGAACGAGCAAAGAACATTTGAGTTTTCAAAAATTCGAGTTTCGGCTTAAAATCTGTATTTTTTTGCCCTCCGAATCCCGGGCTAGATTTTTGTGACGTAACCGGTCAACCCCCGTCTCGAACTGCTGCTATCAACGATTTGTCGGGCCAAACAAACACGAATAAACGAATTCCATCTATTTTTTAGCTCGAAAAATGCATACCACCGGTTTTCCAGCGGTTATAAATATCCAAATACAACAGGAAAAACAGAATGAGCTATCTGGTTACGCGTTGACATTTAGTTAGATTTTTTATTGCCAATTTTTACCTTTTTTAGTGAGTTAGTTTCATTTTGTAAAACTGACCGTGGGCTACGAGGCACAACAACGACACTGGCCGCCCGCCGCCCTTACACATTCGGTTACGCCTTGGAAATCGCCGGCGGAGCTTGTTAAATTTTTTCTGGTTTTTTTATAGTTTTCTTTACTATTTTTGGATTTTTACGATGGTTTTTTATCCAAAAAATATGTTAGACGAATTTGGCGCGTTTTGCAGTAGATTTTGAAGGTTGTCAGACGCTATTTTGTCCCTAAATTTGGTGCACATGAGTTTTCTAAAAGTTCCAAGTTTTTTGAAATGGTTTGAATATTTTTTGATGTTTTATAAAGATATAGGGAGCTTTTTACCGCCAAAATTCGACGCTAAACCATGTTCTGGATGCTTTCTCGCGAATTTCCGTTTCCCCTGCCGATTTCATCAATTTTTTCTTTTTTTTAGGCTTGAACATGTTGCGCGCTTCCCTGCACCTCATCCGGTCGACACGCGGGCTCGCTTCCGAGGGTCAGTTTTCATTTTTTAGGCTTTTTAGTGGTTGAAAATGACCAGCCTGACTCCAGAAAACCGATTCGAGGCATAAAACTCAAATTTTTGCGCGTTACTGTAAATTTTTCGACTGATTTCTATAATATTCGTGTTTTGCGCATTTTTACGGTCATTTTGGTATAGTTTAAGGTATCAAAGTCCCACTAGGAGTAGGGATATGAACAAAATTGTATTTGGGCAGGTGGAGTTTCATCGATTTTTCCCCGAAAAATGCGTTAAAAGCAGGGTTTTGAAGCTCAAAAAGTTGCAGAAAACGTATTAATTTTAAAAAAGTATCGAAAATGGCTTTGATTAATGCTTCATTTTTTGTAATGATTTTTGACCATTTTTTCAGGCGAAGAGCGAATAGGGAAGCTGTTACGAGAGAGATTCCCAAAGGCAAAGGTCGTCGATGTACAGGATATTTCTGGTAATAATTTATCGATAAAGATCATCTATTTGCTTAGGTGGCTGCGGTTCGATGTATCAAGTGGCCGTGCAGAGCGTCGAATTCAAGGGAATGACTAAGGTATGCAGGGAGAGAGAAATGAGGGCAACGAGCAGAGATCATTTGCGGAATTCGTCTTTTTGCGTGGATTTTGAAGCCGGGCCCACTAGCAGAGACGATTTGCCGATTTTTTAGACCTCCGAAATTACCAGATTGACTCTGCTAGCCTGCGGTGCTGGTATATCTTTTTGGATACGATTTTTTGAGTTTATTCCCCAAATGGCGTTTGCTACCCTGCCCTAACTTAACTAATTTTTGGGCTGCCAACCAGTAAATGGTTTTCGCAAATCGTCTCTGCTCGCCTGCCCTGTTGGAATATTTTCGAGCTAGAAAATCGGCTTTTCAGCATGTTTTGCCTCCAAATTTCCGCAAAATGTCTCGGCTAGCCTACCTTTCTAGATTTCATTTGATCTGGTATCCAGTCGCCCGTTTCCGCAAATGGACCCTGCTCGCCTGCCTGTTGGAATATTTCGAGCTAAAAATTGCTGTTTTTTAGTCTTTTCTGGGCCAAAATTCCGCAAAGTGTCTCTGCTGGCCTGACTTTCTAGATTTTTATTTTCTCTGCCATCCAGTCCATGGATTCCGCAAATGCTCTCTGCTCGCCTGCTCTGTTAGAATATTTTTGATCTAAAAAGCGCTGTTTTTAGTATTTCTGAGCCAAAATTCCCAAATAATCTCTGCATGTTTGCCTTCCTAGTTTTTTATGCAATCTGATATCCACTCAAGCCATTCCGCAAAGAATCCCTGCTCGCCTGCCCCTATATAATCTTTTTTCAGTTGGCTCAACACAAGGCGATCACCGGCTGTCTATCCACCGAAATTCAAGATATGCACGGGCTGAGGATCGACACAAAGGCCCTCTAACCCGTTACGACACCCAATCCCCTGTCCCCAATGATCTCTGCTAGCATGCCCCCATTTTTTCGCCGCATTTTTCGTGTGATATTTCGATGAAAATTTGCTCATTTTTCTGGGGTACAGTTTATGTTTACGATAGGAAATTAGATAGAGAGATCAGATTTTTCGATTGATTTTTAGTGTTGGAAAAATAGAAAATAAAGGATTAATAAATTATACAAAAAAATGTGGATTTTTGAGGATTTGTTGACCGGTTTTTGGGTGAAAATATCGATTTTTCGGGGTTGTTTTTAGTCCATATCGTTGTCCTCCTCGTCGATCTTGGGCGCCAGGTAGAAGCGCAGATGGCCGTTCTCCTCGATTCCGTACCTGAAACGAGAAATTTAGGTGAATTTTCGTTTTTTGGCCCCGCCCATTTGGCAAATTCAGACTTCCCCAGTGCCTTTAAAAGTTTTCCGACTAAAGTAGCTATATTCTACCGTAATCCCATGTTTTTTGCGGGCTAAAACCCGGGCTTTGGCCATTTTGGCCCGTTTCATCGTTTTTGGGCGTTTCTACGGGATATTTTGGATTTTTCGGCTAAAATATCTACATTTTAGTGTCCCTTTTCAACCGGTCCTGCGCTTTTTGGGGCTAAAAATTCGGGTTTTTGGCCAGTTCCCGTTTTGACCGTTTTTTTTGGTTTTCTACAGTAACCTGTGCATTTTTGGCTACGGTATGCCGTTTATGGCTACCTTCCTGGCCCTTTAACGCTTTTTCAATTTTCTACGTAATCTCACGTTTTAATTTCGCCTTGAATTTCCAAATTTTACGGCCCCGTTGGGTCCCTTAAATCGATTTTTGGGTTTTTTACGCTGCGCCTGCGCTTTTTTAGCGACTTTTAGGTAGCTTTAGCGCTTTTTGTTATTTTTTTGGCCGGGAAGAATTAAATTGACGCGAATTTTAACTAATTAGAAGGAATTTTATTATTTTTGTTGACTTCCCGGCCCCTTTAATAGTACCATAACTTACTCGATGACGACGGGGACATCATTAGAGAGTGCAATCCTCACTCGATCACAAAGTGAAGAGGCCTTTGTGAATTGATTCATGTATTTGATGGAGAAGTTCACATTCACCGGGTCGTTCACCTCCAGCGTCACTTGCTGAAAAAAAAAAGGAAATATAGGGGGATTTTATAATATTTTCACGATTTATTTGAATATATTTAAAATGGGGGAATTTTTGAAAAATTTGGAGTTTAAGGCGAAATATATTTTTTCTATTTTTAACAAAATATGTAAAGATTTTACGTTTCGGAAAATCTTTAAAAAACCAGTTTGTAATCGTGTCTGTTATAAATTTAACTAGATTTAAAGTAGCGAAATCCCTACGAAATCAATTTTTTCAAAAAAAATCGAAGTTTGGCCGAAAAATCAATTTGTTTTGCCCCCCGATAATGCACAAGCACCAAAATTCCTGCTTTCCACTTACATCTCCATTATCGGCATCTTTGCTCTGTGAGTATGTGATGACAGAACTTCCGCTGTCTCCCTTTCCCGTAAAAACAATCCCAGCCTTGGTGGCCGTGATATTGATTGTATCCGAGAACATCGACAGATCAGTGCATGTCTTCTTGAATTCAGCTGATGGCATCGTGCAAACAACTGAATATTCCTGATCCGGAATCCCGAGATGTTCTCCATCAATATCCATCATCTTCATCGTCACGTCCTGAATTTCATGAGGTAATCGATTACGCCAGGTTATTCATTAATGCGCATAGGCTGGAAATTTTTACTTTAGAAGTTTATTAAACTCTATTCTGGCAGTTATTTTATGGCTTGGTCTCTTGAAAATACAAAAAATGCGTTTTTCCGAATTTTCAGGGTTTTCGAATTTTTCCGGTTACGATAGGTATTACATTAATGTCACTAAGAGGTAAGTTTTTTTTATTTCCAAGCTTATCAATCTCTATTCTGGCAGTCAGCTGATAGGTTAACGAAACGAAAAAGCAAAAATAGTTGCATTTTCGGGGCTGACTACCAGAAAATTCGAGAAAAAAGTAATTTTACAGATTTTTTGAGATCCCATTACGATACGTATTTCATTAATGCGTTTATACGGATTATTCTGATCTTTCTAAGCTTTTTCGCATCGATTTTGCTACAGGGTGGCCAGAAAAAAAAGTGCCTGGTTTGCACTGAAATATCTCGCTAGGGGAAACGAATCAGACCATCGTTACCTTGCCAGAATGCTTAAATATGCTGGGGTATGAAGAATAAACACAAGTTGTTTTTTACGATTTTTGACGACCCACTACTCGTTAAGAATTTTTGAACATTTTTGAAAAAATAGAAAACTTTGAAGCGATAAAGTATGCAACTTTTGAAGAGTTAAGGGGATATGAAGGGTATCAAAATGAAGCTCTCGGAATGCGCTATCAAACGAGCGGTAAAGAATTTCGATCGGTTTAACTAACCGTTAATAGCAGCGTTCGGAAAATCCGTACTTTTTGGGGAAATAATTCCAGATAAAATTACTTTACCATCCGATCCTTCTGATATTTTGCAATTAGCAATAGATATATAACTACTAACTTTAGGCATCAAAAATTTTCAAATCGCGATCAAAAAATTTTTTGGCACTTTGCCAATTCGACCGAATTTGTAACTTCTAGGCTCCTATAGTTAAAATTATAACATCGTTATCTTTGGCAACCAGGATTACATGTAACGAGTACAAAAGGTTATGGCAACAATGGGCTTTTTGTGGTCAACGGGGAATCGCCCCTTCTGGAAAAGTGCCGATTTTCCGAAGGCTCCTATTGACGGTTAGTTAAACCGATCGATAATCTTTCCACTGATTTAATAGCGCATTCCGAGCTTCATTTTGATACCCTTCATATCCCCTTAACTCATCAAAAGTTGCAGACTTTATCGCTTCAAAGTTTTCAACTTTTTTAAAAATGTTCAAAAATTCTTAACGAGTAGTGGGTCGTCAAAAATCGTAAAAAACAACTTGTGTTTATTCTTCATACCCAGCATATTTAAGCATTCTGGCAAGGTAACGATGGTCCGATTCGTTTCCCCTAGCGAGATATTTCAGTGCAAACCAGGCACTTTTTTTTCTGGCCACCCTGTAGTCAGTTTATCGATTGGCTACGCGAAACGCGAAAAAAATGGCATTTTCTGACTTTCGAGATCCGATTACGACATGTATTTCATTAATGCGTCTAGGACGTACGTTTTTTTTTCCTAAGCATATAAAGCTTTACCCAGCGAGTCAGTTTAAAATATTAGCTAGCAAAATCCTCGAAAAAATTCTTAAAATCACTGTTCTTGACGTACCTGTGTCTTGTCGCGTTTCGTGTCGCAGAAGGTGAAGGTTACGGTATCGGCGTCATTATCGTCGAATTTCAACTCGCACGTATCATCATTATTCGCACACTTGAGGGCTTTGGCCATATTGGCGAGGGAGAGACCGAGATTGATCGTTCGATCACAACGGTACGTATCGAATAGGCCGACCTGGAATCGAGGGGTACGGTAATGGAGGGATTACGGTAGTTTTCGGTGATTTAACTTTTTTGTCTTACAGTATGGCAGGCAGATAGGCAAATAGACACAAAAAATGGTTGACAGAGAAAAAGTATGACCGGAAATCGAAGATTTGGTCAAAAAAGCGGGAGCCAATTTTTGGGTTACTGTACTTTTTGATAATTTGACTAGTATAATCTACAGTATGACAGACAGACAGACAGACAGGTAAATAAAATGGTTGACAGACAGACAGATTGACAGCAAGACAGACAGACGACCCCTAAAATATCGCTGCTGGGGTTCAAAGCTCGTTTTCGAAACCCTCAATCCATGAATTACGGTACTTTTCCGTGATTTTATTTTTCTGATTCTGATTTACAGTATGCCTGCCAGACAGTTAAATTGTGTGCCAACTGACCTCCATCTTGAGAGAAACAAGCGCCACGTGAGAGCTGTCCATAGCCTGGAGACACATTGCCTGCTCAGAACAATCGAATGGAGCATCAGTCACCAGATCCTGAAATTAATGGGTTTAAAGAGATCTGGACATGGGTTTGTAGTCTCTGTCATCTAGTCTGTAGTCTGTAGCCCATACCTTGATCGAGTCGATGATCTTCTTCAGCAGGGCGGCGTTGGCGAGCTTGGCCTCGAACATTTTCGGGGGTTTTTGGGGGTTGTAGTTTGGAGTCTGGGCTGAAAAGCGAGAGATTTTGAGAGCGAGAGAGAGAGAGAGAGAACGAGCGGGAGCGAGAGAAAGCGAGAAAAAAAAATTAAAAATGGCTGAAAATCCTCAAAACTTTATTTTTTTCACAAAAAAATCTATTTTTTACTTTTTAGAAATGTAAATTAGGCTACAATTCGCTTTTAAACAATACAAAAAACCAACGAGGATTTAATAATTAAGCTTATCAATCAGTTTTGTTTTCGAAAATCCATTTTTTAAGATTTTTCTGGAGTTCTTTGACCAAAAATCCCATTTTCCGCCACATTTTCAAAAATATAAAACTAGAACGGGGTCTGTCTTTCTAAATCCCTAAACTGTCAGCCAGTTTAATAGAAAAACTATAGTAAAAGTCTCAGGAGTTTTTAGGAAAATTTTAAACCCAAGAATATGGCGACTGGAGGCCAATTTGGGAAGTTCTGAGGGAATTGTAAGGTATTTTGGGATGGATTGGGTGGAATGGATGACAGAATGAGTTGGAATGATGGTAGAATGCGGGGATATGGTCACTTTTGGCGGGCTGACCCTTTTGAAATGACCGGCAAGTATGCAGATGGGGGGATGGGAGGCGGGAAAGGGAATTCCCGCCAAATGGATGAGCAGAGGAATGGAGCGGAGGGGATGGAAGGGGACAGGTCATGACAGGAAAGGAAAGAGAGAGAGAAGGGGAGAGACAAATACAGACAGATAGACAGAGAAAAATCGTAAAAACCTAATAAATGACAAACAAAACACGAAAATCGCCTCGAGAATCCTAAAAACCCCTAAAATTCGCATTTTTGTTGGCGGAAAAGTCTAGCTGTGTAGCAGAGATGCTTGGCGCCAAGTAACATTGGGGTTTTCTGGCAATCTAGCAGAGATTTTTGCGGCAACACGTGAAAATCACCCCGAATTTCGTCCAAAATCGGAAAAAACGCGCCAAACTTCGCGTTTTGTGGAAAAAAAGCTAGCAGAGAGCGTTTTGGAACCTTCAAACACATCGATAACGGGAGGCAAACAAACAGAGACCATTTGCGGAGGTTGGAAAGTGTCAGAAGAAGAGGAATGTGAGGCCAGGCTGGCCAGCTAGCCAAGATTCTTGAGGAAGCTAGCCGAGATTTTTGAGGAAAACTGTTTACTGGGAAGATAGGCAGACTAGCAGAGATCATGTTGGAAAAGTTGGGGCGAGCGAGCCGAGATCCACTGCTTGCCCTCGCTGCTGAATAAATACAGCCAATTCGACGGATCTCCCATTTGGTCAGCATTTCAACACATCATCATCCCCTCATCCCTGAATATTCTCGCGTCATTCCGGAATTTGCACGAGATTTTGACGATTGCGAGCATTTTCTAGGTGTGCCTCGAACATAACGGCTCTTAACGACAATTTTAGGCTTTTATAGGACAAACTGGCATCCAATTTAGCAATTAGGAAAATAAGGATCTTTTTCAAAGAAGATTAAATGAGTTTTTGGAGTTAAAAGCCAATTTTTTCTCGAATGTACCAAAATTTCGAGTTTTTTCCAGTTTATCTCGGTAATATCCACTCACTCGCCGTTTTTACTGTTTTAATAGCCGAACTGGCAGTCATTTTAACTATTTAAAATTGTACGAATTTATCAAACAGCCAATTGAATTAAATTTTTAGTTTTAAGCCGATTTTTGCCAAAATATTGGCCATTTTTATCAATTCCACCTCTAATAACGCATCACATTCCTAAATTTTTCGATATATCTTCAAACTGCCATGCACCTCACCCCCCGACACCGTCACCCTACCCGTTTGATCTCTGGGATCCGAGTAATAGCGGGGGTTTGTGTGGTTGGGTGTGGAGGGCTGGGTGACCGGGATGATCTCTGCCCCCTCTTCTCCCTCTCTGTGTCTCTGTCTACTCTGTCCCTCCTATCTCTCCCCTGTCTCTCTCCCCTCTCTGCCCCCTCTCCCCTTTCCCCACTCTCTCATTTGATCTGTTCGCCCTTTGAACCAGCCACCTTCCCTTTCCTTTCCTTTCCCACGGCTAATTGATCACCTGGAACCACCCGTTGGCGAGGTTTTACCTCATTTATTCCTTTCTTATTAGTTTTAGAATTATTTTAACCATTTATTGGTATTAAATGGCTGCCAGTTTGTCCTTTGACAAAGTTTTTAGGTCCAAATTGCATCGTTTGCGTTTTTTACCCCGTTTTTAATGGAATTTTGCCTTTTTTGGACCTGCTAGTTGCTAACTTTTACCTAATTAACTGCTTCATTAGTTGTTCTAAAACTCTGTTGACTCTATATTAATTTAAACTGCTTGGTAATCGGTTTTGCTGGGTGAATTTGTCATTTTTCACAACTCAATCCAATTTATGTTGTGCCAAGAGTTATTTATACTAAATTTGATTATGTTATCTGACTGCCAGAATAAATTTTGACGACGCAGGAAATTGATTTGAAATTGTCTGAAAGTCACACGGGTTCAATCAACCCTTTTTTCATAGATTCTATCGATTTTCGTGAGAACCGTTTTTATATCGCGACTTATTTTTGCCTTTTTAATAGGCAGTTTTGCGCGGTAAATTCGGGCAAAACCAAGAAAAATCCTTGTTGTAGGAAATCGCCCGAATTGCATGCCGTAATCGAGGCCTTCTAGCGAGGATTTCGTGGATTTAGCCGTTTAGCGTCGTGCTAGCCTCCTCGGTCTATGTATTTTCTGTTCCACTTCATTCCAATCGACAAATTGACTTCCAGCCTGTCTTCTGCGTGCCTTTAATCCACATTTCCGCGTCCATTTCTTAGACTTTGCTTCGTTGTACCCGTACGGAGTACACATACTCCGTATCAACAGGTCATTTTCACTGGGTGCGGTAAATAATTTGTATTTTGTGTTGTGGGGCGCTTGAGGGCAGTGATCTCTCTCTTCTCTCTCTCGCTCTCTCTCGCTCTCTCCCCCTCTCTCTCGTTCTCTCTCTCTCTCTCTCTCTCTCTCTCTCTCTCTCTCTGTCTCTCTGTCTCTCTCTCTCTCTCTCGCCGTCTCTCTCTGCTTCCAGCCGCTGTGCCCTTTTTGTTATTCCCCTTTTTTCCGTTTGGTTGTGGATAGGTGTTCCGCGTAGTCCTCTTCTTCCGCCTATCTGCCGGCCAGTGAACCCCTCCAGAAGTAGAACTCGATCTCCAGCCGTCTATATCTCTTGCTCACTTGCCAGTTGGCTATGTGCCAGCCAGTTTATCGATTGATCGACTTAGGATACTTTTAAAGAATTTATATCTATCGTTCTCTTTCGCATTCTGCGATCTGCCTGCCATACTACCGTATCCCGGAATATTTGAGTGTACAGAGTAGTGGCGCCGAATTTGAGCAGTTATTTGGCTAAACTGGCAGCCTATGGCCGATTTGGCGAGAGAGCGAGAGATCGAGAGTGATTATAAAAATTTTGAGTTGTGGAATAGGTAAACTGGCAGCCAGTTGAGCGACTGACGAGAGAGCGAGAGATAGAGAGCACTACAGCAAAAGTTATATCTTTTGAAAGGTCCACTGGCGGTCAGTTTGTAGATTGTACTCTGTTTCTCTAATCTCTCTTTCTCCCGCTTCTAAAAAGCCCTTGTGCCTTCTCGCCTCAGAGTTCATTCTCCCCTGCAAAAGGGATGGCCGCTGGGCGACCGGAAAAACAAATACAAAATTTTGCCTTTCGAGTGCCTTTAAAAGGGCAAATCCCGCGGGAGTTCCTGGATTGTCGCTGCCGGATTGCCAGAATTTCGATTTTGTTGCAAAGAATTTGCTAGCTCACCGAATTCCAAAAGAAGCTCTGCTTGTTTGCCTGGTTCCTAAATGGGATTTGCTCGTTTGCGGCGTTCTCCAAGCATCTCTGCTAGCTGCCTGGACGTCAAAATCTCCTAAAAATCTCTGCTGGATTCCGTTTGGTCGAATTTTCCTCAAATGACCTCTGCCAGCCGCCTCGATCCCCAAACGGCCTCTGCGCACTTAAATTTCCCAAATGGACTTTGCTGGTTACCCCTGGATCCCATTTTCCACAAATTCCCTCTGCTAGCTGACTCTCGATTCCAAAATTGTCTCTGCTGGCTGGCGTTGCAACAAAATTTCCCCAAACGGTCTCTGCTGGCCAGCTCACGCCCGATTTCCGCAAATTGCCTCTGCTGGTTGTCATTTTGTCCAAATTTCCCCAAATGATCTCTGCTAGCTTGCTCTCACTCTAATTTTTGTTGTTGGGTGTGTTCTGGCCCCCATTTGAGGATTGTTGTGCTGTGTGCACCCCGTCTGTCTGTCTCTCACTCTTTCTCTCTCTCTCTCTCTCTCTCTCTCTCTCTCTCTCTCTCTCTCTCCTTGTTGTCCATTCCCATTCCTTCCTTTTCCTTCTTTTTGCAGTGGTTATTTTTCGATGCCACCCATCTAGGAGGCACACCCCGACAACAAATTCTCTAGACCCCAACCACCCCGGGGCCCAAAATATACCCATAATATCGATTTAATACCTTAACTGACAGTCAATTTATCGATTTCCGCAAATGGTTCCTGCTAGTTTGCCTTGAAAATTCGTTTTAGCTGGAAAATCACCAGATTTCTCGAGTTTTGTTAGATTTCCGCAAATTATCTCTGCTAGCATGCCCTGAAAACGGTGTTATGAACCGGATATATTAGCTGACAACCAGGTTTATCGATTTCCGCAAAGGAACGCTGGCGTTTTACCTTGTAAATTGGATTGACTCGGAAAATCATCAGAATTCTGGATTTCTGGATTTTCCACAAATTATCACTGCTAGCATGCCTCGGGTACGAAATCGATCCTTCTGATTCATCAAATGGTAGCCAGTCTACAGATTTCCGCAAAGAAACCCTGCTAGCTTGCTCCCTTTCATGGGTTGAGTCTGAAATCGAAAAATCACGTTTTTTGAATTCCTAAATTTTCTCTGCTACATTGCCCTCCATTCCTGAATGTTCTCTGCCAGCCAGTTAGCCCACTTTTGCAGGTAATTCTCCGCGATGCTCCAAACGACAGGCGATAAGGGGCCATCATCATTGGAGGAATTGGTACGCACTGCAGCTACATCTTCATCGACAGGAAATGAGGCACAGCCGAATAAAGTGGGTTTCCGCAAAGGATCTCTGCTAGCTGCCTGCCATTCAAGGGTTTGGAAAGGCAAAAGCGGTAGACTACAAACTACAACTTTTGTCGAAAATCAAAAAAATGCGGCGATTAAAGGTGTTTCGAAGTCAAAAACAGCGCTAGACTACGAACTACAAACTATGGACCGAATTCCCAAAGGATCTACACTAGCTGGCAGGCATTAAAGGGTTTGACATGGCGCAGCGCTGAAAACTATAGATTACAGTTTAAAAATCCGAAAAATCCAAAAATCCTGCCATTAAAGGGGTTGGCACGCCAAAAAGAGAGCTAGACTACAAAATACAACTATAGGAAAATTTCTCGTAAGGTTCTCTGCTAGCTGCCAGCCATTAAAGTTATCGGAAATGCAAAAATCGCGGCAGACTACAAACTACACTTTTAGTTGAGGAAAACGAAAAACCGTGGTGAAATTTTTGTAGCAGCAAAAAGTGAAAAATCGTAGACTACAAACCATAAACGGTAAGAGTCTAGGAACCCCCCCAGCCGTAACTTTTCAGCCATACGTCCTATTAATGCGCCGAGTATCTCAAAATGTTCGCCGTGGTCGGATTACTATAAAAAAGTTGTTTTCTTACAACAAAAATTGTTAGAACAATTTTTACAAGATTTTGAAAATTGAAAAGATTAAGCCGCTATGCTTCGATGTATCAGGAGCCTAAAACTCAAATATTTTTATTTTCCGCTATTTTTTTCGACTCGAATGTACTATAGCCTTATTCAACAGAGCAAGAGCTACATGTTGGTACCATTGACAGCTCTGTACGTCAAAAGATAGCCGAGATACGAAAAGTCACTTTGGAACAGCAAAAATTAACTAAAGAAAACCCAGACTTATAATTGTTATAAAAATTGTTCTAACGATTTTTGATGTAAGAAAACAACTTTTCTAAAGTAATTCGACCACGGCGAACATTTTGAAATACTCGGCGCATTAATAGGACGTATGGCTGAAAAGTTTGGGCTGGGGGGGGTTTCCTAGACTTGAGCCCCATAAACTACAACCTCGATCATTTCCAGGGTGGGCGCCGTAAATCGTCGACAAGCCAGCTGTGTTGTGTCGTCTGCCGTGATCAAGCATTCGGAAAACATTATGGAGTGAATGCATGCAATGGATGCAAAGGTATATCTCACTTCACCACACCTTTAAGATTTCAAAAACGAAGAACTTGGTTTATCTGCCTGGCAGTTAGTCGGAAAAACGACACCTCGAAAATGCGGGCCATTTAAATCCGGAAAATCGGTAGAAAATTACCGTAACCTCTAAAATGTCCTAAATGAGCCGAAAATTTACAATTTTATAAAAAAAGTTTTAAAATACGACCAACTGGCGGCCAGTAAGCCTAATGATCGCTGTTGAAACATCTGAGAATCCGTAAAGATACCGTAACCCAAAAATTATGGATTTTGAAGCAAAAAAACACCGATATTTAAGGATTCTTCCGGCGATCCGTGTGGAACAATCGGCAATATATCTGCCGATTCGACGGCCGATGCGCCATCGCAAAAGGTACATTACACGTCGTAAACGAATTGCTAGCGGGAAATTACATGGCGTAATCGGATAGGATTCTCCGGAAATTCGCGGAAATCTAGCCATTCTTTTCGGCTTTTCCTGTCGTAATTTATCCCTTCTTTTTCAGAGCACCGTAACGTCTGTCGTGCCTGCCGACTGAAGCAATGTTTTCTGGCCGGCATGAACCCACGGGCTGTACAGAGTGAAAGGGAAAAAGCACAAGGAGGAGGAGGTGGAGGAGCAGCAACATCACTCCTTGATTCAAATATTGATCCACAGGATGATGATGAATTGAGGTACGGTATGGCGTATTTTTTTAGCTGCCGAGCAGCCTAGCAATTCCTACGGTTAGATGGAGCAAAAAGCAAAACTTTTGCCACGGCCGAGGGTCGAACCCTCGACCCTTGGAACCTCATTTTTGAGTGATTCAACTGGTTTTTCGGTTAAAAAAATAAAATTTAAGTGGTTTAGCAGACAGCTTAGCTATTTTCTAAACTTGTTGGGCAAAAAGCAAAACTTTTCTCGATAAATTAAAAACGATAAAACCAATTAAAGATCCATTTTTAGCCGTATGTCGCCGGTAAAGACGTGCGATTCTGAGGCTCAAACGGAAGGAGGTGGAGCTGGTGGGGGAGCGGCAGGGGAAGAGACGATCAGTTCTGAAGATGAACAACATCACCAAGACGTTCATCCACAGCCCGAAGTCGATTTTGTCAAGTTAGTTTGTTGATTTTTACGGACCGGGTCTTGAATACCTCCAAACTTACAAAATGGGGCTGAAATCATTGGATGAACTGGATGCCATAGAGGGCATTGCGACATTGCATGTCCGCAAAAATGATCTAATTGATTTCAGAGCCGCCTCCGCTGTAGTGCGAGTAACACGAGAAGTATTGTCTCGTAGTGATTCCCCTCCCTACGGTACTTCATGTCAATCTGCATCTGTCTCTTTCTCGAATGCTTTCTTCAATCCAACACTCATCTCTCCCAGGACGCCTGTAAGCTATTTTCCCTACGTTAAGCTCCAAAAAGCTCAAAGTTTTGGATATAACTTCCCTGCTAGGCAGTTTACATGAAAAATGTGTACATTTTAGGTGACACCAACTGGAGAGAGAGTCGCCGAATTTGTTGATGTCGTGCAGGATTGGAGGAGGAATTTCACACTTTTCGCCGATTGGCTGCATGCGCTGCCAGAGTTTAACGTATTGAATGTATCGGATCAGGTGGGAGAAAGCGAGAGAGAGAGAGAGAGAGAGAAAGAGAGCGCGAGAGAGAGAAGGCTATTCAAAAATTTGAGATTTTTAGGCCCATTTTTCGATTTTTGCTGTAAGCGGCAGACAGATAAACAGATAAAGTGAGAGTCTGGCAGACAGACAGACAGACAGACAGACAGCCGGACAGACAGACAGATTGTACGACAGTACGCGGAATTGATGGACAGACAGGCAAACAGCTCTCAAAATTCGGCGTTTTTAAAGGCTTTTGTCGATTTTTACCGTAAGCGACTTACAAACAGACAGAATAACGCACAATTTTGTTAGCTCCCGCTGTTTTAGCAAGGGATTTCTATGCGTGCGCCACCTGACACTCATTTATCTTGTGTCCTATCTCGCGAGCTAGCGAGAGATCCGCTAGCCCGCTCTCCTCACTTTGGACTCCCAGCACATGTAAGATCTGTGCTAGAAGACCAATAAACATCTAAAGCGCTATGCTTAGCACATGTCAGAGGCTGTCAGCGGACAGACTGACCGCCAAGTTGTGCGACAGATCGACAAACTGACAGACAGGCAGACGGGTGGTCGGACAAATATTCCTAAAAATTCGCCATTTTCAAACATTTTTCGAGTTTTCAGTAAGCGACAGACGAAAAGACAGTTTGACAGACAAACAGACATTTTACCAGACAGACAAAGATAAAATCCACTAAACTGGCAGACCGCTAAGAAATTTCACAAGTTTCCTCCTCAAAAACTTCTTTGTTTTCAGTTGGAAGTGGCGAAGAACCGTTTCAACCCGTTCTATTGGTGGTTATGTGGTAATTGGACAGTGGCTGCTGGCTGTGATGGTGTCTGTTATGCTAATGGATCATATTTCCCCAGGGACGAGAAGATACAGTGTGTCCCGGATGTCAGGTATACTGTAATTTCCGCTAGGCTACAGAATACAAACTACAAAGTGGCCAGAAAATCGAAAATTCTCAGAAAAATTTGAATTTTCCAAATTTTCTCCGCTTCACGCCCCTTTAAAAGGTATAATATGTCCTCCATAGCTAAACTGGACTATAGACTTCAAGGCTACAAACTGTCAGGATATAGGCTACAAACTACAAAACAAAATTGATTAAAAAATCCTAAAATTTTCCAGAATAATTGAATTTTTGTAAGTTTCTGCGCTTTTTAAAACTCATTTAAAAATCTAAAAAATCGTCAATAGCTAAACTGGACTACAGATTACAAAGCTACAAAATTACAGGGGCGCCTCGGAGCGAATGATGACATCCCTGGTGGAACCCCTGGCCGAGCTGGAATTGGATGAGACGGAACAATGTCTCATGCTCGCCATTATCGTCTTTTCTGAAGGTCAGAATATGTTGGCTGACTGCCAGAATGCCGTGTTATAAACCTTATCCCTTATCTGAGGGTCACTTTAGCAAAAAATTCGATTTTTAGGCGAAAATCCAACTTTTCTAATTTTTTCTTGAAAAAATGCTCTAGAAAATTTTTTAACTTTTTAAAAGCCATAGAATCTAATTATCTAGGAAAGTACAGAAAGTTAAAACATTTTTCCATATGTTTAAAAGAAGTGGTATAGGCCCGAAAAGCCCGAAATTTCAGGCGCCGTGTCGGGCCATCTGAATGGAGGTGAGGGTAGCCTGTAGCTTGTAGTTTGTAGCCTATAGTCCATAGAGCGACTAATAGCTTGGCTGCATGCCAGATGGGAGTTTTTCGTAGTCTATAGCCCCTAGAACCGCATTTATTGTAGCTTGTAGTCTCTAGAACGGCATTTGCCGTAGTTTGCAGCTTAGAGTCTGTAGACTGTAGTTTGTAGCTCGTAGTTCATAGTCTAGATACCGATCAATAGTTTGGCTGCATGCCAGATGGACGAGCTTTGTAGTTTATAGCTTTTATAAGGCATTTTCTGTAGTTTGTAGGCAAGCAATAGAACGTTATTTGTTGTGCTTTGTAGTTTGTAGTCTGTATTCTATCGTTTCAGAGCTGGTTCTATCCCCTGAGGGCCGAGAACACGTCAAGGCGACCGGCAATCGATACGTTCGGCTTTTGCATCACCATATTGGCCATAAAATGCCAAAGGTATAGTTTTGGGCTACAAACTACAGTAATCTGGATGATCGACTACAAAGTACAGGCCTTAGCGTGGGCTACAAACGACATACTTTCAAACTTTTGGTATTTGAAGCGCAAACTACGAGATCTGATAAACTGGACTCCAGACTACAAACTAAAAGTCCCGGTGCTAAAAACTACTCCGCCAGGCTACAAACTACATCTAATTCCAGGAGTCGGACAACACGAGTGCCGTCGCGCTGCGAATTGCCCGAATAATGCTGCTCGTCTCGGCACTGACGGTATGCAAAAATAACGATTTTCTGGGCCCAAATTATGGATTTTTGGGTTGCCTGTCCCTTTAAGTGGTTTTTTGTCGTTCAGTTTGCCTGTTTGTCTGCCGCTCACGGTAAAAAAAATCAAAATATGGCAAAAATTGCGAATTTTCGGATTTGTCTGTCTGTCTGTCTGTCGCCAGTTTGTCGAGCTGTCGCCCAATCTGTCCATCAGTCTGTCTGTCTCCCAAACGGTCTGTCACTCTTTCGCTTAACTCTCAAAAAGCGAAAAATTCGGCGAAAACGCTAATTTTTTGGAAACACCTGGCTGCGTGTCTGTCAGTTTGTCGAATTGTCCTCAACATCTGTCTGTCGGTCGGTCAGACAACCGATTGGTCGCGTTGTCTGGCCGTCAGTTAGCTTAATTCCCGAATTATTGATCGATTTTTGCCTCTTTCGTGTCGAGAAACTAAAACAAAACTTTTCAGAACCTTGTGTACCTGACGTCAGACACAATCCAACTACAAGATGTATTGCATATCGTGAATTGGGAGAGTTTGCCATGGACACAAGATGTTATTAGAGCGCCCACTGCACAACCTGTACACGACACTACTATGGACGGACAGAATACCAAGAAGAATACTACCGTAGAACTCACCACTCCTATTAACGGATAGTCCGCGATCTCCCGCTGCCCTACAGTAACCCAATCCACACCCAATTCGAGCCTTCAATGGCCCTGCAAAAATCAGGATTTTTGCCAAAAGGCCAACTGGCTGCCAGTTTACCCAAATCTCCCAAAAAAAACCCCGTTTCTCTTTGCTAGGCACCGATTGAAGCCGTGAACCAACTCTTCATTTTCTAAAATCCCTACCCAATTACCGTACCCCCTCCCCTTCCCTCTTTGAGGTGGCTGTGATCCGGAATAAACTGTGATTCGAATTTTCAAGCGTGAAACTACACACTACAAATCACAGATTCCGAGAGAATACACAGCAAAAAAAAAAAACCAACAACCACACATCCTCCCCCCCCCAACCACCAAAAACCCCCCCACCCCAAAACCCCCCCCCCCCCAAAAACCACCCTTAGGATGGGGCGGCCTTCCAAAGAGCATCAACCCACCCCAACCCGCCTTGTAAAAAAAAAAAAAAAAAAAAGCGACGAAAACTACAGATTACTGTACGACAGACTACAAATTGATCATCGAAGTTTACAGATCAAAGATTACTCTTGAATACTGTAGTATACTACAAACTACAACGTACGCAATATTCAGAAGCTGCCTTCGTTGGGCCATTCCCTTTCCTATTGTTTCGACTAATTGTCCACCATCCATCATTTCCGCCAAAATAATCAATTTTTCAGGAGCAGCAGATTATTTTAAGGGGCTGCCACTCGGCAAAATGCACAAAAAACTGGAGTCACTTCTGTTTTTTCCGATTTGGCTTCCAAATTTGAAGCATTTTTGGAGGATTACAAGGGCAGGCTAGCAGGGATTCTTTGCGGAAAGATGAGCGAGACAGAGAAAGAGAGAGCGAGATAGAGAGAGAGAGAAAGTGAAAGAGAGAGAGAGAGAAGGAGAGGGAGAGAGAGTGAGAGAGAGAAAGAGAAAGAGAGAGAGAGAGAGAGAGAGAGAGAGAAAGAGAGGGAGGGAGAGAGAGAGAGAGAGAGAGAGAGAGAGAGAGAGAGAGAGAGAGAGAGCGAAGAGAGAGAGGGAGAGAGCGCAAGAAATACGTCAGTTGGATCTTTGGCGTCTTCAATGTAAGATATGTCATTAGGTGTATTGCGTAGTTTCTGTCTCTCTCTCTCTCTCGCTCTCACTCTCTCCCTGTTTGATGTATCCGGTTGTCAATAATCTACCTCACCCCCGATAATAGCCCTAGAATGTGGGTGTTTGGGGTGCAAAATGTTTCTCCATCATCCCCCTCGTCCTCCATCTCCATCTCCCCCTCCTCCTCGACATGCTAATCGTTTCCTGCACTCAAATGTCGGCCACCGTATCCCTTTCCGAGGCCACGCCCCCTCTGCTCAGTTCCGCGTGAATACTTCGCTACACCTACATACGTATCCCCCAGGGCCTTTACTGGAAAATGTTTCTTTTGTTAAGTTTTTAAGTTTTTATCGCTACATTCAATAAAATCCATTAAAATACTACTGCTGTAATTTTTACCGAATTTTTAGCAATTTTTAAAACTTAAAATTTTCAAAGAAATCAAAAACATTTTTTGAAGGTTTTAATTTTTAACTTTTAGCTATTTTTCTTACAGCGCAAAATTTAGTAAATTCGGGAAAAAATACGCTAAAAATATCATCGAAATCCGGAATTTGTTTTGGACCTTCTTGTATTTTAGAAATTTTCCCGAAAATTTGGCTAAAAACTCGAAAAATCGTGCAATTTTCGCAAATAAACTCTGCTAGCCTACCTTGGGCTTCAAACTGGCCCGCACTCGATCTATTTCCGCTTTCTCCCTCCGGCTTCATCCCCCCATCCATCAAAAGAAACGCACGAATTTCCAAATTCGGCCACCCTTCAAGCCCGGAAGGAGTAGCCGACCGGAAAGGTTTCTGGACATTTTTAAAACTCTGCCTTTCTTCATTTCCGGTTTTCCATAGCTCCCCTGCCTTCCTAGTCCCTTTAAAACCACGCAAATTCCATTTTTAACGTTCAGAACAGGAAAAAACACGGCAGAACAAAACGGGAAATTCCTCAAAAATTGCTGCTAGCCTGCCACATCGGTTTCTAAAAAAATTCCAAAACTACCAGAAGATAGTTTGCCAGTCAGCTCTCCCGCTCGTCAAAAAGCAAAAATTTTCACACCGGCCGGGTGCCGAACCTGGGTCACGTAGGTGGCAGCCGGGAACACTACCAATCGACCGCGCAGCGCACCTGGGCTCAGTTCAGCCGAACTAGCCTGAAAACACAATTCAGCGATATATAGGGCTCCCATAATTGCATCTGGACATAATCTAGCGCTAAAAAGTATTTTTAAGAATTTAAAAACTTTAAAAAACTAAAAAGGCAGGTTTTTAAGTTCTTAAAATTTTATCCACGTTTTCCTGGGGCTAAACTCGAGCTTGAACCCCCCATTTGGTGAGCTGTCCTTTTGAAGATGGAGAGGAAGGGCAGGGGGAGGGGGATTGCCGTGTGAAGTAGTGTAGGTAGGGGCAGGAAGAAGCGGATGAGGGATTTGCTATGTTTCCCCCCCACTCGAAAAATATGGCCCCCCTTTCTTCTCCAGCCGATTTCCGGGGCGTTTAAAGGTGAAAGGGGAAACACGCGAAAGTCCGTTAAAATCCACACAGATCCCACCCTAAATGTAAAAAAGCTGCTCCGAAAATGCCAGAAAACTTGCCCAAAAATTCAAATTTTTCTTAGAAAAATCGACCGGAAAATAGGGCTAAATTAGCAAACCACTGATCCGGTTTCCGGCAGGAATCTCATGGCTTCATCATGGAAAAAATGATGATCTCGGCTACGTAATTCTATAAGAAAGCCGATAATAAAATTGAATTGAAATATCCCAACTTTTTGCAAGCAGCAAATCTCTCGAGCGTCTTGCTTTCTCTTGCCGATCCGGTGTGAAGAGACAGTCAGCTAAATTTACGCCCAAAAGCCCGCTTTTCTGGGCCGCATGCTAATTTTCATCCAAAACTTGGCCTAACAGCTAAACCCAAAATTACCCCAAAAGGGCGTGGCCTCACCTAAGTTACGAAAATTGAATTTTTAAATCATTTAAAAGACCAAATAAATTTGGAAAAACGCTGCTGAAGATAGCCGATTGAAAGGCGCATTTTTCTGGACGCTAGCTGCTTTGCCTAACTTTAACTTTGACAATTTGTGCGTCAAAAACACACGATTTTGGCCGGATTTCACCAAAACGCGCAGCAACTTTTTCAATATGGTCATGAGCAAATTCTAAATACAGATTCGGAATCGCCGCAAAATACTGCGCAAAATTCGCATGGTCCAGACGGGTTCTTTCGCATTATCGGGGGCGGGGCAATTTGCTATATCAAAGTCCGGAAATACCAAGTAACGTAAAACTAACAATTTTCCTACTGTTTTTAGTTCACTTTAAAATCTGCTTCATCTGGAAAAATTATCTAAACAACCCAGAAAAAAGGTTAAAATTCGAAATTTTGGTAAAAAAATCGATAAATTTCTATTTTTTTTTTCTGAAAATTTATAAAGCTTTTACGTTCGTTCGCCCCCCCCCCCGATAATGCAAAAGAACCGAACAATCCCTTCCAGGTCCCCCCGTCCTCAGCTGATCGTAAATAATGGCATCACAGTGGCATTGTGTGACCCTGATGATGATGTTGATTGGGAGCATCTTCTGTGCTCCATCCTCCTCCTCTTCATCCTCCTCCCTCGAACGTGTTGAATACGTGCTCGTGCCGCGGAGTGCCCTCGTTGATCAGCAACAGCTCGAGTATCCATACACCGCCGAGAGACTCGCCAAGTTGGTCGCTATCTAAAATTTATACAAAAGCGCTCCAACTTCAAACGGTTCGGGCGAAAATTTTCCTAAAACCCCGTGATGGTTACGCCGATATATCTAGCAAATTTCAGCCCGTTTCTATCAGTAGTTTCTGAGTTATATCGAAAACTGCGAATTTTCCGACGTTTTCAACCAAATTTAGCAGAAAATGAGCCCAAAAAGCCATCGAAAAAGCGCCGCGCGTTTGCCTTACCGGGAAAAATTGACGCTCGTGAATTTCACCCTTGAATTGGCTCGAAAACGAGCAAGAAACATAAAAAAGCACGTCAATTCCAAGCCGTTCAAGCCAAACCGTTGACAGTAGCTGCATGACCAGAAAAGGATATCGCTAGAAAATTTGAGCCCATTTCGTTCAGTAGTTTTCGGGTTATATAAAAACTTGCGCCCTTTTTCGGCGTCCTCAACAAGGGTTTAGCAGAAAATAGGCCCCAAAAGCAATAGAAACCGCGCCTTTTCGCAACCGGCCAAATTGCACTCCGAAAAAAAGGTGAAACGCCCAAAAAAAACATAGAAACTCTATAAAAACCAATTCAACTACATTTCAGGCGATTCGAAGTCGATAGAATGCGCCGTGCCCCCTACGATCAACTGACATTCATGGAAAACATCCAGAAACCAAGGTAAACACCTAATAATGACTAGAACTTCTATATGTACTTCAACTACTACACCATACTTACACTTCTCTTCAAAACTACACCATTTCCAATTCAGATTCGGCCGACGACGCTAATCTCCTGCCAACGCCGAGGCGAAGCCACACCGGAAACTAAGCCAACCATATATCCCAGCGATAAATCGAAGTGTTATTTAATAAGACCAAAGAGAAGTTCTAACGTTTATACAGACATTTCTCGTGTTTGGCAATAGGCGCGCGAATTCAATGACAATCAATGGGCACAAAAATGGGAATAAAGTTCACCAAAACACGAACTGTTCAATCAATAAATCACAATGCGAGAATATACACCAGAATGGAAGCGAGCGGGCGATAGATTAATGTTGTTCTAGTCCTCGTACTCGTCCATCTCGACCACCTGTGACGCGTCGAGGGTGCTGAACCCGGGCCGAGGGCGGTTGATCGGCGACTCCCAGACGGCCGATGAAGAGCGGGGCTTGAATCTGAAAAACAAGGAATTATTCCCGGAAGTGTAATACTTGTAAAGGAGAGTAAATAAACGTACTCTTTGACGCCGAAGATTTTGCTGAGGTCGACTTCTTGCGTGGGGCCAAAGTACGTCTTGTAGTCGAAGGCGAGCATCGACTGGCTGCGCACGCAGTTCCGGAGGGCTGAAAATGAAAAATTTCAAAAAGGGATAAAAGTGTACCATTTCCAGTGGCCCATGCGGGGATCTTCTTGCGCGGCTTGTCCTCATCATCCGTCTCGTCGCCACTGTTCAGATCGTCGATGTCTAAAAACGCCCGGTTTCTAAATGAATATAAAACAATGTCTACCATAGTTGTCTTCGGTGAGGCGTTTCTTTTCTTCCTTCGGCTCCTCGGGAGTGGCCTCCTTCTTGTTGTCTTGTGTGTGCATTGAGAGTGCCTTCTTCATTGTAGATGGACGACGAGGCGGTGGAGTCTCCAACTAAAAACCAGAAAATTACTTTTCAAAAGGAAATACCTCCATGGCCTTGTTCTCTTGCGCTCGCAGCTCCTCCTCATCTTCCTCTACACCCTCATCATCAGCAACCATTTGTTCTTCGGGCGGCGAGGCGAATGATGGCTGCTCTTCGAGCTTCACCTGCTTGTCCAGATCGAATTGTTCGACCTCATGCTCGTCTTCGTCTTGTTCCATGGGATGATCTTCTTCCGACTCGGCTTCTTGCATGACGACTTCGATGACCGGCTTCTTCTCGCCGGCCGGTGTTTGCTGGATGGGGCCTCGTCTTCTCTGCGGCTCATCTTCATCATCGCTGCTCGTGTCGAGGTATTCGGTCCTTGCTGGTTTACGGCGAGGAGAAGAACGCTAAAAACGGGAAATTAGGGCCGCATAAAAATAGTATTTATAGCGATTTAATTAATACCTTAGCAGAGGTGGCATGCGTGACGTGGTGGATGGGCTCATCATCGCTCTCTTCGGTGAAAAGTGCTTTCTTGAGCGGAACCCGCGGCGACTGCAGCTCCTTGGCCCTTCCCATCATCGGCGTTCCCTTGGCGCGCAGCTTGGCCAATCTAAAAAGTGAATATAACATGGACTCAACAATCCGCTCGATACCTTTCATCTTCAATTTGCTGCTTTCGTGCCTTGGCGGCTTCTTGTTTCTTCTCATTGTCGAGGCGGATGCGTTCTGAGCGCTCTTGCAGTTGTTCTTGTTTCAGACGGTCGGCTCGCTCGAGATCAGTCTTTTGTTGGACGGCACGTCCAGCCTAAAAACACACAAATAAATAAAATCTTGGCAAAATACTTACCGAAACTGGAGTGCGCGGCTGGTTGTGGTTGGTGGGCGTGCCGGTGAACAGATTCTGGCCGAGGCGAGCGAGTGGAGTCCTTGTTGGTGTAGCATTGCGGCCCGGTGTGGCTCGTGTCGGTGTGTTCGTCCTCGTCAGTCGTGCACGGGCCATGGAGCGCGTCAGATCACGGATGCCACTGAAAGGAAAGGTATTATAAAGTCAGAAGCATGAAAATACCTGTCCTGGCGCTCCTGGTCGGTGACGCCGAACTGATCGAGCAGGTCGTCGAGGTGGACGATCGGGCGGGCACGACGTCCGACCCGGAATGCTCTTGGGGCGGGGCCTAGCTCTTGTTGGCGCTGCTTCAGTGTGATGAGGCGATCCTTGATGAGTTGATGGAGCCGCGGTGGCAGGCCTGCCAGCTTCTCGCCCATTCCCCATCCTTGCTGGTCCATCGCGTCCGTCAGTGCGCAATGGGTGCGCATCTTCTGAAAAAAAGTTATGTTGAGAGATTAGGAAACGAAAGAAAAACAACAGAAAACACGCTTTGAAAAGCAAATGCGTGATGAAAGCTGAAAAGCAGTGAAAGAGAAATGCACAAACGCCAGGATTCTAGCTGCCTCTATAGAAATATGCGACGACGAACGACGACGGCCGAACTCAGCTCCAGGGGAAAGTATATAGAGCTTATGTGCGGGTCAATTCGTCCCTGATGAGTCCAAAATGATCCAAAAACGAAGTTTAGCGAGCTCGAAAAAGATATCAGATGAGAAAAACCCGCGAAATAGAGGTGCAAAGCGCGCGAAAAGGGGGCCACAGAACTATGCCTAGAGCTCGAAAAGGCGCGTAGTACATATCGTCAAAAGGGTCTAACCACAAAATGCGTCCAGAAAATTCAAAAAGTGACCATAGAATCCTGAACTACTCAAAAAATTTCCCGGCAAATCGATTAAAATGGAAAAGCTATCTAATCCCTGCAGGGCCAAGCCGCGACAAGGGCCCACGGCGTTTGAAGGAGATTCTTTCGCGCCCACGGGAAGAGAAAGGACGTGTAGTCGATGCGATGGGGATTCGACGAGGAAAAGCCCGGAAAAGAAAAACAGAAAATTGAAAATTGACGAAAATCGGCCTTGTTGCTTCGTTCCGAGGCAGGACATTTACGGATTTCGTAGCTGTATCGTTGCGTACAAAACGTACACGACGTGAAAAGGCCCGGGTTCGGTTTTTGAAATTTAGAATTTGAAAAATTAGTTGAAAAAGTTTTACTTTATAGGAATTTTGATGTCTTATTTTTCTCTATGGATACACTTTGATAAAAGAAACATGGTATGTTTGTCTTTTTGGCGCTATTTCGGAATAGGGGACCCACTTTGATCACTCTAAAAACCACTTTTTCTGGTGTAATTTTGCGCGGTTGTTCCGAAAAACGCTATACCTGCCCGTAAAAACATACATTTGTACAAAATATTTACCTTGTTAGGATGTGATAGGACATGGGACGGGCGGTCTTGGGTTGGCCAGCACTTACGAGGCCAGCCGCTTGGGTTATTATATTTTTGGCTTGATTGGAACACACATGCGCTAAGCTTTAGCTTTGTAAAAGATGTAAAAAAGCTAAAGCTTTGTAAGCTTTAGCTTCTGGACAATAACAGCCTATCGTGACCTCACTTACGTTACCCGGCAGAAGAACCGGCCTAGCTTGCTGGTGGGCTCAGATTCACCTGGCTAACCTAGGCTTGGTCTCATGAGTCTAAGGTCGGGTTTAGCAGCACTTATGCATACGATTTGAGCTCGAAAAACGGAGCTGTGGGTATTTTAGCTAAAAGTCGGGCCCGCGCCGTTAAAGGGATGCCGACGGCATAATCAATCGGTTACGCGCTGGAAAGAAAATGTCTCTGCGCCTCTCCCCAGGGCGCGTTCTCTGCACTGTTGGCTACTTGCCAATTTGTTGATGGGGGGGGGGGGATCGACACATGCCGTCGGCAGCCCTTTAAATTCTCTAGCAGCCCAGTCAACTTAAAGCGGCTCTGGCAGCACACCGATTACGGCATTTTGGGGACCGGGCAGAGACGCAGAATTCTGTCTGCGTCTCTCCTCTGGGCGCGCTCTTTCTCTCCCTGCCGCGACGCACCCGACCGCGACGCTTCCACGAATCGTGGAAAAACGAGCCTGCTGCCAGAGCCCCTTTAAATCAATTTTTTTTTTTAATGTGAAAAGTTAGGTTTGAAAGTTAGGATGTTGTTGTTTCGGAACCAGCACGAAAAACTATCCAAGAAAACATCGCACAAACCCCAGATTTGGAACAATCGAAGTGGGTCCCCTATTCCGAAATAGCGCCGTCTTTTTTTAATTTAAAAGATGAAAAAACGTGGTTTTTTTAATTTGTCTCTTTCTTTTTTGGTGCGCTTTCTTCTATGATAAAGAATTCTTTGATTCCAGGGCGATGGTGCTGGGCGAATGTCTAATGTATGGGCTCGATTTCGAGGCGCGGTGCCTGGCCAGCGTCAGCGGCGACGAGTCGGGCGTTCGATTCCTCGTCGGCACCCAGAATATCAAGATGGACAACCAGGTAACCGTTTTTAATACTTTCTTTAATAAAATTGAACTGTATTCGCGCGTAAAAACGTTCCAGAAGCTTAAAAAATCAGAAATTTTGGTAGAAAAGGTCGATTTTTGGCCGAAAAATGATATTTTTTTTTGTATTTTGTATGAAATTTTGTACGGATTTTTCGTTTCGGAATAGTAAAAAACAGTTTAGAAATAATTCCTCGATTTATATTAGCCAAATTGGATCCTTTGAAACCCCCCCTCCCCCGATAACGTAAAAGCACCCTCGTTTTTCAGATTTGCGAGCTGACGGTGGATTTGGACGAGAATCGGGTGAACGCGCGATGTTTTGGGCATTCGATTGGCGAAGTGAGGGAGCTGGCCACGTCTCCGGATGATCCACAAATATTCGCCACGGCTTCGTCGGATTGTCAGTTTTTTTGGTTCTTTGGCATTGTCGGGGGGGGGGGGGACAACTTTTTCTAAGAATTCAATTTTTTTAATAAAATGTATTTAAACCGTTTTATACTATTTCTAAACGTCAAAACGTTACAAATTTGACGAAAAAGGTTAAAAGACGAATGTTCCGTCAAACATTCCCAATTTTCGAGAAAAAAAAATCAGAATTTTTTAGATTTTTCATAGTTTTCCACTTGGATTATAGTAAAATTTTAATAAAAACGCTATTAAAATACTTACTCTACGGTTTTTTGGGTCTATACATAAATTCCTCCCGCCCCCCCCGATAATGCAAAAGAGCCTCCATTTTCAGTCCGGCACCCAAAAGCGAAACACCGGCTGAACATCTACAGCTACAGCGAATACAAGCCGACGCTCGAAGAGAAAGCGAGTCTCGAGTGTGACCATCCGATTATCGGGTAAATCGCTCGTTTTCGGCGTTTTTATTTTATTTTTTAGGTTAGAGTGGAGTGTAGCGAGCAGCTCTCTTTCCTGCATCGCCGGCAATCAATTGACACTCTATAATGTGGCCGACGATGGATTGAAGGTATCGTCACTAATGGTTCTGGTTCCTTAGCGGGGGGGGGGGGTTTTTTCCAAAAAATACCGTACGGCTTTAGAAGGAAAAATGGACCTATCTATCGCATTTTTGACGTTTTGAGACTGAAAACTATCTAAAAAATTATGAAAATTGTGAAAAATATAGGCTTTGTGGCAAAGATGTATGAAAAGACCCAAAAATGTCCAAATTTTCAGATTTTGAAAAATTTAGGATAGTTTTCGAATTTGCTAGCAACCCGAAAACGAGTAAAACCGTGGAAGCGGACGCGTTGCGTGTCGCGGGCGCGGAAAAATCAGGAAATTCACGCCAAGATGATTCTTTAAACGCGTTACGGCTGCGTTGCGTGTCCGTCTAGCTCCAACACGCGACTCGTTCATCGAACTTCGCTGAAAAATCCAGGCTTTAGGAGCAATTCTCGCACCATCAGCCCGGCAAGCTGCACACATTCCGGCGAAGTCCCCATTCCGATGGACAACTGATAGCACTGGCCGTTGATCGAGATTTGATCGTTGTCGATTCGAGGACTAACGAGTCGGTTTTTTTTTGGAAAAATAACTTGATTTTTCTCTTTTCCAGGCCGACCACCCGTATCTGCGAGGCGCACGTCTTCCGCTGTCTGGCCGTCGATTTCAACCCAAACCTCCCCAATCTCCTCGCCACAGGTTAGAATTTAGTAGCGAAATCGATTCCTATCTTTTTCCAGGCGGTGACGAGGGCGCGCTTCGTATCTGGGACCTTCGACAGCCCAAGGCCGCCATATTCTGCACGCGCCCCCATTCACACTGGGTCACCCAGGTCGGGTTTGGGGCCTGGATCTTGTTCATTATCGGGGGGTCAAAAATTTGCAGGCAAATTGCTTTTCCGGTTTTGTAGTAAAAGCCCTATATTTTAAGTTAAAAATCGGCAAAAAAACCTTAGAAAAAGCTTGGAAATTCTCAATTTTCATAAATAAAAATTGCTCATTTTTAGTAGAAAATTGGAGATTTTGTAACTTTTTATGAAGTTCTTTTGATTAGAAATTTTACATACCACTGAACGTAAAGAAATCGATAAAAATCGCTACTTTTTGTTCGAAAATTCGACATTTTGGTTTTTTTTTGCGTTTAGAAACCTTTAAAATGTATTTTTTTCGAAAATATAGTTTTAAACCCTTTTTTTAGGTTCGCTACCATCAAGTACACGACCAGCTGCTCCTCACCGGCTCCTCAGATGCGTGTGTCGTGCTCAATTGTGCCCAGTCCGTCTCTTCGGATGCACAAATCGATGCGAGTGCCGAGAGGGATGATGATGGAGGTGCAGATTTTCGGATTCTAACCAAATTTACAACGTTTTTGTCCTTAGAAATCGTAGTTTAATCCTTTAATCTAATTAAGAAATTTTTTTCGTATTTTAACCCCCCCCCCCCGATAATGCAAAAGCACCCAATTTTTCAAATTTTAGAGCCGCTGGCGAAACTGACGGACGGGGAGCTGGATCGGATCAACGAGCACGAGGACACCGTGTCGGCCGTCGAATGGTCTAGCGCGGTACGGGAACGGAAAAACGTTATCTTTTTCAGAATTTCCTGCTGATTCTGAATCTGGCTTCGAAATTCTTGAAATTATTAGATTTCAAGGAATACAAAATTTTTAGATCTAAAAATGGCTGGTTTTGTCGATTTTGCTCGGAAAATTGGCGGTAACTTTTTGAAAACCACGGATTTGGCAAAGACATTTTAAGCTTGATCTAAATCTTGACAAGATAGGCGGTTAAAAACGCTCAAAAAATCTGGGTACTGGTCTGATAGCGGGGGTAGCTAATTTCTATTTTCCACTTAGACATACCTGTCAAAAATAACCTAGTTGTTTGTGTATTTTTTTATTGTTTTCGAATCGCGTTTATGGCTAGGAAATTGCAAAAAATGCTATAGATTTTCAAATTCGATAAATTTGAGACTTTTGGTGATTTTCATCAAATTTTATTCAAAAAATCAGAATTTTCAGAATTTTTGTGTGCTTTTTTACATCCAAAAACGTGTAAAATTGGATAGAAATCGATTTTTGTTATTGTTACAAGGTTTTCGGAAAAAATTGCCCCCCCCGCTAGCAGCACAGCACCAAAATTTCTATATTGTTTTGCAGGATCCGTGGATCTACGCGTCGTTGAGCTACGACGGCCGGGTCGTCATCAACCGGGTGGCCCGTCAGCATAAATATGCCCTCATGCAGCTCTGATTTTTTTCATTTTCTGCATTTTATGGATTTTTTTGCGTTTTCTCTAAATTCCCAACTTTTTGAGCATAACTTCTAATTTCTGAATTTTTAGAGCATAAGTTAATTTCTAAATTTCCTTTTTTCCTAATTTTTTTCAAGTTTTTTTGCTGTGATTCTGTGCAATTTCCCCCCGACATTGTGATATATTTCCTCTTTTTTTTTCTCCCTCCTTTTCTGTGCATCCCCAATGAATTTGACGCGTGATAATAAAGTTTTTATATGCTAAAAAAGCTTTTAAAGTTTCTGTTGGACCACAAAAACAAATATTTCCATGATTTTGGCTTGAAAACGTACCCAAAATGCTAAGAAACGGCTTCGAGAAGGGGCTCATCTTGTCCAGAATTTTGGGCTGAATCTGGATCTGCTTTTAGCATTCAAAAAAGCGTCATTTTTGAAAAGTTGTCCTGGATTTTTTACGCGAAAACGGACTAATTTAGACAATTTACCTGTGAAAAAAACGTTGATATCTACCTTTTTCGGAATTTTAGAAGAGGAAAGCCTATTTTTCTGGTGTTTTTTTAAATTTTTGAAAATGATTTAATTTAGCCATTTTTGCCCTAACAAGCCTTGTAAGCGTCTTTTTAACTTGCAAAAACTGTATTTTTTTTTCTGATAGCAGCTTTGGAATCGGCGCAAAATTCTGTGCGACCTGGACTTCCTAAAACCGCGAAATCGCAGCAAGATAATCTTGTTTTTTTGCAGAAACCTGCCGTGCCTCTGCCCGAGCCGACAATTCGCAACAATCTGTGCTGAATGCGGCCGGGTTGGTGGCCATACAAGATCTCATTGCAAGATGCGCTCAAAAAGGGTGCCGTTGTTGTTGCAGGTAGGGTTTCTGGTCGATTTGCGCTTTTTGCAAGAAGCAAAAGCCAGTGGAAAACTGATATCTCGGCCTAGGATGGTCACATCTAAATAATTTTTACACCGTTAGAAAGCCCTGGATCTGGCGATTCGACTCGTTCGCATTATCGGGTGACGAAATTTTCCTAGGCTCGTATTTTTCTGGTATAAATATATTAAGTGTTTCCAAACAGTTTTTACTATTCATAGACCTAAAGACCTGCAAATTTTCGCCAAGAAATAGCAAAATATCGGTTTTTCGACAAAAATTTCACGTAAAAACATTTCAGAAACTTTTCCAATTTTTTAAAAAATGTTTTTCTACTTAAATTTTAGTAGAATTTTACTAAAAACACTATTAAAACACTCAGGAGTTTTATAGGCACGTCTACGCAGCCCAAAAAGACGCAAATTTTTCTCAAAATGAGCTCCAAAGCCGAGCGGCGACTTTTCAAGACATAAATCTGAAGCTGCGGAAAGCTTCGTGATTTTCGTGGCTTTCAAGTGCGATTAAAATTGTTGAGCTTCGAGCCATCTAGGTCGAAATCTATGGGGTTTTCGGCTAAAATAATTTTTTTTCAGGCGTGTTCATCGGTGCGGCCGTCGTCAACAGCGTTTTCCAACCCATGAAGGTATTTTATCGTCTAAAAACGATAATTTAGTTTTTTTAGGGCTACGAGGAAGAGTTGAGCGCGAAAAAGGCGCTTCTCCTCGAGAAATATCGACAACGACACGAGATGCGGATACGCAATGGATATGTGCCCATGATTGACGCCGAGAGATGAGCCGGAAACGAAGGAGAAAAGCGCTGATTTCTTCATTTTCCCCCGTTTTCGTTGTATTTGTATCATTGCTCGACTTGTAAATCTATTCCCATTGCTGTATAGTTATCGTTTTGTAGTAATAGAGCCGTTAGAAGTGATAATAACCTTTTTTCACTGAAATTTGGTGGCCGGATATAAACACACTTTTCTTTACTTTTTTTAGGCTTTTCTGATCGGCGGTTTGGCGCTACTTCAGTTTGCTGGCCCCACTTATATATGGCCAAAACCTCATTTTTCTGGTTCAGTTTTTTGCGCTGATTACGGAAAACACTATCCCAGCCCACGAAAATGCGATTTAGTAAAACAATTTAATTGGAAAGTCGGGAAAATTCCATTTTACGGCGGTCGCGTAAAAGGAGCCTTTTTGTGGTTTTTTAATTAAATAATGGCCAAAAACGGGTTTATCATGAATAAAGTCAGCCAGTAGCATTGTCAGGCAAGGCGGGCCGTCGCTTCGGATGGGCTGCCGCTCCCTCTTTCGAAATCGGGGCGCCTGGCCCTTCGCGCCTCGGGCGCCCCGATTTCGAAACCCTGTACTGAGCTCGCACCCATCCGAAGCGACTAGGCCCCGGGGTGGCACGAAGCCTTATTTTTAGGAAAAAAAGCGGATGCAATCGCTCGCCTCGTTGGAAAAGCTTTTCCACTGTTTTATAGGCCTCCCGCATCAAAACACCGGGTTGACCCCCTTTAAAAACTCAAACCAGAAAAATCGAAAATCAAGTGTTTTCTCCCCTCAAAATTCACGATTTCATTTTCGTGGGCTGGGATAGTGTTTTCCGTAATCAGCGCAAAAAACTGAACCAGAAAAATGAGGTTTTGGCCATATATAAGTGGGGCCAGCAAACTGAAGTAGCGCCGGCGGTTTTTTATGAAGTATGCAGCAGAAAACGAAAAATGCCGCACTCGTGGGTGAACCCCGTCAAAAAGTACGTTTCACGCGCGTTTACAACAAGTTCAGCGGACGCTAAAATTTGCGGTGCTGCCGAAAAATGGGAATTTTAGGAAAGTTTGGTTCGCCAGACGTTTTTGCGACTGTTTGCAAACGTGAAAAGGGAGAAATCGGCTTTGAAAAGCGCCGGAACTCGAAATGGCTTGAAAAGTTTCTGGGGAGAAGCTAAAAAAAAAGGGTTTTCCAAAGTTTGCAGTTTACGGAAGGGGTGTCTGGAAATGCCGGTTGGCACGTCGTTTCGTCGCACAAAAAAGGGTTTTTTATGTTATATTGTCATCGAAACGTCGCAAAGTGTTCGATTTTAGGTTTCGCAGTACCTTTTTCTAGAGTTGTTATTCGACCCGGGTCGAAATGGTCGAAACTTTTGTAGGCTCCCGCAGCGAAAACTTTGTAAAATTCATAACTTTTTTCTGAAGTAGAATTCCGCTATTTCGTCTTCATTTTTGATTGTGTGAGATCATTTCCTACATTTTGAGTCCTTAAAATATCGGTTTTCATGCTAGAATCACAAAGAACGGCCTGCTTGGCGGGAAGTCGTTCCGGCGCGAGGCCATCCGGAACAAGCCAAGCAGGCCGTTCTTTATGATTCTAGCATGAAAACTTATAGTTGAAGGACTCAAAATGTAGGAAATGATCTCACACAATCAAAAATGAAGACGAAATAGCGGAATTCTACTTTAGAAAAAAGTTATGAATTTTACAAAGTTTTCGCTGCGGGAGCCTACAAAAGTTTCGACCATTTCGACCCGGGTCGAATAACAACTCTACCTTTTTCGTATTGGAAATCTATTACAAGGCCCTTTTCTTTAGAATTGATTTTGAAACTCGCAAAAGTAGCAATTTTTGGGCGATTTTTATCGATATCTTTGTGTTCATCGAAAGCTATCTAATCTCTATGGTTTCAACTCGGCGGCGCCTTCACTATTTGGCCTTTCGAGCGTTTTTTCATATCTTCGGCCACATCCCTTATAAGGTAGTAAGCTTACTTTTGCCGCTGCCAGCATCTATTTTTGTTCTCATTCTTCTTGCTCTGCTTGATTTCACCATGTTCTTGCTTTCCATTTGTTGCTGTGTTTTTTTTTGAAAAACCGTCACATCAATATTCCTTTTTCAGGTATCTCGACGTTTCGATGGATCGTGATCAATTCAAGAAAAAGCTGCTCGCTCTACAGGGCAAGATGGGGGACATTGGCATCGTCGAGGAGAGCAACAAGAAAGGAGATGAGGATCATGATGGAGAGAAAGAAGTCTACAAATCAACGCGCAACATCTACGAGCTGCCGGTCGTTCTCTTGTGGGAGATTCTGCAGCCGATGCATGTAAAAGGCCTCCTCTCGATTGCTCGTACTCATCCGAATATCCTCCACGCGACAAAACATCTGAAGAACAAGCACTTCTACAATGTGAAATGTGTGGCTTCCATTGAACGGAATTCTCCTCCATACATGCAAAGTCCGGAAGCACTGGAGATTCTTCTTCATGGGGCGCACGTCGATCAGCTCCACTTCCATACGGACGCCCGTCCATTTGACGTTCAGGGACTCAAATTGTCGAATCTCTATTTCTATGGCCCAAAAGAAGACGACAAGGCTGCGATTGTCATCAAAAATCTGGAGCCTGATGGGGTCGATCTGGTGAGGTATGGAAGCTGCACGATGACACCGAGATTGTGCCAGGCTCTCTCCACCATCCCGTATCTTCATCTCGGCGATGTTGGAATGGAGCTGCTCGATTTCATGCCCCAATGGACAGGCAAGTTTTTGGCCTGTACCTTGGAGATATCCAATCGCGAACAGTCGTCTCGCTTCTTTGATGTGATCAGACAACTTCTAGATGAGCGGAAGAAGAGAGTGCCAGGACCGCTTAAACTAGATATCCGCTTCAAACCCAGGTTGTCCCCTGATCAGCTTCATCCAAACGTTCTTGGACCGCGTTACCCATTGTTTTTCGATCTCGATGGCTACTATTGTAGCCTCGACGATCCTTCCATCGATATCACAATCTGTCCCTCCTCGCTGTACTGCCGCCTTGCCTAATTTCCTCCGGCTTTTTGCTCCCACTTTCTGGTGTTCTTTTGAGTGCTTCACTATTTTAAGCACCGTTTCATTTCTCATGCTCTCTCAATGCGTTTTCACATATTTGAGTAAAATTGTCTGCCATAAAGTTTCAAATTTCAGCTACCTGTTGGAAAATGGCAGCTCGAAGTGCAGTTCTTGGACGATGGAACGGCCGAAGGACGCAGGATGCGCTACAGGGTCATGTTTTTTTTCAGTTCCTTGTTACAGTTTCTTAGGAAATTCGCGATGTACGGCGACGACGGCGATCTTCCGACGAAGGGCGCTCTGCTGTTGTGGGCTAGCGGTTAGTGATCGGACCATCTACTTCTCCGTCTTTCTTTTTTAGATTCCCCGCTTCGACGTGCAAACGACAAGCAGAATAAGCCGATGATGCAGCGGAGGCGAATCAATGAAATTCTACTTCTTTTGAATTGTCCTACGGATCCCCCCCCCCCTTGCGAAATTCAAAATTCGAAAAAAGCCAGGAAAATGATTGGACTTTGATAGTTTTTCATTTAGATTGCTTTCTCGCTAACAGCAACTTTTATTGTTGTCTCTCTCCTTTCAAATTCAATCATTGAACTGTATTTTTGCTTTCCATTTCTTGCTGCTTTTTACAAAATGCGTCAAATCAACGTTCCTTTTTCAGGTAAACAGACAACTCGACGTTTTGATGGATCAGGCCCAATTTGCGAGGGAGCTGCGCGCTCTACAGGATGATGGGGTGAAGGACATTGGCATCGTTGAAGAGGGCAACAAGAACGGAGATGAGGATGATGATGATGGAGAGAAGAAAGTTTACAAATCAACGCGCAACATCTACGAGCTTCCGATCGTTCTCTTGTGGGAAATCATGGAATCGCTGAACGGTGACGACGTCCTCTCAATGGCTCGTACTCATCAGAATATCCTCCACGCGACGAAACATCTGAAGGACAAAGAATTTTACTATGTGAGATGTGTGGCCTCCGCGGAACGGGATTCCTGTCCCTCCGGACACAGCCCGGAAGCACTGGAGATTCTTCTTCACGGGGCACGCGTCGAGCAACTCCACTTCTGTTCGGACGCCAGTCCATTGGATGTTGACGGACTCAAATTGTTTTATCTCTACTTGTATGGGCCAGCTCAAGAAGACAAGGCGGCAATTCTCATCGAAAAGCTAAAACCTAAAGCTGTCGATATCGAAAACTCTGGAGGATACACGATGACTCCGAGGTTGTGCCAGGCTCTCTCCAAGACTCGATGTCTCTATCTTGGCGATGTTGGAATAGAACTGCTGGATTTCATACTCCAATGGAAAGGCGAGCACTTGGACTGTACCATGGAGATATCCAATCCCGAGAAATCGTCTCGCTTCTTTGATGTCATCAGACAACTTCTCGAGGAACGGAAGAATGGAGTGCCAGCCCCGCATCGCGGACGTGTTTCCAAACCCGAGAACGGCTTCATCAAAATGTCCTTGGTCCGGAGGATCCATTGACATCGTGTGGCCTCGATAATCCATCCATCATTAGCCAAATCCGTCCCTCCTTTCTGTACTGCTACCCTTCCTAATCCCGGGTTTTTGCTCCCAATTTCTGGTGTTCTTTTGAGTGCTTCACTATTTTAAGCACGGTGTCATTTCTCATGCTCTCTTCATGCGTTTTCCCTTGTTTTGTTCACATTGCATGAATAAAGTTTCAGATTTCAGGTACTTGACGCAAAAATGGCAACCAGAACCGCGGAAATGGGACGAATTGAACGGCCGAAGAACATGATGCGCTAAAAGGCCGTGTTTTTTTTCGGTTTCTTGTTACAGTTTTTAGGAAATTCACGATGGACGGCGACCGCGGCGATCTTCCGACGAAGGGCGCTCTGCTGTTGTGGGCTAGCGGTTAGTGATCGGACCGCCTACTTCTCCGTCTTTCTTTTTTAGATTGCCCCCTTAGATGTGCAACCGACAAGGAGAAGGG